ATAATGACAGACGGGTTTTTATAAAGGAAAACTACCGAGATGTTTTGTCCTTTGATCCTTTTAAAATCTTTACATACTATACCAAAAACGATGTGTATATACAACGAAAGGTTTACTAGGTCATTGAATCAATACCCGTCAGGTTTTGTATAGCCATAATTTAACTTATATAAACATATTAAGACTTCCATATATTCTATCTTTATTGTATAAATCTTCTATATAAACAAAAATCACCGAATATAGGTATGTAAGCGCATCACTTCAGAACGGCTATGCTTTTTTGGCAAATTTTTTTATTGTTATGCTGGTAATTTCAATCTTACTAACAACTGTATAGAGACCCTATCTGTCCCAGTAGAGGTGTCGAAATCGATTCAGACAGGACAAACGTATCGACTAAAAAAACAGTAGCGTCGCGTTAATAGAAAAGTTATTCTCCTTCTCTACAACAAAGAAATATCGCTTGGAGCCGTATGGTGTAATAGTTTGACATTCGTTTTTGTAATTCTTCGTAAGCTTTACTTCGCGTATATTCGTGCAAGGTATAATGAACGAAAAGGGCATACAAATTTCGTAAATATAAACAACTTTCTTAATGGTGGCCAGATGCTTTTACCCGATACCAGCAGTGGTATCCACTGCTGGGCAAAGACTTCCACCTGTTTCTGCCCCTTACGATCGTTAGCCAAGTCCTAACAGTTTTTAATAAGTGCTATTTAGAAAAGTTAATATTTGTCCATAATTATTATATGAGTTATGATATTATCGAGTTACGGAGGAGAAGAAAACTATCGTGAAAACTAATAATGTTAAGAATATAAAACAATACTATAAATAACCAAACTATAAATAAGATCGACTAGTCAAACTATCAACAACAATCAGTTTTGTATTAATGAAAATTTCATTTTCTTTACCAAATCTTTGTCTTTACGCTTTATTTAGACAGTTATAGATTATGATTCCGTGTACCAATTGTACGGGCACGAAAACGGATTCATATTTCATAATCAAGCAAAAGTCAAGGTCAGACACGGTATATTTCCGAAGGCCCCATTTAAATATTATGCAGAGGTTAATACGCCCTTAACGCAAATTATTGGAACCGCATTTTCGTTGTTACTTGTTCGTTGCTAAGTAACCAGCGACGGAATACAATTGCAGTAACACAAAGTGTATGGTCTCCTTTCATTAGTCATTTGTTATTTACAATCCATCATTAAAAGTAATAAAAAAAAATCCACAACAATAATTATATATTACAACAGTCGCGCATATTTAAAAATCGAACTAGGCTAAGAAAGTGAATCTTTATCACATTAAAAATACGAGAAAAGCGATAGGTTACATTTTTTATCAATAATTTCACTATTTAAGGAATCGAAATTCAGTAGCTAAATTATTTCTGTCTTATTAATTTAATTCTATTTTTGTTTTACAAATACTCGATACAAAATTCAATAAGCTTAATTTTTTAGATTAAAATATACCGCTTAAAACAAATCGTAATACTATTTATTTTGTGTGAAATATAACTAGTCCGTTAATATTACACACTCGATGAGTTATACGTAATTAATTGCACTCCCACTCGTGTAAAGCGGCCATTTTTAACTCGGTAATCTTTAATGCCGTACTAAATAGTTTTTAATTCATTTTCACAAGTACTTAAATCGTGACAATGAATTAACATTTAGAGATTATTAAAACTTTAAGTAAATTAAATTTAAGTAACTTATACCATTATTTATTAATTAACTTTGAAAATTTTACTGCATTGTTGAAAAATAGCATACCGTATTGAGAGTATAATGTACTTTTAAAATAATACAGCGAATGAAATAGTAATAACATATAACTTAATTATACTATTTGTGTCGACATGTTATTTTTTTACATCTATATATACGGTGGCTTCCCATGAAAAAAAGCAAACCTTTCATATGATTCTCCTCATGGAAAAGTAGGATTATTTTGAAATTTTAAGTACCCTTTTTGAACCAATAAAGCAAAGACAATACAAATATATTTTTTATGTTCTTTGCCAAGGGAAAAGATTAAACAAAAATGTTAGTAAATTTATATATGACCCCATCTCTTTTGAAAATGGCGTATTCAGATATGTTTTGTAAGGGAACCGAGATTAATACTACAACAAATATCTATTCAAGGTACAGAATAGATTACAACAATATAAAGCTCCATTATAATTTCAATAAGTCATTTTTATTTCGTTTATTTTTAGACAATCTATTATTATATAATGGTAATCTATAATTCTTCTATATTGATTATATTGTTAGGTGCTCTTTGTTTATATATTCGTCGTTAATGAATCTATAACATACGAGTATGAATATATCTTCCTAACTAAAAATTTATCTTCATTAGAAACTACTTATGTGGGTCATGGAAGACACTAGGTTAATTAAGTTAGTTGGATATGAAACAGTAGTAAGTAATGGAACGACAGTCGAAAGAATGTTTTCCCTCGCGAGGGTAGTTGAATAAACTCCATTAATGGGCCAACGTCGCGACAAACTGGCGCTCGTTGTGCGCATGCCATGTACAATTTCATGACGTGGACCCCAGTGATTAGATTCGTATTTTCTAATAGTAATGAAGTTTTCCCCCTGCATCATTATTTGTAAAAATACTTACTAGATTATAGATTTATAGATAATTATCAGTATCCCGCGGATTCGACTGCGTAAATCAGTATATAAACAATCCTATGTAACTGTTACCAAATATCGTTGACCGTGTACCAATTTTCCCTACAACATTATAATAATACTCGTAGAAGAATAGTGTCGGTATCTTACAAAAACTTGCTGTCTAACTTACTCTCAACGTGGTGCGCTAAATAAATATAAAAATAAATCTTATGCTTATTATTTTAAATTTGAAAATAAGACATTAATTTAGTCCGTGAAATTAGGCAAAAGTAAATTCAAGAAGTCAGTTAACAATAGAACATAATAAAATATTTTAAGATACAGTGCACCAATATTTAAAAAACGTTCCGTTATTACTTGGAATGGCAGAATAGAATCGACGGCGGGCCTAGTACCGCAGTGTTATGTAATGTTACCGCTCAATATGAACTGTACGTAGAACGGGACGGAGCGGCGCGATGGCGGCCAACTGACGTCTGGTCAGGTCGCTTTATGTCCCTAAGGACTTTGGTAAATCACTCACCGGAAAATTGTTTCACCAAGACATTCACCGTCGTCGCGCTGTCATATTATATCTATGCTTCAAGCTTTACATCAAAGTGAAGTTCCTTTGAAAGTCCTATTTATCGTCCGTTCTATACCTAAAGATTCCTAGATGATTAAATTCAGGTATCGAATTGAGATGTCGGTCAGACCAATCAACGAAATAAACTTTAATCAACTGATACGGAGTTCCGAAATGTGGCTCAAGATTAGGTCATCTAGTCATGGTTAGGGCATCGGCCAACATATTTTTTGATCCAAGAAACAAGATAACGTCTTTTATTAAAAAAAAAAAACTAGTCTGTAAGCTGAAGCATTTTTTCCGTCGGCTATTTAATTATTTTCAAAACAGTTGCACAGTTGGAACCTTATATTTTATATTCTCTGAAAATATTCCTAGCACAAGATGACTTACTCTTAGGTAGAGATTAAAATTTATCCTATATAATTGGGATAACAATTATTTGATTTGATTATACATATACAGCTGTGGCAAGCTTACACACATAAATCAGTATATATCTTTTATAGCTATCTGCTAGGTATAAACACGTCTTGCGGAATCAGAAACCGCAAATTCAGAAATGTAAAATAACCTGCAAATTTGGACACCCTTAGACATGGCACAAGTTCTTCTTTCTAATACTAAATAGATATACTTAATTGTCATATTCTCTCAAACGTCTTTATTAAAATTAAGCCTATATTTGTAAATTTAAAAAACATTAAAAATTGTAATAAGGAGGGGTTGCGAACGTATTTAAAGCAAGAAATTTAAAGTCTTTGAGTACCTACTAAGAGGTAGGTGCTTCTTTGAGGGACTGCGTGTTATAGCTAGAATAATAAGGATTATAACGATCTTTCAAAGTGCATTCACAGGTCAATATTCTTTTAAGTAATGCGAAAAATTCATTGAATAAATTCACTGCATTCCCCTTATATAAGAGTGTCATACATTTGCTACAACGTTATGTAACTGTTCAATACAGAAAGAAGAAACAAATATTACCCATCCCTCACTGTTTTCGTCTATACAAACTTGCATACTGTTATTACGTTATTTGTCAATGTTATACAGTATTGTTTTTTTATAAATATATTATTTTTTTGTTTTACAGTTTTCATAAAAGTGTTAAACGAATGTGTAACATGGTACATATTTCTTTTTTTCCTTTAAGCTACCAGAGTTTATTTAAAATTACAAAATATTTTAATATTTAAAAAAGAATGATTTTGATATTGTATAAAATTGTTAAAGCTTACACTTCCGGTCTTTAATGACCTAGTTTTCGGCGGTCTCTGATCTCGAATATGTATTCTGAATGCTTATAGATAACATATAAACAAAGGTTTAACTTTTTTTAATTTGAAATTTAAAATATAATTAACTAGCTATATTCCGCGACTTTGCCCACATAAATCACTATACGTAATATTCTATGTGTTAAGTTAGTATATGTATCTAATTAGTAGATGTATCTAAGCTACCCATGTATCAAATTTCATTAAATTCGTTCTGCCGTTTAAGCGTAACAAACATCCAAACATGTTTACAAACTCTCATATTTATAATATTAGTAGGACTGTACACGCAAAGTCGCAGATATGGTATGACCTACGATTTCGTAATTATTTTTATCCTTAGCAGTATAAGCTTTATAGGAGTTTCAGTTTTTTTCTTGATTTTATATTAAAATTAATAATAATATATAATTTAAAATTTTATATTCAAATGTTTAAATTATATGGTAGAATTAACAATGATATATTTTTCAGCTACATATATCCAACTATGGACGAACTGGCCAACCAGATAAACTATGTATTGGTACATTTCGGCATCAAATCCTTCATCGGCTTCGGAGTCGGCGCTGGTGCTAACATCCTAGCAAGATTCTCCCTAGCACAACCAAAGAAGGTACGTCTACTGTGATATAGCTAGGCGACTTTTAACGCAATTTAATTGGGATGAAATAAAAATCATGTCGAATAAATGATCCAGTATAAGGAACGTCTATATGATGCAATTTCAATTAATCCTAACTCGTTTGCGACAAAAATTGTCTTGCAGCCTGTAGAATTTCTATAGATTCTTTAGATATTTGTTAGATTTGTTTATAATCTTCAGCTCAATGCTCTTCTATAGAATACAAGAGTTATGATTTTGAAGTAGGTTATTATAATGTTAGAACCATCAGAATATAAATAATAAAAATTTAAATTCTTGACTTTTCTGTCTGAATTATCTGCCAATGTCTTTTTCATAATATTGTCAATATTTCTTAATTTATTATTTAAAACCAACTCATCTGGCAAATGTCATCCTATATAAATTTGATCAAGATTCTTTTTAAACTGTCTCTGAAATTTTATAGTAAACATAGGTCTAAATCTTAGACCTCCTTTGTCCTCGTTTCTCCCAAGTTATTTGAATTCAGCCAGCAGGGAGTGAGCCTACTGTTGTCTCTTAGATTATGTTTATTGACATCCATTTCAGTAACGAGAGAGAAAAGTTTGATCTGAAATCCAAGAAAAAATACGAGACGTTTTGTAGACACATTCAGTCGAAAATAATTGAATTTAAAACTTTAAATTGTGTACCTACAAGTAGGTTATATCTCGCAACATGTGGCTTTTTACTCTACAAATAAAATCAGCAGCTTCAATTACCAAAAAATTTATATACAACTTAGGAGTAAACAGTATCCGTTGCAAAAAGATCAATATCTGTTTAGAATTGGTGATGTAATCTCGTAGCATGTCCACATAGTATAGACGAAATCAGAGCGAATATGTAACGAATTTTTCTAAAATAAAGAAATAATTTTTGTTCACATAAACTTAAATATAAGGCACTTTTAAATAATTATTTTAGCTAAAAAGAACGGCTACGAAACTTGGCTGTTGCTTTTTTAAAATATTTAAATTTTACAAATTATGCATTTGTATGAATACATAATTACTAAGTAGTAGGATCATGAAATTAGATATTAGCATACACATAGCATTAAAACAAATTTATAAAATAAATCATTTGTAGTGCCCAAAGCAGACCGGTCCTTACTTTTGTGTTATTTATCCAACATAGTTGGAACAGCTCATATTCGTTTGCACTGAGGGGGCAACACAACAACCTAAGGGTTATTGTGTTCCCCTCAGTGCAAACAGTGTTGTCAGGTATAAATACCTGAAAATGTCACTCTGTCTCACCTTTGTGTTTCGTTTAGCCGCAAGAAACACAATTTATATTTAATAGCTTTCAAGCATAGAGTTTGTCAAGTTCATTTTCAAATAATAATAAATTCAACCCTTAGAAGTTTAATTGAACCCATAATAACGACACCTTTTTTAGATTTTTTATTATACTCATTTGGTGTTTCTCTTGTTTGCATAATAAGTTAATTATGTTAGCAGAGAAAAAGTAATTTAAAGCTTGAGTTATTTCAAAAGCATTATTTATTTTGAAGCAAATTTTATACAAAAATTATATACACTGTGTTTTTGAAGCTACCTTTACCATTTTCTTTACGGTGAATAAGTTTCATTATGATTGGCAAGAGGTAACAAACTCACTGTCATGCATATAATATTAGTAAGCTACTAAAGGTCACAAGTAATTGTATCTAGCTCTAAATATTCTCAAGTCTATTCACTGAAGTTTCAGATACCTACCTACCTACACAGCGGTAAACGGTTTTATGCGTCATTTCATATATCCGTATTCACGCTAAACCAGGTCAACTGCCGTACCTCTGTCAATATCACTAATTCTAGTGACAAACACATTCTGGTAACTTGAAGCTTTTCATATTTACAAAGATCCCATTAGTTCAATTCAATATCTACTATTTTTAACAATGAAGACTACACTTAAATTATGACGACATTAGCTAGCAAAATAAACATATTTTACATTAATTATGGGTATGAATCTCGCTCGCTATGAAATTTTCCAATCAATAAATTATTAAAATCTTATTCAAATATTTTAATAATATTTGTGTATTGTACAAAATTATATAGGTAGATTATGCGCTTTATTTAATCGAATTAAGAGCGGTTTTAAAAACAATTTTCTATCACCTCCTTGGACAGAGATAATAAGGTCTCGTAAGGACATCCCAAATTGCAAATACTATCACGATTGCGTTTAACATTATAGCGCCAAAACAAATAGAAGACATTGAGCTGACAAACCCCATGATAGAAAGTGATAACCGTCTTCTATAGACATGAATATCACAATAGATATCGCAGAGTATTCTGATCCGCCCGTATTACCCTTCATACCATTACTGAAGACTTATCTTGTGACCCTGTACCATGTAATCTCAGTACCATATCACATCCTTCAAGTCATAGACGTAGGCAAATCTACTACGTTACTAACTGACTAGCAATTCAATCATGAAAACAAGAAAATAGTTACACTAGTTTGCGTATTTTGTAAATGTGTGCATGTGACTAGTCTGAATTTATATGGAATTAGTTCAAATGGAGGTAGCAAATATTCACGTATTTGTTATAATTTTTATTTCAGTTCCTGAACCTTCTGAATTTTGTGTGGAATAAGATATATTGTTCTTTCAATTCGTATACAAAATATTTGTACTTGTACTATTGCACTGCATTTAAAAAATATATGTTTAATATATGCATAAATGAATAAAAAATGTGCAATGTTATGTATTTTTCCTAATTTATGTTCTATCAAGGTATTAACATGTTAATTTTAACTAACTACACTAACTTAAAACTAATACCAATTCGAAATGTAATAATAATTAGAATACTTCCGCCAAATCAACTTCGAGCTTTTGTGCAGATTGTCTATCTTGCTCTTACTTATATGTTATTATGTATTTTCTCTTTTACAATACCATACTTTTATAATCTACTCGTATATACTTTATAATATAAACATCTAACCGAAACTTACGACATTTTCGATTAAATTTCGGCCTGTCTGCGCTGGAAACGCCTATTCGTTGTATATTGTTGGTACTTACTGACCAAATATTGTATATATGTAGAGTGGTATCAGTATTAATCACGAAAGCGCGGCTTGTTAGTATATAAGCGGAATAGACTTGAATAGGTAATGTGCGCCTCTGTATACAGATATTGCTATTCCTTGTGTATTTTCATAGTTATTGCTGCTCTAATTTGCTTCTATGACCGAAGGGTATACAATATACTTGTTTATGGTTTCTATATCTAGGTATATGTAGGTTTTTTGTTCATGAAAAATAATCAATATTCAAACCGAAACACAGCCATGCAAACACAACTGCTTCACGGTAGAAACATGTATGTATTCCACAATTAAAGAATTTTAATTTGAATAATATCTAACCGTAAGAAAAAAAATATATAGTAAGATTATATAGATAGAGCATTGAGCGTTCAAAAATGGGTAAATTTTTAGCCAGCTAATTGTTAAATTAGCTGATTCGTTTTTTTATTAGTGTTCTATATACTTACGCATAAAATGTATCTTGACGTATTATTTAGTAAATAAAATGAGTGTTTACAAATTAAAAAGATACAGAAATTATAAGACAAAATAAACATAGAAGTTATACAGGAATCACTCATAACTATTTATCACGCAAAATTGTATGAAAAATTTGACCCACTTTTCTCAAAGCATTTCTATGGAGACGCTCTATCTATATAATCTAAGTATTTATAATAAGAAAAGATTGATTTTAGATATATAAATTGCCATTAATTATTGGATATAATTAATTAATGGCTTTATTCACAAATGCATTTTTTTTTAATTATAAGGCTTTAATTTCTTAATTATTCTCACTCCCTACAATTAGGATTTGATAAAGCGTTAAGTGATATTATTACCGAATTAATAATTAGGATCTATTTATTTATTACTTAAATTTTTTATATTAAATTTAAACTTACAATAGTAAACAAACTGACTGATTGCCGATCTGATGGGCAGCGGTAACCGTCGTCTAAAGACATGAACAGCACTATGGACGTAATAATCCAAGTATTTAAAGCTTATAACACGTAAGATTATACGTTTATATGTTATTATAAGCCTACACGAATTTTGATTTATACTACTATTATTACAAATGTGAAAATTTGTTAATATGTATGTACGTTTGTTATTCAATCACACTGCTAAACTAATTGTAGTGAAAATTGTCACCACATAGTAGCGACTAGTTAACACATAAGTACACTTTGTATACTAATATAAACGGCTAGTATTTTATAAATATAAATCTGAGTTACAGGTCGATGCCCTAGCCCTAGTGAACTGTACATCAAACCAAGCCGGCTGGATTGAATGGGCATATCAGAAGATGAATAGCCGCTCGCTGCGTACGCGCGGCATGACCCAAGCCGTGCTGGACTATCTTATGTGGCATCACTTTGGCCGGGTATGTCTTAGCTATATTTTTTTTAAGTGTTTTTACCTTTACGTATATCAGCTCTGTCACACTCTATACCTTTTCACCATATATAACTTTATTTACTTTCCTTACCCATGGTAAGGATTTTTTTGTCCGAACACATTCGACCAATCTCAAGAGTTACACACAAACACCTACTCACTCTGACCTAAAAATGTCCATGTGACACGAGTCAACAAATTAACACATATTTCACTACAAACAGAACTTACTTTATACTAGATTTTATTCGTAACATTGTCCGTGTGACCGGAATACATGCTTTTTTTTATTTTTTTTTATACAACTTAGAATGGCAAACAAATACTTATATGTAGATCTAATAATTAAATTGTGTTCTAAAAACAACTTACTTCATTTGTAATGAAACCAATTATTTTGATTTAAAAACTAAACTACTGAAGCGATTTTAATAAAAATTCTATGTGACCAATCTGTAAGTATATATCCATTCAGATTAAAAAAAAGAATTTTAAAGATATATATATTTATGTATGTTTTCCAAATCTGTTTACAAGTGACGGAGTTATAAGCAAACATAAAAAATACAACCAAATTGGGAATCTTCTTTTGAAGTTTGTTGAAAAGTAGCTTATGCCCTTCTTTATCGTATATCGTATGTATATACCAAATTGCTAGTAGTTGCCATGCTTGGCAGGCGAATTGGCAACCGCAGTTAAACTTTGCTGATGTTTTAGGAGTAGACTGTACAAAAAAAGTATATACGTTCCTATAGCGCTGATTTAATATTACCTCCAAATGTGTTTAAAATGCTGTGCAACGCAATCGAAGTTATAGACACGACTAATTTTATAATAAAATTGCTGTAAAACATCGAATCGTGCCAAACTACCAAACTCAATTACTAACATCGACTAATAACAAACAATGTTCTGTTCGAAACCAAATCATTTGTGTCCCGTGAATGTCGAATGTACTCATAGTATATGTATATCACATAATATACCCTGAGATTACATCGACATTGTGTTTGCAAACAGATTGAATAATTAGCGCGTAAAGCCATCCGCCTACTCATATATACAGCCAATTACTTGTTGAAAATTGTGACTGGACTAAAGTAATTAAGTTCGAGGGCCTCTCAGCGCGTTTGAAGAGCCTAATCGAATTTTCGCGTCGACGCGCTATATTTTAATGCCATCAAATTTACAGTGAGCCATTATGTAATTTATGTATCTAATTTTTACACAGACTTCAGTCATTTTTATTATAAAAATATTAATATATTATGTTGTAACAATTTTTAGATTTTTTATTATTTATTAACTGTTTCCAATGGTTTTGCCTGCCTGAGTAAGTGTATAAAGTATTCTGTGTTAAATTAGGATATAATAACCTATCTGTGTACCAAATTTAATTCAAATCTGTTATGTACATAGATTTTCAAAATCAGTTAAGTAAATAGTTTATCCATTACAAAGCAAGCATAGAAAAAAATCTTTTCTCTATATATTATTAGTTCAAAGTAGCTTTTATCCGTGACTTTATCCATGTAACCGGGATATGTTCACTGACCGGGATAAAAATAGCGTATGTGTTTCATCATCCCGTACAGTATCTGTATACCAAATTTCATAATGATTGTTTAAACCGTTAAGAAGTAACAAACAAACTCACTTTCACTTTTATAAGCATTATTTTACTAATTACTTAGTACTAATGCACTATTTACCTGAAGATAATCTGTGTGCACAATGCATTGTGTTTAATTGCTAGCCGTGCGAATTATGCTAATGCGTTATTCAATGCCTACACTGCACACCACGAAATGTATTGAATAATTTGTGTATCGCCATAACGCTTTCTCAAGTGTAAATACTTATTGTCTCCTTAAGAATGGACGTATAAGTTTTTGTTATATGCACCGTGTAACATACAAATGTTTGTGTGTATCACGGTATGTGTATAAATGACCGTGTGGTCCCGGCATAGAATAGGCCACCTCTTTCTTAACGTATGTGTCGTAAGAAGCGACTAACAGAGAATGCCCATCCCTCTATTTAATGGTAGAAGGATGGGCGGCAGTGCCCCTCTTAAAACATCTCTGAAAGCATGTGTGTTGCAGTTCTGAAGCAGGTGTGTTGGCAAACTGCGGTTGCCAATACACCTACTAAGCATGGCAACTACTGACAAACCTCCCCTTAATTGGTAGCCCTATGTTCATCAATGGACACTTAACGGCTGAAATGATGATACAAATGTTTATACTCTATTTATACTCTATGTATCTCTACGTATGTATTTTTAACACGAGCGTTAACGCTGCATATATTGTTACACTACATATATTTACTTGAGATTGTGAGAAATGTATTATTATTTAATATATACGTTTTGTGACGTCATTATCTATTTATTTATATACATAGCGCTTGTATATTGCTCTGCGAATTGATGTTATTGCAAAAGTGATATATAGTTTATTGATTGAGCTTAAAGTCCCATATTTATTAATTTATGCGAATTCCACAATTTTGTTTTATTGTTATGCGTCTACAGCGTAAAATTCAAAGCAATAATCTCCTTTTAAAGAAACGCTCTGCTAATAGTATTGTGCATTGCATTGTATTTTCTTATAGTCTTAAAACCAGGATATTTAATAATCGAGCTCATGTCGGTTTTGAGAGAGTGCGTGCCTGAACAATGGTTGTCTCTTTCCAGTACTCGGAAGAGCGCAATCGCGACCTGAGCCAGATGTACCGCAACTACTTCAGCCGCAACGTGAATCCAACCAATCTATCGTTGTTCATTGACGCGTACGTACAACGCACAGATCTCGGAATCGGCCGTGATACGGACACGATCAAGGTAATTTATACGTTAATAAACTGACTGAAAATCTATGACAGAATCAAATTTCATTGATGTATAATATTTAATCATTGCAATGTTTAATCTTTTTATTGATGATAATTAAGATTTCAACAAAAAAAAAAAACAACCACTTTAAAATTTAGGCAAAACCAAAACAAAACTACTGAATCTATTTTGATAAAATTTCTATAGAACCAATCTATAAACACATATTATTTTAGATAACAGAAGAATTTGCCAAATCGGTTTACAACTGATAGAATTACGAGGCAACAAACAAGAAAAAATACGACTGAATTGAGAATATTCTTTTTTACGGAAGTCTGTTGAAATGTCCAGTTTTACTAGCAAAACACTTACTTCAAAGGCTAATAATAATCTTCCAGGAAATAACCTAGACGATTACCAGAGAAAACTATGTGGATAGGGTAAATTGTTTGCAAGTGTACTAGTTTACGAATCCTTTACCCAATTTCTATAGATGTTATAAAAAAAATAAAAAAAGTAAGAATGCCTACGTAGGTTTTTGGCGTGGCTACTAAGAGACAATTCCGACAATTGTAACCGACATGACCTAGACATATATCATAGTTTCTTAAAATCTATTATATACTATCGTTTCGACCAGGCCTTGCACGAGTAGATAGAATTTTCAAAAATAACTTACAACCTATTTTACTGAGTAATGTAGGTTTCTACAGGGGAAAGAATTTTTAAAATTGGTTTATAAATTTTGAGTGCATCCATTACAAACATATGACCAAATCTTGTCTGTTTCTAATATTATTTATTAATATTACAAAATAGAGATTTCTGCTGATCACGAAGACCTCGTTTCCGTTAATACACAGTATTTCTCAACAGGTGCCCGTACTGAATATCACGGGTGCGATGTCGCCACACGTCGACGACACGGTCACGTTGAACGGACGACTTCACCCATCAAAGTCCACTTGGATGAAGGTAATGTATCCAAATTTCTAGTAATTAAACTGTTTTAAATTGGTGAATGGGTAGATGGAGATGGATGGATGCGGAAAGCGGAGGTGATAAAGGCCTATGTCTAACAATGAATAGATATAGGGTAAAATATAATGAAGAATTGTAGAAGTATAGACAGTGGTGTATCAATATTATTGAAATATAATTTTTATCTATATTGATGATGGAAAATATTATTTCTACTAATAGAATCTATATTTTAGCTTGTATTGCTTTTGGAAATACCAGTCGAGTGGCCAGCGAATGAAATACAAAAAGTAATCTTGCTCGTCAAACAAATAAAGCATAAGATACAAACTTACAAGTAATAATCCTCATAGCAGGATGTTATGTAATAATCTATGTGTGTCTATAATTTAGATGTCATTAGCACGACACATTTATAGACGATAGTAAACAGGCAGTACATTGACCATATTTTTTTTTGCTGGTCCGGAAAAAAATATAACATATCCATTTAAATAAAACAAACTTCTATAATGTAATCTGTCTTGTGTTTGTGGTAATTTTTAAACAATGTCATTTATTTTATCGTTATCTATTCTTCAAGTTCTTTCATAATTTCCATATTAAAAAAGTTGACCAAAAATAACATCATCCGCCATTTAGTGACGACGGCCATTTTGAAAATATTTAAAAATTTATATAAAAAAATTTCAAAATGGCCGCGTTCACTTTGCAGATAAGAGCATTGCATATTGCTATCAAAATCAAGGTATGCATGTATGTATGCATAACTTCAACTTAATCTGATGTCAAGGAATGGTTTTGGTTCAACTTACAAGATTTGACCTAAACATTCAAATTCAATAAAATAACATACAAATTACAAACAATAAAAATACTTATAACCTCACATTCCAGATATCCGACTGTGGAATGGTGCTGGAGGAGCAACCAGGCAAAATCTCTGAGGCATTCCGTCTCTTCCTTCAAGGCGAGGGCTATGGTAAGTAAGCTGTGGTGGGCAACACTACAACATCACTCATCAGAACTCTTGGTCGTAACTGGCAATGAAATGCGTAGGTGGATTTAGGCTAAGCAAACAAATAACACATAGCATGACATTTAGACCAATATTAGCTGTATCACTAAGACTGTAAAGTATCTTATGTGCTCAGTATAACGTTCTGCTCTGGCCTGCTTAATTGCCAGACCTCAACCCAATTGAGCACGCAAGGGATATGCTCCAAAGAAAAGCTCTGCCGAATATGGAGGCCTTGCATACAGCCCACAACAACTTTTTAACTTGTTAGAAAGAACGTGGGTGGCCATATCTCAAAGTAATTTGAATGATTTGATTTTAAGCACGCCAAATCGATTTTATGATTCGTGACAATGGTGGAGATATGGTTTTAAATAATTAAAACAAAAAGTCCTATTTTTTTCCTATTTTCTATTTAATTGATAACATTAACTTGGGTTAATTTCCCACAATATGCATAACTTGCAATTTTTATTAATTTGTACAAAATATAGGGATAAGTAGTTAACTTAAAAATAGAAATTAAAGTAAGAAGCCAGACTGAAAGACCAGGTTTGGTAAATATTAGGTCGCTAGACACTTTTGAACTTTATATATAATATATTTTACTTATTACAGAATATATATGTTTATAATACAGATAATTTGCGAATGCAGTGATGCACTTAAGAATGTTTCTTACCATGTTTACACTAAACAAAAAGTGGAGTAGTAGAAGGAAGTGTTTTCTCAAGCTTGATCTGAATCCACCTAAATATATTCTATACATTTTATACATAACCATTGATGTAAATCTTAACATAATCTAAAACAATATTTACTCATTTTAAAATCATTTATATCATAAGAGAGTGGCAGCTCTTTTATTTTTATATTGTCAAAATTCAAACATGATTAAAAATTTTCATATATATCTCGGTGATAATTTAAAAGTACTGTTATAACAAAGACAATAAACGATTTTTAAAAGTTTTAATAGATTTTTAAAAAATATTTGACAACTTCAAAAGCAAAATATGAAATATTTGTCAATAATTAGTGTCAGAAAAATCTATATACATAAATAAAATTGTCATTCTATTCGTTGTTCGCATCATTTGATAATAATTAAAGGAAATTGGCATTTTTTTCTTTTTTATGATCTATGTCCGATCAAGGATTTAAAGAAAAAGAAATGAATACCGGACGTGATGACATCGGGTCAGCTAATGTTATAAATCTTAAGTTCCCGTACGAATATAAGGTTAAGGTCAACGTATATACTTGTGTATGTATGACACTACACTCATGATTACCATCTGCCTAATAATAAACATGGTGATTAAAATAAATATAATTCCATAATTAAAGAAACAGATACTATATATAGGTATGGAACTGTGATAAAAAATTAATAAATTAAGAGAATTATTATATAAAAAAATGTGTTCACTAATAAAATATCATTTCTTTTGAAGTAAAGCAAATTAGTTGACAATGCTTTTATTGTTAATACACTGAAATGCGTTCTAGTTTAGATCAAACACTAAAAACTAAAGTGCAAGCTTTAGAGCTTCGCAAACTGTCACGCCTCGCCAAGTACTTAGTAGAAAAGTAACACTTGTAATCACATCATAACTTTTTCATTCTTTTTTATTATTTACATCATTTGAAAAATATGTTTTATACACAATATAATTAAGTACGCTAGCACCAATATTGTAAACAACAAATATAAGACGTTCACTGGAAGTGAAACAACGTCTTCAAAAGCGACCTTATTGCACCCGTACCAATAGAGAGTGCATAATATTTTTTTTTTATAATTTATTCTCCTATTATCATTCGAAGAAAGCATATTCCTTCTTTCTCTATCTCTCTCTTTCGTATTAATGCAATAAAGTCTTACATTGCAGTTTACAAGTAATATCAACAGTCATTTCTTATATAAAAACTGGTACTAGTGTACAATAAACTGTGGGTGCATAGAATATTTTATCTGATAATTTGTTTCAGAAGCCCAATTGTTAAGACTCGCAAATCATAGTTTATTATTAATTATCGTTTTAAATACGTACATTATTTCAATATCAGATCACAATTGAAAATTTTAATTAATGACAATGTAAATTTTTCACATGGACCACAAAAGTTGACGTTGTTATTTATAACAAAAAGAACCATTTAAAGTATTTCAACGAAATTAAAAAAAAAAATAAGGACTGTCATGTTAACTACTACTTGTATTAAAATTAGAAAGCACCCTTCCACATACAGAGGCTACAGTGTGCAAACTTTAGTGGTGAATTTAATAATACCAAAAATATTGTAGGCATTACTGTTCCATATTTACTAATGCCCACAATATTACTTGTAGTAATGATCAATTGTCCAGATTCTAGTTCGCGACAAATGGCAAATGTGCCTGTCTATGTATGTAGATACGTTATAGCCGCTGCGTCCATGACAGAACGAGAAAGCACCGTCCGGCGTCTTCTTTCTTTTTAATGAAGAGATTTTTAAAAATAGATTCGTTTGCCATTTAGTTAGGGAGCTGATTCTCTATGTTAATATATTGCATCTACGTTATTATTTATGGAAAATTATTGTAATAATAGTAGTTTCGAAGTGTATACTTTGCGTTGTTTAAGTTTCTCATTAACAGTTAAATTCATCACAATTTGCTCACGTCGATCGTCAGTCACAGTTTATTTTCAATTAAACATACCATTAATAAGACGGTGCATTGCTACATATTGCAAATTTGATTGTCCTAATCAGCTTTTTAAATTATTTATTTATATTGAAATTATTTATTATCATAGATTTTTATTCCGTTGATGATTTTAATTATTTACAAATTTACAGCATGTAGCCGGCATGACGTCATGGATAAATTAATTACATTGCAATAAGTTATGTCTGAACCCCCCCTTTTTTGTTCCCCTCGTTATGTTTGAGCCTGGATATGCGATTACGTTATGCGGCAACCCATAATGACATGGTATGTATTGGAGAACGCTTAAAATCTTCGCGCTTGAATATAGAGAGGCTTAAATGTATCTATGACTTGTTTGTTTTACAATATCCTTAGATAAACGTAGAATTCCGTTTAAAAGTATTTAGCGTTAATTAGCAATTCCTGCCATTCTCATTGTTATTGTCACTTTCCTCATTAGTTATATATGTTCTTCTCTATTTGTCTTGTATGTTGACTCATAAACTCAATTTTACAGACATTCAATATCGCAATGTATACATTTTATATATAAGATAATTAATTTACGCCATTCGATTCCTTTTCCAAAATGAATTTTAATTTGTATTAACATATTTATTTTCTTCTTTTTTACACTTACACTTTATTTTTTTTTCACTATACACACTTCTTCAAAACTTCATGGGCTCAATAGAGAAATTAAAATTGAAACAAATTTGATTTAATATAAAATAAATATACAATATCGATTAATTGTGAAATATTTTTAAAGAAAGTTTTATTTTCTCGATTGGCAGCCTTTGTATTATTTTCACAATATGTATATAAATACTAAAGATTATTCCTCACTTATAACATTTGGTTCTTTTATTTTTGTTTCGGTCCCACCCCGGTAGCTGCACTATCACTACATAAAATAGGCACTCGCAGAAGTAGTTCGAAATTGCAGAATCGCTCGGCACACTTCTAGCCAGTATCTTGTTACGAAGCTTGCGTAGAGAGAGAGTAAGTCTTTATTTTTTTTTTATATACCATTATCTAATCTGTTCGAACACTAATAACATTGTGAATGTATGTATGTAACTTATTTCACTTGTTACGCTATCATGCTGGATAACATTGATATCTGTAGCATCCTTTTACCGCTGAAACTGAACATCCTTCCTAAAGAAAAACGCGCCGAAAAACGACAAACAAATTTAAACCTCCCATATTAATATGACACCATCAGTTTTACCAAGGGCATAATTTGCACAAACGTGGTCTGCATAGACACCTCTGCAGCAGCAATACTTTCATAGTTATTTTATGGTAAAGAAATTACAGTGTACAATATTATTAAGGGATGGCAAGGCATCAGGGGTACCATATACGTAATAGTGTATTCTGTAACGTTCATGGTGCAGTTCATGTCTGTAAACATTGGCTACCACTTTCAATCAGGTGGGCCGTCAGCGTCTTAACCGTGCTAAGTATCATAAAAAAGCACACTCGAGTTAGGGAGGCTCTTATTTCTTGTCTTTTTTCGTCCCATGTTTCTTTGGCAAAAAACTGCCTGTTCCTCTGGATTATTCTATTAAAAAGTTGTTAATGATTTCTATTTCATTTAGAATTTATAGGATTATATATTTATATTTAAGATTGTCTCATAAATACAGAGCTGTAACAATAAATGGCTTAATTCATTTTAAAAATATACAACATTATAAATTGCATTACTCTCTTAATTAATTCATATGTTTTCATTAAATATAATCCTATAAATAGTATAGTCCTATAAATATAATAGTCTGATAACCTACCACACGCTAAAAGTAAAGTGCATATTTTTCAGTGGAAATTTTTCTACGTTTTTTTATGCTACTCTATTCCTGTTACATTTATATTTTATCAGTGTTCGAATAGAAATATATTGTTGTTTTTCGCTTTGTTCGGCTGTACACGCACGTTGCAATCAATCCATTTTCCGTCTGTCGAACCTATTACTCGAATTAAACAACTTGTACCGATCTCAGAGCATTTGTACAAGTAAAATGATGTTCTTTTATTTTTTGTTTATTATATATTTGGTATATTTTGTAAACCTTGCCATGTCTATTTATCGAAATAACTGTTCATAAAATAAATACAATGTGGTCTGTGTGTTGACTATTTATTTATAATTATTATTATAAATGATCAATTTCACATAAAGACATGTTAAGTTTGCTAAATATACCACGAGTAAAAATAACAGATTAAAATAATCTTGTGGTTTTGAAATATAATAAAGTACGCCAACACGTATATTATCTACTTTAATCGATTAATTAATAAAAATACATAATTCTTTTACTAAATTACCTATTTGCGTTTGTTAAATCCTTAAATTTTTTAAATTATTTTTATAACTGTTCAAGTCGATTATAGAAATCACATTTATTTTTCATTATCTTGCTAATATGATTTATTCGTGTTGTATTGTTTGTGTTGTGCTTTGTAACAATTTCGAATCATCATCATTTAGTCATTGCAGTTATTATTTGAGTACATAATTTATTGATTGTTGAAGGATAATATTCAATTTAGTTACGTGAAATTGGATTCGTTTTCATAATATGTGTAATTTCGAGCCGTATAACCAAATAAATGTTCATAATATCGACCGTTTTTCCCAACGGATTTATTTTGTAACTGTTTATAGAGGAAATCTGTCGTGTGTGTTTTGTGGACTAATGCTTACTAAAAACAGGTTGCGTGTACTATATATTTCCGAATGTTCGAAGTTGTACCTATTCATTTCAAAAAACTTGCACAGAGTCCTAATTCTGCTAGTATTAATAGTATTTGTATGATGAAATATTAATGTTTATAATCTGATATTGCTTAGTAATTAATTCAAGTTTTGGAAAACAGCAACAGCTGTTTCTTGCTCCTTCTTTTTAACTAAATTTAAAGACTTAAAGTGAAAGAATTTTTAAAATCCGTTAATAAGTTTTATCCATTACAAACAAACAAACAAATCTTTCCTCTTTCTAATATTAGTATATTTTTATAATGTTAGCATAAATAAAAATCCTTGTATATAATATTATCATTCGGCTTTAAGAGTTTGAGAATTTTGCTATGTGTCAAAATTGCCAGTCTCAAACAGTTTACTTCAACGCCAAGGCCTTATGAAATAGGTTTTACGATTTAATTTAAATTGTATTTCTTTGGATAATATTGAAAGATGAGAAATAGCGGAATTAGGGCCCTATTCATTCTTATTAAGAGAGGCTTCAACAACAAATAATGCCAAGAGGAAAATAACTTGACATTATTTTTCTCTTTTATCAATGGTATGACTTCGAAAATCGAATATCGATGGTTAATAACCAATACCTCCTAACTGACATGAAATAATCATAGACATTTTTTTCTAACTTACTTCTAAATATATTGATGATATATTAAGATATATTAAAACAATATATATATATATATATTAAAACAATCTACTCAACTATTTGGTTTCATTGTATTTAGAATTCATATTTACAGTACAGTTTCGTCCATGTTAGTTAGGAGTAATATTCGCGGTTTCGTCAAAATATGAATTTATCAGCTGAAATGTAATTTATGACGTACGTTAATTGTGTATATTGCTAACATATTTCAGTGGCTCCCCTGTCACCGACGAAGATTGTAGCGTTCCGACGGCTGTCGGACGCTGAGCGCCGTCGCCCGTGCCGCCACTCGCCCGTCATCCGTATCACGGAGAATCCTATCTCGGAAGCGGTGGTCTGTTAAACACATTATTCGACTTACCCGGGCTCGCGTAAGGATTGAAAAGGTCAGATGCGGAAGCTAACTCTCGCAAGGCGTATGAAATTGACTATTTTTTTTTTCCTTTTTAAATACTTTTATTAGGAATTCTGTTAATGTTGCATATCTATTAAGTTTTTATTATATTTAAAATTGACATGTTTTTTATTGATTCTTAATGAATATTATAATTTTTCATACAAGGTTATAATCTATGTCCATAATATTTGCACCGTAAGTGTTTCGCTTGAAATATTTACCAACCATTGACAAATAGTTAGGTATCTACATAATATACACAATTTATTTATTTATTATTTCTGCGTAATATAATATTAGTGTTGTAACGTTTGTTTTAGGGTTATAACGTTTATTTTTTTCGGAAATGAGAGGGGGGGGGCGCTGTACAAATGCAAATGCTGGATTTTATGTCAGAGGCCAACAACCGGTCAACTTTTAATAAACTAATATCAAATTTTTTTATATAATCTATTCTCTATATTTGTTACTTATGGTGAATAATTATGTCTTGTTAGTTTAATTCTTATGAACCAAAACATAAATTAGTTTCCAAATGTACTATTTTTTAAATTTATAATTATTACACTTATTGGTTTTATTTTTAAATGAATAAATTCAACCGCCTTTATACTTTTTTTATGCAACCCAAAATGACGAACAAGTTTACGGTTATTTTGATAAAAATAATGCATAAAATAAACAAATTGATTAAAAAAACCATTTCAGTTTGCCTAAATACTATTATTATTTTCTTCTTTTGACTTTGAAAAAAGACAAAACGTTTGCCATGATAAATATGTCGAGTATAAAAAGCAGATTATAATGGATATATTGCAGTATATGTATGTAACCATTTCTATGACGCTGTCTCTTGTCGATAACAAAATGTCCACGTTTGCACAGCGCCTAAAGAAAAGAACAGTATCATTGTATTTATAATATTCATTGTAGAATAATATAAAACATTCTTAAATGATTTTAATGTTTTATATAAATCATTGTGTGTTATGTTAAGGTCATATCATAAAAATTACATATTACGTCTATTATATGACGAACCTCAAAAGATGTATCAGTGACGGTGCTCCCGTATAACCAAAAAAGCTAAGTGTGCGCTTCTATATTGAACAATTTTTTTCATTACCCATATCAAAATTGTCAGGGAACCCCACGTGCGCTAATGGTTTAGGTTGGCTGGGCACCAGCGTGATCATCACAGCCATTAACGGATTTGATGTCTTAAGAAGGACGCTGCGGCCCATCCCTCGACCATTAAGTTACCTTAGCGCCTCTTATAATACAGAATATAGTAATATATTGCTATAAATGAAGCCTTTAATCTCCATTCATTACTAATGATTTCGTCCCCATTGCATACTGATCCTCTAATTTAGTAGGCCAAGCTTAGCTATGACTGAACTATCACTGATATATTTCTTCCGTCTATTGAAACCAAATAGAAGCATGACTCAGAATCATGTGAAATGACACCTTACCAATTACACGACCGAATCATTATATTGAAATAGTTTTAAGTGATGACTCAATTTTATCGATTATTGATTTTAATGTAATAGAAAAATGTAACCAAATATGAGAATCTCGTAATTTTTGATTTAGTTATAAAAATATTATTAGTAAGTATTATTTTAATGTTAAGAGTAATGTTATCCATATTTAATTAATTCATTCCTATTATTTATTATTCTAGATTAAGAATCTCTCGTATGATATTATTATATTATTTACAATTAATCATCCATTTATTTTATTAATTAAGATAAATTCCTAAATAAGTGAAAATAACGATATCCATTTTATTTTCATAACTATGCGGCTAAACTTATTTTGATGAAATTGAATTTAAGAATATTAGATTTATTAAATAAATTAAATAATTTTATACATGTTTAAAGACAATGAAAAAGTTGTATATTAACAAAAGTAATTTAAAATATGATAGGATATCTAATATCCTTTTTCCAATAATTTCCTGAAAATTTAGACATGATGCTAACGAAACAAAGTGAATACAATTTATTTTTTAAATTTATGAAAGGAAAAGAATAACACATTAAAAATCTATGTTGTAATTATACGTGTATTATGTTCCTATATCTCATTGTATTGTCCTAAAAATTATAATTTAAATTATTTAATTAATTAATTGTCTGACACCTAAAAATTAAGTTTTGTATCATTTAATTATGTTAAAAATAAATTTGTTTAGAAATAAAAACACATTTTAGGTTGTTTATTTTTGTTCTTTTATTTTTTTTATTTTGTTGACCCACGAGACATTATTATTTGTTGTAGCTCTACAGAAAACCTTTTGTAATTTACTCCCCAACAAATATACATCATTATTATTATTTTTTTGTTTTCTTTTTATTTTAATTTATATTCCGCATCTGCTAATGGAAGTATTAACAACCTGCCCCTACAACTTCAGAGATAAGTGTTGTATGTAAATAATGTTAAGTAGGTAATACACGACCGTGTAAATTATCAACTAAATCTTAAGTCACATTTAATTACAAGCAGGATTTAAGTTAATTTGATATTAGGTGGAAATAAATGGTTCGATCCTGATGGATTTGAATATGGACTGGTGAAATATGGAGTGGTTTTAGGTGAAACATATTGTCTCATTAATAAAATAAGTATATTTATATATAGATGATAGATACTTGACAGTTAAGTTACTTAATTTAGTGTTTAATCTTTGTAATCAATATCATTTTAAAATCATAAGTTTTCTTTTTTGTTAGAGATTAGTTTCAGAATCACTGACTATTCTTAAACTAGAAAACATTTTGCACAGTCGTGTGATATCGCCTTAAATATTAGATCGAAGCATTAGTATGTTTATACGGAACCAAAAATTATCTATTTACATAAGTGTAGGTACATATCTTGTGGGGGGCACAGCGTAGACGGCGGGGGAGGGGAGGCGACGCGGGCTGCCGGGTAACACTGACACCTAGCTAAGTTCTGTTGCTCACCAGTGAATCGCACTGTTGAAATTATATCATTATATAATTTTAAGAGAATTTTATTAGAACCCACTGACTTATATATAATATATACCACTATGAGCATAAAATATTATTCATTTAGGCTATGGACACATATTATTACATGTTGATTTAAGCGACTGTGTAAGAGAGTTAGCATGATTTATTTTGTAATTAGAAATAATGAACACGAAGGGCTGGGGTACAGCCGACGGAGCGGGCCGACCACTGTCCGGCGGACTGTCGTGCTGTCATAAACAGTTAACATTATGTTGGAATGACCAGTTCCCAGTATTACTACTAGTAAGGATTGTGAGTTTATTATTTCAAATTTATCACACAATAATAATCAGTTAAGTCTCACTGCTAGGCACGGTTTTATCTCCTTAAGAGAAGCAGATAACCAGACAGCTTGGCACAGTATTTCATTCACAATTTTACTATCAGTTAGAAAACTGGGGAACATTTCAACATTACTAGTGATTTTCCAGAGTAACTGCTAATACATAACATGTATTAAGAGGAATACCGTTGGTTCTGTAAATCATTTCTGTCATAAATAATATGTTTTTGGGTGAAAAAAAATACTAATGTTTTTTCTAAAACTAAAAATACTATAACTATGATCCTGTACCTGATACATATTAGTAGTTAAACTAGGAAAATCCACTATTTCGCAGTAGTAATGTTGAATTCGATATGCTCCTAGATTTTATAAAAAGTCGACAGTCTATAATTGTTATAAACAAATGGCGTTTATTATATTAGATAGAAGGAAGATGAAGAAGAAAGTGAGAAAGACGAATGACTGTACTATACGGACTTAAAAAAGAAATCTCACTGTTTAGTAATAAACAGTGATAAGATTTGAAAAAATCATTTCATACTTTTTACTGCTGTATAAATTTACAGTCCAAAGGACTTCTAGCTGCAAGAAAAGCAGTTGAAAATACTTTTGACCAGTTCAGCACATACTTACTATAATATAGTTGCGGCGTATACAAATTCGGGGCATGTTGCAGGCAGAAACGGCATCGCCGACAGCTGTTCAGTGGGCGTCGCTGGGTGCTATGCTAAGACCAAGATAGTTTTTTGAAACTGATTATTTGATTAATATTTTTGAATCATATTCGCTTAGTTTTTTTAAATCGCATAAGGTTACATTTATATCACCTTTGTGAACGGTATATTTAGAATAATTTCGGAGGCCTACATGTCATGTGTTGGAAAGTTGTGATCGATTTGTTATTTATATAATGTAAGATATTTATTTCGTGTTACAAAAAAATAACCATTTTTAATTTTAAGCGTATCGATTATACATGTATAAGAATCAACTTTTATTTTGGTAATAGCAGTATCAAATTTTCTTTTATTAGATAATAAATAATAAATGTACACCGCTTATAAACGTGATGCTAAATAGATCTACTTATCGTGCAGCGGCTTTTTTAATATTATTTTAGTTTAGATTATTAGCTGAAGTCAGTGTGATTGTTACTTCAATGCTTTAGTATTACAATATAGGTATCCGAGGTTCAAAAGCGTGTAACGGCATTTTCTTACCACGTCTCGAACGTACCACTATCCGTCCCACTTTCAAAAACAAAGTTCGTTTTACAAAATAATCTATAAAATATTCTTACAGTGTAGTTGGAAATTATGAAATTAAAATAATAGGATATGAGATAAATTTGGAGCATCTAAATTTACTAGCACTGGCGCCTCCGAATCAACTCCTAGGTCTTCGTTTTTTTGTATGTATCTACATGTTTATATCAAAATAGCTTTGTATAAATTCATGATGTCGTTGATTAATCAATGAAAAAAGCTAATCTAAAAGTTGATCCAACACCCAAATAAAAATTACTACTTCAAGCACTGCTAGATATAAACGGCGACCCTTTTTTTTATATAAATATGGCTAAAGAATGGAAGGAAAATATTGCTTAAACGTTGGTAATAAAATAAATTGTAACTTCACAAATATTTATTATTATTTTATTAGTTATACCTGTGTATAAAATGTGTAGGGCGCGAGCATAACCAACTACACTGACAGAATACCGGTGCACCTCCAAATATCTGTAAACGAATGCCACCAAATGTATTGGTTCACATAAACGATGGTCGTTTCATGAATGCCATACTTGAAGGTTACGATGTTGATGGAAGATTTCTTCTTTATAATTAGAATAGCATTTGATCTGTAGTTGGATCTGAGTAGACCAGGTCAGTTCATTCAAACCTGAACATTTATCTGTGCGATGAGGCGCCCACAACACCAAACATTTTCTGAACAAAATATATTTTTCAAATGAAACCCGAGGCGGTCGCATCGTACATTTAATTTGTCATGGTGCCTACTATATGCTTCGTAGAAGTACAATAATACGATAATATTTTCTAGATATAAATTTTATGAACATTAAAAGGAAAATATTTGGTTTTGTAGTGTATAATCGAAGCATAATTTATAGTCGGAAGATTATTTATTTGTGTGAGTTTAATATGGGACTATTAAAAGGTGATTTTATAAAATTTGCTGTTTTATTGCTATCCCCACTATTTATATAAATCCAAATGAGTATCTAGTTTTGTAGAGGTGCATTAGATTTAATCCTTATTAATATATTAAATGTGAAAGTAGATTTGTGGGCTACCTTTTTTTATTATACAACTTAGAATGGCAAACAAGCTGACGGCTCACCTGATGGAAAGTGGTAACCGTCGCCTATAGACATGAGCAGTATCATGGACATAACAGAGTATACTGTTTCGCCCATGATACCCCCAAGCGTTGCCATTCTTGAGGACTCAGGTGTTATTCCTCTGTACCCTGTAAATTCACGCCATATCCCACCCTTAAAACCAAAACACAGCCATGCAAACACAACTGCTTCACGGTTGAAACACGAATGGGAGAGATACCCAAGCAAACGACTATTGTACAAAGTCTCCCTCTGGCAAAATTGACCTGAAATTTTCTGTACATATACTATTGGGATAGAGGATATAGATAACTTTTATTCCCTATCAGTAAAAATGTTGCGGTTACGCAGACAAAGCCGCAGGTAAAGACCAGTTTCAAATAAAACAAAAATATACAGTGATTGATATATATATTTTACGTACTAGGTGTCAACAAAACATGTATAATGATATAAAACACAGACATCCATAATCAATATTAGATCAGTACAATAAAACTTAGGTATTTAAATTTCTACAACTTGTAGGTGACCATAATTTATACAATTTACATCCATGACGGAAGACATGAAGCATTATTTTTTTTAAATGTTGAAAAAAGCATATTATTATTGCGAACTTTTAAAATCAAACTAATCGTAGTCGGTCAAAAGTACACATAGGGAAAGGACTGCTAGTAATGGGGTCTAACAATCTCATTACTAGCAATATATCTTATCAGGTTGACCTCAACGCGGTTTCCCCTGGAAACCATAGTGATTAATTCTTTAATTAGTGACGATGAGCTAACTAACCTATTTTCATCCTCAACTGTCATCCCCCACTGTTGCCCTAGCAGGCGGGGCTACCATCCCATTGCCACTCATAAAAAAAAAGGTATACACAGAGTGACACGTACACTTTTAACTAAACGGCTATGTATTCGATTAAGTGCAAGATCCACCCTTTGTTTATTGCCCCAATTTCAGTGTTACTATCATTATCTTCATCATATCAGTCGCTGACTGTCCATTGCTAAACATAGACCTCCCCTATAGATAAAGAACGTTCTCGAGCCACGTGCCAGCATTATTATAGTCTATTTCAATAGAACTTAATGAAAAGGTATCCAAATTTTGTTGAATATACTCTGGCAACACTTCCTAATGAAATTAGTAACAAATCATAACATTAATTCAATTTTTTTTTATATTGCACTACTACTAGACATCTGCAAACCGTCTTATGATCGGATCAATTATTCATTTGTGACCTCTATTAAAACAGATTATAGTCCAATTGTTGCCACTACGCGACTGCACTTTTTAAGATACAAAACATCTCCCGTCATAGATTCAGAATTACAATCCTAAAAAGCAAACAGTATCCTTTAACACAGATGATAAATAAGTGATACCTAATAATATATCCATATTGATACACGTCCATCAAACAGAAAATACAGTTAAAAACTCTTTTATAGCGAGTTTTCGTATTATGAATAAATATTGCCATTGTTTGATATCTTTTCGCACTATTTTTCTGCGAAAGTGTGTACATATACTTTCACTTACACATATAATATGGATATTATTTAAATAAATGTCATTTTCTAAATAAATATAATTAAATTATAATTTCGGCTTTATTAATAATAAACTTATAGAGAATTTCTTTTAGATCTTGTTGCTAATTATAATGACTAAATAAAGACTAATGGATTAGATCACATAGTATCGATACAGAATACAGAAATCTTAACTTTTAAACTTTCGCGTTACATGACTTATAGTTTATAAAGGGCGGGAATTAACAAGATCATTTTAGTTATCAGGTCTTTTTTTACGTTTCGTCCAAACAACTAGAACCGCAACTAGACGAAGCAGTAATACAAGCGAATCTATTGATAGAATCGTTATAGCTAGCGAGTCCATGAGATAGAATGAGATGGTGATAAGCGCTCTTATTTTTTCTCACGAAAATTTTTTTTGTTTCTTTTCTAGGAACAGATTAGATAGGATAGAACAAACGATCTGGACATGAGTCAACTAATTCTATATTAGTTCCCGTTCCTTATAAACAAAAAAAAAAGTCAAAACAATAATGTAATCCAGCAAAGAACTTTATAGCACCATGACATAAAAATAACTAAGAATATGTATTCTGAGAAAAATAAATACCTAGTCTATTTATTCTTATGAACCTGGTAAAAAGAAATATTTCCATTGGGTAAAGAAAAATCAGCGGTCCAACGCTTTTGGCGTGTTCTCAAGTCTTCTTCTTTCCCAGTCTTAAATGTCCTAAGGATTACATGACAATTCGGAACGTATTGCTCAGTCTAGATGCACCTAACCAGTGAACTAGTGCTTTTTACTTAGTTCTGACGATTGAACTACTGGTAATTAGACACAAGAAAAAATATATTCCCTTTTTTTAGAAAGAAGTTTTTAATCCTACTGTATGTTTTTGAGTGTATTTTACGAAAAATCTTCGTTACTCGAGATCCGGTTCATGTTCATGTATTAAATTAAATGGACTCACATTCAAGATGGTTCTATAGTTAAATCAAATCTACTTGTGATTATTTAAAATTTGCATTAGTTATGTAAACAAAACTGTTTAACAGAACTAAACAAAAAAGTAAATGTAAATTTGTTTAGAAATAATGCCTAAAAATATTGTTGACTGAATTTCATACACGCAATACACGCTATATATACATTTTTATGTTTATTGCAATTTTACAATTGCGTGCAGTATTACTCTAGAATGATATAATCATACATATTATACATAACTTACTAAATAACTAAACAAAATGTTAAATTCTAGTAATGATAAAAAGTGAAAAAATAACTTGAAAGCAAATTAGATACTTCAGTACTTGTACAAACGTTCCTGATCTTCAAGATAATATCCTCATTTCTAGAATTTAAATATCTCAAAAAAAATATAATACCATCATATTTTTTTTTAAATACCAATAATTCTATATAAAGACTTAAAAACAGATTAATTTCGAATATAAATGGATTAGTGTATTCCCTAGATGGCGATGTAATAGAATCACCATACTAGTAACGTGTCACGACCCTTTTCAATCGTAGGATACTTTAAAACAGCGTCAGGGAAAAAAGTACAATACACCGGTAAAAAAATCCCATAAAATAAAAAAATAATAATAAACTAAAGCGCCTGCCCAGCGCAGTTATAATATACTGATAGCATCCCTCAATGGGGTATACCAAACAAGTGGACAGATGCCGTCAAATTATCAACCATTAACTGTCCACTGCTGAACATAGGCCTCTCCCATAAGGGGGGTTTTGCCAGTAGTATACCAGTTTTACATACAAAAACGTTTTAATGCCCCTCCTACATTGTCTACAGTTTTGAATTGCTTGACGCGAACTGCACGCTAATGGGTTAAGATGTGTAGAACGATTAGTTTTAATCTCCTTTCCACAACAGTCGCAAAACATCTTTATTGTACAAAAAGTATTTTGGTGAAAATTATTACGACATCAATAGTGTATAAATCGTGGCAAAACCAGTGATTTTGATTTAAAAACTAAACTACCGAACCAATTTTGATAAAGTTTCTATGTGATAGGTAGGTTATCCTTTCAGATAAAAAGAGAATTTTCCAAATAGCTTTATAACTGACGGGGTTATAAGGTAATAAACATTAAAAAGTAAAACCTAATTGCGGACCTCCTTTTTGAAGTCGGCTGAAAAGAAAAAATAAGTTTTAATCGACTTCAAAAAAATTCAGATGATTTGAGAACCTCCTAAGATTCTTATTTTAAATGAATTTCTGTGTTACACGATTACATCGCCAAATTTAAACCAATGTTCACAATTCTATTTGTGATCAATAGCATTCATTCTCGTGTTGGTTGATGCGAGGCAATATCTATATATAAACACATGATTCTGCGTTCTAAAGCAAAATAATTTCAATAGAATGTCTCTATGAGATACCACATCGTTCATTTGCTAGCTATTAAAAAAATATAACTCATTAGATCAATACCGAATTCAAATAAAAAACAAACGTAATAAAAATATAAAATTTATGTTTACTAAAAACAAAAAAAAAGTTATTTATTTCTTCAAATTATTATTTTCTTATTAGATTTGGTAACATGTTAATTGCTATAATACATATGTACCTAACTTATAAAAAATTAATTTAAACATTCCTCCTTTTACACATATTTAAATTTTATAAAAGTTCATCTCAATAAACAGCATCTAAAAATAACAAAATAAAAACAATTAATTATTTTTTTTATAAATAATAACAAAAATTTTCCAGCAAGTAACGTTCAGAATCAACGGTGGTAAAGTAAAAAATACAATATACATTTTTCTATTATATTCCTCATAACAGAATAAATATATATTGTAAAATAAATGTGAATCGTCTTTTTCTGTTCAACGGATCATCTCCACTTCTTCTTACGTATTGAGACTACTCAAGCCAAGTGGGTCTAACCCTAAGGTACCATTTTTCTATACGTATCTCTTAAACGAATATTGATACTTTTGCGGAAATTACTGTTTTATGGACCCTCATAATCAAAAATTATAATAATTTTGATTTAATCTGTTAGAAACTTAGATCATATTGGTCCTTGCAATAAAGATGCCACTGTGATATCAAATTGACATTTTAATTTTAAAGATAGGTTTAAAGACCGCCTCAGGATCGACCCCGCTATCCTCTCAGTTGCCTCTCACTTGACAATAGAATATTTATGTTCAGTTAGTTAAAATATAGAGTTTCAATTCTATTTTTATTATATTTTATTTGAATTGATTTAAGAAAATTACGCATTACTTGCAGTATTTCTTTAATACAGTTACAGTATACTTGTACTGATACTACTTTCCTAAGTAAGCATATTAGGTAAGTAATGCTCACCTAGTCGATTAAATAAATAAAACACTGATTTTTTAATAAACGCTAAATATCAAACAAAAATTAATAAAACCGTTGTTATTAATGTTTTAAAGCTAGAAGAGGATTACAAAATAGTGGCATATTAGCTATATCAATGTCCATTTTAATTAAAATAATATTATTTCAATAAATATAAAACTGAAATAAATGTATAAATTCATTCCAATTGATCGTACTGTTGTACTGATTTGTAAAACATAGTTTAAATCAACTTCCAATAAACTTGCGGTCGGAAATATTTTTTTAAATACTTATAAGCAGAAACAATATCATCTGCATGAAAAATTAATTAATTATTGATTTACTATAATATTATGCATTGTAAGAGGTAATTAAATAGACAGCACGAAAACAAGAACGACAAAATATATACTACAATATAAATTTATAATACAATGTTCTTTACAAGTGCTACATAAACCTTAAGGGATATCATGACAATCCTCTGAAGCAGTGTTATATACACATAGTACTAAATCGTAATTGTATAAAGAAATAAAACTGTAAACCCACATATATATGAGATAATACATATATATATATATATATATATACTATATATATATATATATATACAATAATATATATATAATATACTATATATATATATATATATATATATATATATATATATATATATATATATATATATATATATATATATATATATATATATATATATATAAGATGAAGATCCGAATATATAGCCTCTGAGGATAGAATTGATTTCCTTAATAGCTATACCGAGTATAATAGAAAAAATTATATGAATCCAAAAAGAAATCCACATATATACAGAAAGATTTAAAGATCGCGCGCAGCGGTATGAACTGTGAGAGACATGTGTTCCAAAGTGTATTAAATAAATAAAATAAAATAAAATAAGAAAAATAATATAATTCTTGTCTAGAACCACATTCATTGGAGTTTATAATTACAATTAAAATAAACATAGTTTGCTAAATTTGTTAAAGAAATCAAATATTGTAAATGTGCTCAATTATTTATTTTGATTAATAATAATAACTACCTGATTTGTAAAATCTTGTTCTATCCAAATCAAGTCAAATATATGCTCATATCAACAAACGACATTTTATTTTTAATTTTAATTTATCTAGATTACATATTGTTTACATTTCGAGTTGTTACACTCTTTCTCTTACAACTTTTACATATATAAGTGCTGTGGTAAGAATTAGCTATACGTATTACACAACTACACAGACTACCTGCATCTCGAGTAAGAACATCCAATGTTATGAGAAACAAGACCATAGACATATTAAGTCAACCCAGAATACCAAGGCCGGGGCGAATTTTAAAAAAAGCTAATTTCGAAATTGTACCGAACGAGAATAGAACTCTGCCCGCTAATAATTAATGCTCCTTTCCACTCAGGGTTTGCTGGAAGAGAACTCTTACAGAGTTAAGCTCGCCTGTTGTACATCTTTATTTTATATATATATTATATGTTGTAATTTTTTCTGTGTACAATAAAGAATAAATAAAATAAAGAACTCATCAAATCCCTTTGACAAGCCTGCCCTGTACCACGAAGATTAAGTTCGTTAGGCATAACAATTGTATAAGTGAAAATTGCATTGATAAATGATTTATGAAAACATTAAACGCTATTATTTTGACATACTCAGCTTAGTCATATAATGACATTTCCATTGCTTTACTATTGTCTCGTTTGGAATGGAGTATGCTAAACATGGCGAATGTTGGTTGAAAACACTTGTGATGTTTCAATACATTAAATAAAATGATATTCATTATTTTGTATTTTCTAGTATAAATAATAGGCTTTTCTCGGTCCTAAGATATAAATAAAAGTCAATTTTACTCCTAACTTTTTTAATTTATAAAGGACTCGTTGAATTTGTTTTTGGTTCTGTAAAGAACGACATTACATTCATTATGTATCAAAATTTCTTAAGCTAGTATTAATATTTTTGCCATTAAACTGACACTGTCATCGACAATACGAAATATTTCTATACATAGAGTATATATTTTCTTTTCATTTATTTGTTTATGGGACCATTATATTTATATACAACACATTAAAGTATAGAGTTAACAGAAAATTTAAATTTACATACAAAATATTTGGTGTTGACTAAATTAAAACACATATATTTACCTCAGCTATTATTCCCATATCACGAACATTCTAAATATATATAGCCAATTCTTACCACCGGCTACATGAGAACATTTGAATCAACAATCATATTTAATAAGAGGATACACGTTTGTATTCAATACAGTTATATTTACATTAGAAAAGCTCAGCAAGTGTTCCGTAATGTGATCGGACTGTCTCAATGTTTGAAAATAATGATTAGAATAATCAAAATTACTATTGTCAGAATGAGGCCCAGGAACACCTTCTTCTTGCGCAGTTTGTTCTGTAAATAACATGTAATTGTCACTACTAACATTCTAGGTTAATAGAACATCCAGCGAGGTCGTTCTTGGAAATATCCATAAATTTGTTTTAAAATTCAGTTCAAAATTTCTTATTTGTAAAACTGTCTTATTTTTAACATATATATAATGCTAGAAGAATCTAAATAATTCTAGCACCTTTGTAAAGCCTATAGGATTGGAAATAATACAACCTAAAACCAGTTACTTTAACATAACATAACATTAGTTTAATAATATTTTTTTTTTTATTTACAACTCAAAATATATATGAACCGATTTATGTCATTAATAATTGTAATTATTTCATCTAACTAACAAAAAATGTAACTTTACGTTGAAATAAAAAATAATAATATTTAAAATACGTGATAACGTGCTCACCTTGTAATTAGCGGCCTCGCTAAGTTGCTGCCGTCCAGCCTCGACGTTCTCGGTGGTATATTCTACATGGGACTCTATGGAGTCTACCACCACGCCCTGGTCGTGGATCATCTGGCCGAGATCCTTGAAAATCTGGTTCACGTCCATAATGTCATTCTGCGAACAATAGAGTTCATTATTATTGAGTTATATATTTTTTATTCAATTATGAATGACAAACAAGCTGACTGCCCACCATCACCTATAGACTACAACAACATCACGGACATCCCTGAATAAACTGTGATGCACAGGGCACACCTCGTTATACCTCCGTACCCTGTAACTTCACAGACATATCCCACCCCTCAAACAGAAGCACAACTGCTTCCCGATAGAAAAATGGGAAGGACAAAACAATTCGTAAAATTCATGTAAATATCAAAATAAAAACGAATTGCAAAGCTTCCCTTTTCGGAATTGCTTCAATATGAATGTTACCTCGAGCTGTCTGATATCTCTCTCCCGCTCCTCGAGCTCAAGTAGCTCCCTCTCGGTCTGCATCGTCAGCTGTTCTTGCTTGCGGACATTCGTGTCTCCCAGTTCCATCAATTCCTTATTGTTACCTGAACAGAAAAACGTATATATTGGTTAAGATTTATAACAATAGAATAAATCGATAATAATGGAGTATGGGTTGACAAAGTCACATTATTGCCACAATATATGTTTAGTTGTAAATATTAATTAAGACCTCATTAATATTGTAAAACTTAATTTAATAAAAATGTAACACGAATGACAACACATGAATGCTATCATGAACGTTGCAATATCAAGTGACGGTTACCACTTTCCATTAGGCTTGTTTGCCACTCTTAATTAATTGATATTATAAAAAGACCAAGCACGATAAATAAAGGAGGTCGCAATGTCACAGGTTTTTTCTATCTGACAAACCTTATTATATTATTTCTTAATAATATACTATTATTATTAAGAAATGAACTTTATCAATTAACATTATTTATTGACTGTACTTATTTATATTTAATAAGCAAATTGAAATAATATAAATCCCAAGTCATATAATGAGTATCTTCTAACTACATTTCAACAGTAGTTCATTTTCCTGCACCATACCGTAACCTCAATAACATTTGCATAAGAAGGATAAATTTCAGAATTTACCATAATATTGTGTATTGCCGAATGACATATGTTTAATGTTGAAGGATTCGACATCAGTTAAATTACAGGGTGGCTCCCATAGCGTTTTAGTCTTTAAAAATGTTAAAATTGAGGAGTAACAAGTATTATATGTCGTCCACGGTACTATTATTGTGCATCTTATCGTAGGCTACGCTTACCACTTTCTCACTCTGACGTCAAACTGACGGGTCGTGTTAGATTATTTGTCAACCAGCTTCAAAAAAAAGATGACTCTCAATTCCATTGTTTTTATGTTTATTACTTCCAAAGCTCAGCCTAACTGAGAGGGATGTCTATGTTCATTTCGATCAAGTTTTTCATTTAGATATAATAGCATAACAGTTATTGGGCTTAAAAATTGTATATACAATATATATGCATTGCTATATACATAGTATGATATAGAGAAAGACACTGATATATACACAATACAGCTAATATATATACAAAAACTACTCACTTCCCATTGCGAAGGGATCGCCGATGTTTATTGACTGAGATTTTACTTTCTTAACATCTTCTTTGTTCTTCTGGGCGGCCGACCGTTGCGTAGCCTGTGTAAAATGAAAGAGAAATAATTAACACAAATCTCCAATGCAGCCATAATTTTTTTCTATTTACAATTTTTATATATTAGTAAGGTTTAAAAAAATATAGGTAAATAGGATCAGTTTCACTCTACTACAGAGTCCTACAAAGTGTCTCATGAAGAGTGCTAAACGATTTAATTGTCATATCCTTGTTAATTAACCAGATGCATCGCGATTATAGGTAAATACTATTAGTATTATAATGTATACAATAATTTGATTTAATACCAAGCAGTTATACAAAATATTATCACATATTAGGTTGTTCTTAACAAATTCCATGTACTCTCTATCATAAGTATCATTTTTCTCGCACTGCCCAATGCCCATATAGTCAGTTTTAATAAAACAAGAAATTGAAAAAAATTTTTTTACAACAATCTCCTTTTACTGAAATCCGAGTACAGAGTATAAATAATCTAGTGATCCGATAACGCTACACTGATTTACCGATTTTGCTACCCTCTAATACCGGTACCATGCCAGTATGCGCTTTTAATAGCAATACAAAACTTTACATCTGTAATATAGTTTTTAATTCTTAGCTTTTTATTTATTCTATATTAACTTTGTTGACTACTCATTAAAAAATGCAAAAAGTGCACTTGCCGCAAGTGCTCATTTGTTACTTTCTTTTTATTTTATATTTAAATTATATAATGTAACAAGTTGTTAAAGATTAAATAGATATATGTAAGTTTAATTATAAATATATGCATGCCATTTGATGTGGCGCAACATAAAGGACATTTTGTAAACTTGATTTAACATCTCATCGACAATATTTCTAGCAAATAAATTACATTTGATATTAAGTTTAGTTTTAAATTTAAACAGGGTGTAAAAAAACGACAAATGACTATATTAACAAGAGAGCCGATAGTGAGAAAGAAGCGGTAGAACAGATAGACTTGTACTAAAATTTTATTTTTTACTATGAAGAGATGACACTCGTTAACAAATAATAACATTTAATAATTGTATAAGTACATTTTAATAAATGTACAATATACATAGTAATGTACATAAACCCAAATTATAGTACATAATTATTATCATTACACAAAAGTACAAATGAACTAAATATAAATGCTAATTAATCCATACGTGTTATCAAACTAGACTCGTCATAGATTAGAATACATGCTGAAACACGTAACACTCCGTGTTATTATTTATTTACAATCGTAGACTACAAAGGAAGCCATACAATCGTGTACAACACAATGCCGTGTCTACGCATTTGACTTTTAACGCAATTATCATATACGATTAAGATTTAAGAGTTTTGTATGACACGTCTAAGTATCACCGCCTTACAAATCTCTGCCGATACGTAATACGTGCATTGACGTATTTAGATCTAATATGAGGCAGCAGAGACAGTAGATTTCAGATATAATTTAAGACAAAAGTGGTGGCAGTATAATTAATTAGAGACCCACCTCGTCTTCGTGCATTATTTTTTAATAAAATACAACACATGTTACTTACGACAATGTAGCTTTCCACAATAGAAATACTTGTGCTTAACTGAGTTTAAGTTTGATAAGTAAGATAAGGCAGTGAAATTAAGTAAAGGTAAGGAGACAAACATCTTACGTTCTCAAGAATGCATTAGGGATGCCACAGTGTATTGCACCGTGCCTATGAAAGTCAATGATACAAGTCATAACAAATATGTACCTGGAATGCATTGAGAGTGGCCATGTATTCGTCGTTGAGCCGGTTGCGCTCGAGTTTGTGGGCCATCTGATCTGTGGGCAGCTTCATCAGTTCCATCAACAGCGATGATGTGTCCTTCGCCAATTTTTGTGTATAGTTCTGGATCTGACGTCTGTTTAACATATGAAAAAAAAAACTGTATTAAAAATAATGTAAATATTAAAATTTATTATTAGTGTAAAAACAAAGAGAAATAAAGTTTCCATTTATTTATTCATTCAACATGTTCCCCCTCATTCGCAAAGAAATTTAACTATCGTAAACTAATAAAGCTGTGCTAGCGATTGGAATATTTCAGCTCTTCCTTTCAACTATTAACAAAATGACAAAATACATTAACATTATTTTTATTCATATTTTGACGAATAATATAACTTATTATATCTCTTATTTATTCATCTTCATCTTCAGTACTTTGAAGACAAACTTGTTGACACCTGATACTTTTCCAACCACTACTTATCTTTTTAAATGAGTATACGAATGTTCCTTAAATAACCATAAGGAACATAAAAGTTCACCTAATAATTTACCTATCAAAATAGCTGGTAAATATAGTTACTGACAGTTCATTGTTACAGGTAATTATATATCTAACACAATGTACGATGGTAGTAAATTAAACAACCACTTACAGTTGAGTTCTAAGCTCTTGTGAATCCTGAGGAGTCTGGAGCTGATTAACCATCTTCGACATCGAGGACACTGTGAAATATCACAATATTGTATTCATATTGTAAACAAAAAATATGTAATGGTGGTATCATACCAAGCAAATGTAATAAAATCGAAAATCTACTAATCTTAAAACCATAATTAAATGAATTAATAACATTAATAGGGAACTTTGAAAACATCAATCAATCAATCCCATTAAAACAAACTTATTTTAAAAAAAGTTTGAATAGTATAACAAAACTCAAGCAATACATTTCAATTTACTGTGTGGTTCCGGCATAGAATAGGCCACCTCTTTATTGCCCGTGGATGTCGTAAGTATCGCCTAAAGGAGGGCGAGGGATGGGCAGCAGCGTCCCTCTTAATACCTCTAAAGTCCCAAGAGGAGGCTTATGTTCAGCAGTAGACAGTTAAAGGCTGATATGATGATGATGAATATATTATAATAGTAGAAATAAAAAATATTTATAAATTCCCGCCATTTAGTAATTCTAATGACATCCAAATTAGCCGCCTATGAGACAGCACATTTCATAATTTTGTTCGCTTGTACCTATATTAATGAATTGGATGGTGATATATTACATGACAATGTTGATGATGAATAATACCTTTAATAACATATATATACACTTGTATATATAAATATAGTACTACATCCAGCTATTACTGTACCCATACATTATTTTGCACTGGAATATAGACGTTTGTTCCCTCCCTTAGTCACTTTTTATAATTTATAATATTATACATACAGAAATATATATTCATTTTGATGTACATGTATACTTACTTAATTAGTATAAACATTTTAATATATTTTGCACAATCACATTAACATTAACGATTAATTAAACACAATGGATAATTATGTTGCTTTTATGTGAAATTTGTTAAAATGTTATCAGTAAAGTTTATTTATTATTTTTATGTTAGTTTAATGTTATTGAACAATCACTGTACGAAATATGAAAAATTTTATCTAGAAACTATTACTATAGTACTATTGTAGTTTTGTAAACACATAGTTAAGATAATAATTTAGCTAATTATAACCATTAATGTTAGAATTATTCGATCATAATGATATAATTAACATTACGCATCGGACATAATCGGTAATGAGAGTGATGAATTAGCCATACAAATTATGATACACCGTTATAAAGCAAGACCCTTATTTTTCATTCAAAATATGTTTGATTGAAAGTGTTTGAAGCTGGAAGATGTTGAACCTATATTTCTTATCTTAGCTTTTCAATATTAATGTCATATTATCAAAATTCTTATTAAGCAAACTATCTAATACTAAGCAAACTAACATTAAAACATAATCTTAAAAAAGACCGATTTACAAATTTCACTCCCTTTTTTTTCACTTTCCCTTTAAACTTAATCTTGCTAGTTACTCTGTTTGAGTCATATTGTTATTTGCTTTTCTATTTTTTTTTTTATAAATGTAAAAAAAAAATATTTATAAACATAAAAAAAAATTAGAATTAAATTAATTTAAAAATTTATAGTTGGTGCAAATTAATATTGTTAAAATTTTGTGGGCCCTGGTTGCCTTTATTAAAGAATTATTATTATTGAATACAGTAAATTGTTTGATAATAGTAATGTTTTATATATTTACTAGCAACCCGCCCCGACATCGCACGGGTTTAATTCCGTAAAAAGCATTTATATTTTTACTTAATAAAGTATTTTTAATATAAAAAATATACTATAATAATTTAAACAAAAACTGTTATTGTGTCTTAACCTTAATAGTTAATCATATAACATCGCGAACTTTTTTGTGAGTAATCATAAGTAATATTAATATGTAGAACACTATTCTATATATCATCAATAGTTTTTGTAACGTACGTAAAATAATGATTTATATAGGTAACTTTTTTATACCTTGAATTTCTCGCTTTTATTTGCTCAATGGTTGACTGGTAGAGAACACCATCCGGTGTTAAGTCCACCAAATCTAATCATAATCTATAGAATTTTACTGTGCATTAAAGTTTTATTAAATAAAAAAAACTTGACAGAGATTATTATTTTAACATATTAATAATATGCATACATTTAGATGTATGATCAAAATTTCTGTATTGATTCTACATCCAATCCAATCCTAGCCAATCTCATAACTCAGTTTCACCCACTAAAAAAGGTGTGAAATCTTATGAACTTTATCTTATAATCTTATAAAACTTTATTTCAATTACAGTTATAATTACTTGGAAATTGCATTGCATTATAATTGAAAAAATAATCTAGTACAAAATGTACTATTTTAAATACTAAGTAAATCTAAACAATGTACACAAGAATAAAATATTTTATTAGTAGAAAATATTGCTAAGCAATTGCCAAGTCATTATAACCAATATGGAAATAAAGACATCTAATATTGATATAGTCACTTTAAATGTTGATAAGTAATTGATTAGATAACAATTTATAAGGAAATCTTTGAATAGGTGCTTTCATAGACACTAACTGTTTTACTTAGTTAATCTTGTTTCGCAACTTTTTGTACTTTTCAAATAATGAGTTAGAAAAATTTAAAAATATAAACTGTTTTGGATTTTCTTTTATAACACCGGTGGCAGACAATTATGCGGCTTTCCTAATGGTAAATGACTGATGATGGCAACACCAGAAGCATTGAGGCAAGGAATATGCTCTTTTGTTGAAGGTTACAATGTCGTATCAGATCAGAAATACTGCTACTGAAAATTTATTCCAAAGTGTGGTTGTGCGTAGAACAAAGTGCTTTTAAAAGCACATGGTGGAGGACGGCCATTTATTGGTGGTTATGGTGGTTGGGTTGGAACTTTAATTTATGGCTGATTGTGCAATGATGAAATTCAGCAGCAGGTATCAATTCAAATAATTCTTCTGAACACTTCCCATAATACATGTGATGAAATATGCATACAGATAAAATTTTCATAGGTCGATTCGGATAGTAAAGCACTGATCATTATGATTTGAGCTGGCTGACATTGAATGTTGGTACTGTGGTGCTCCTGCCCATAGGTGAAACAGTATTCCATATATGGGGCCATACTTGAGCTTTATACAATTGCTGATGATGTTCATGTGTGAAATACCATCTCACTCTATTGAGCACTCTTAATTTTTTGGAGACCTTTCTCTACAGATGGCTTGAAAACTGCACATAGCTGGATATTTCAACATCAATGATCCCTACATTCAACTTTTTATCAAAGGGTGTACTTTGATAAAGTGAGAAGATATGACAAATGGTGTTTTTTGGAGTGAACATGTAAACTTGTGTCTTCTTAAGATTGAATTGAACAAGATTGTATTCACACCAGATCGAAAGTTGATCAAAAGAGGTTTCAATTTCAGATACAAATGTTCTGGCACTCATTAGTATGTCTGCATGATGTTTGCATGACTGGTATATAATGCATCCCTTTCACTGTCATCCACATAGCAATAAATATTACTAATCTGTAATATATCGTTGATATTCAGAAGAAATAGGGTCAGGATAGTACACAGCCTTGCAGAATAACAACATTCACAGGTTTTAATTCTAATTTAAGCATGCTCTGTCAACTACAACCTTTATGCGTTGGTCCTTGAGAAAACTGATGACCCACCTACACAATCTTGCGGGCTATCTGAATGAAGCTAGTTTTGAAAGTAGTACTTTATACCACACCCAATCAAAGGCCTTCACAATATCCAGACTTATAGATAAGGCCTTTTCCTTACACTCAATTAGCACTGCCCATCCATATATTAAACAAACTAAAAAATCAACAAATGTGCAACCCGTTCGTTTGGTGGTTTTCTAGGTATCAGCTGATTGGGTGACCATTTAGAGAAGTTGATGGTTAATGGTAGATTCCATACTCTTCAAAAATGTGGAACTGATTTATTTATTGCAATAAGCAAAATTATGAATGCTCCTAAATATGTAAGGTTGGAACTTATGGTATTTATCTAAGGGCCTATATTTACATACAACCTTATATTAAGAAAGAAAGAAATAATTAATTCCATTAATTATGGTTTTCTCACTGTAAAAATCACACCTTTCATTACCCAATATAGCTAGAGACGATCCTACTTGCATTGCTATTGTTAACTATTTTACCATGTTCATTAGTACCTAATATTATCCATTATTATATTATTCTCTTCATTACTATATTGTTCGCTATGTATCTATAATAGCTACTTTGGTATTTTATAAACAATACTTGAAAGTATTTCAGTCTGAGACATTATTTCACTTATTTACATTGTGACTCATACTGCATTACATATATTGGTATCAAAATTTCTCACGTATTTAACTTTCGAGTTAGTAATATTTTCATTTATAACAATAAATATAAAAATAAAACACTATAAATCGCGTTCAAAGATTTCTGATAATGAAATAACAAAAACAGCAATAAATTACTCACCATTTTGCGATATTTTCTTGATATTGCTAGCGACAGTTTGGGAAAGGCGCTGGAAATTATTTGCGCTTTCGTCATATGTAACGCCTCCTTGATACGATGTCTCCATGATTTCTATTTAAAAATAAATTCATAAAAGTAAATAACAAATACCCAATCGTAAATGACTAATTCTAAATACGTAGATCATTACAAATCATTTATAGTACCTATTTTACAATTTGCTACGTAAGATTGACTTTTGATTCCTCAATAGTAACAATTAGTATGCTGTTACTATAATTCTCGACAATGATTATTTATAATACTCGACCTAAGGGGTCTGAAATTAACAAATTAATGAAACAAAATCACAAATAATTCCCACGACCTAACAAAAAATTGACATACACATTAAACTGACTTCACAACTGTAGTACGACTGACGCTTGAATGACAGCGAATACCAAAGATAAACATGAAGTTTATAGTGAAGTGCTTCGAAACTCAAGATTTAACTTCAATGACGTTACGGTAATTAATGATCAAGTAAACGAATTTTTAAATTATAACAATGTTTAAGGGGGTATTCTGGTCTAAAGCCCTAATTTTTGGGTATTTTTCAAACTAGGATAAAAAAAATTAAAAACATTTTTATCCATTTGTTTATATAATATTTATTGATTTTTAAAGTATGTTAATAAAGATGTCGCTACATCTTGGACATTGGCCAAAAAAATTACGAATTACGAATCTTTTTAAAATACTTCAAATTACAATTTTTCAAAATACTATCAAAAAAAAAGTGATAAAAAGATGTATAAAGAAGATTCTCACAAATTTCAAAGGAATCGGTCAGATAGAACTTAAGGTATCGTGTCAACCACCTCAACAAAAGGAGTTTTGAGAAAACACGTTTGAAGTTTAAGAAAGATTTCCAATAGAATAATTCAGATAATAATATTTAATACTCACTATAGATTAATTGGCGATCCCATATCCATACATTGGACCTTCTTCTTTCTCAAAATCGAGTTTTTGTGAAGTTCTTTCTTCTAAATGAGCTATTCTGTCTGCTTTTGAAGCAGCAGAACATCAAAATATCTGCCGTTTATTGTGTGATCACTCCGCTCGGCCGGTTTAGGTGCCGCGTCACAAAATCCGCTGTATCTCCCAAAATAATTCGAATTTTAAAAAATCCTTTTTTTAAACATATTTTTGAAAGTCTAAGCTTTGAAACTATGCAAAATAAATTGATTTTTTCAATTTTCTAGACTAGAATACCCCTTTAAACAGGGAACATAAAAAATATTGCTTACCAATATAATATATGAAATATGAAAATAACATTTTATCTGATTGTAATGTATTACATTAAAGTACCTATTCAAATATATCTGAGTTAGGGTTATTTGATTATACTTACCTATACCTTATACCCATTAATTTAACTATTTCTATTAATCTAAATCATATTACATCAACATTATATTTACTTTTTAAGATTAAACTCCTTATTTATTATGATACATAAGGACACGATAAGAATATGGCGACAAATAAAGCAAATAAACAATAATCGCTAGTTTTAGAGGGAAATGGACGAATTAGCCATCTTTGTTATAAGCAAAATCAAGTCTATTGTAATTGGTTAAACGATATTTAAACATGGTCGGGGAGCTTGATTACGACAATACTCCGATTAACAGCTTATTCAATGTTTAAGTGGTCTTGAACACTAAATTTGCTGTAACCAACCGTTTGCTTTTTGAAACGAATCAATAGGAGTCGATGAACTCGGGCCTAAGAATAGTAAATGAAAAAATATTAAAGCAAAAGTATTTAATTGAGATACGAACGAATACTACGATGATTAAAAATGCGAAAGAGAGTCGAGTCCTTATCGAGTCAACTTTTACTAAATCTTGAGAATGTAAAGGACTTGCATAAATAATAACTAAAACAAAATAATAAATAAATAATAACAAAAACTTGCGCTAAAATGGCAATAGATTGGCTAAACAACATCTGTTTTATCTTATATATTTATTATTAATAATGTATTTTTGTACAAGTAATTATTTTTATGGAATCATTATATAGTAAGAACTTTTTCTTACTATATACCCCATTACGTAGTAAAAGAAAAGCAATAATTAACATCTATAAACGACAAATCATCACTATTGCAAAAGTATTTCCAAAATGAACATGATATGATCATTGATATGATCAAAATGACATATTATATATATATATATATATATATATATATATATATATATATATATATATATATATATATATATATATGTCCGAAAAGAGGAAACTGTTGATATCTTAATATATTCTTGATATTTTTCTTCCATATATATTATCCTTACTCTTTTTATAACAACTATTGTTATGACTATAAAAGTTCATCTTATATTATCTTATCATATCGTGTCATAATAGCACCTCCTATAGAGGAAACTATAAACCTACAGGATTCTACGCCACCCGCTCCTCTTACTTCTTATGCTACTTTTTTGCATAAATAGAACCGTGTGCGTCGTCTCGCCACAGTTGCTCGAGTGTTCTCGTCACGATTACACGTGTGCGCGTAGTTCTCTGTTACGACTATTTTTGTCGTCTTGTATTCGTTTTACCTTTTCATTTCGTGTGGAGTCATAATGAACGATCGTATGATATCAGTCCAGTCAACGTGAATATCGTGTGTGTGTTGTGAACTTAAAATTTTCCGGTTTAGAAGAATTTATGTGGAGGTAGTTTAAAAACCACTAGACCACAGTCACTGCTCCAGTGTAATCATGATTATAATTAGTACATCGTCAAGTAAACTAAATATTATATATATTTTAGATTTTGTATTTTATGCTGCATTTAGTAATGCGATTTTAATAAACAGACCTCTTTAGATTTGGTTCTTAAATTCCACTTTATAAAAACCTAATGGAATACGTTTTCAATCATTGTGAGGATAGATGAGACTACCTTCACTATTTTTGCGTATTGAAAATTTAACACTTACATGTTTTCCTTCATATACAGTAATATACCAGAAATTTTTAATTTCAATGTGTCTGTTTATTATACTCGCAGGGACTAAAGTTAGTCTATTATTTTATATATTTTTTTTCTATTTTTTCCTAATTTAAAACTAGAATTAATAAAACTGTAAGAACTGAGTATTTACAACAAGTTTTATAGACCATGTCTATTGGAACTGAGTGCATAATATTTACAACTAGTACAACATTTATCTATTAACGGTTGTGGGAGTTTTATTTTAATTATATAAATCGGATTACTTAATTCTCAGAATCGGTTTGATTGTCTATGGTACAAGCTAACCTCGTACCTAGTAGAAACTATCTATCCACCTATATATTTGTACCTTTTTATTTTGTAATGTTGTCTATATGTATTTCACTCACCTATTATTGTGTGTATTTGTCTTCGTGTCCCCATCCTCTGTTTTTTTTATTTAGAAATTTTAATGTATATGTACCTGTAAAGATTTCTTTTATTTACGTATGAATTGATCGACAAACGAACGAATGTTTAACATAATTTTTTTCTGACAATGAGCTTAGTATGTAAGCGAATTACATATTTGTGTAAGGCTTGATTGTCTGTCACGAAATTTATTTCTGTGGCCGAAAAGGAGTGAAAATGTTCGGCCCCGTTATTTTCTGTAATGTATAAGTTTCGAGTGGTAAGAGGGACCGATGAAGAAGATGGGATTTTAATGTAAATTCTACAGGTATATCGCCGCGTAAATTGATAATTTTTTTAAGACATTCATTATTTAGTGGTTTTTATTTTGTAATAAAATATGTTCTTTGACTTTAGGTGACCGTTTTGTGTACGAGCAACAATGGATCCATCAATATTTTTGCAATATTCCCCTCCAAATGGACTGCCTCAGGAGTCGAAATTAGTGACTTATATGGTAAGCAGATAAATAGCATAATAAATTTATGAATCTAAGTGAGTAGCTTGTATTAATCACTCTATTATTTCAGAATCGTTCGACATCTACTCCAAGTAGAACCTTAAACCAAGCGCTAGGCAAGCTTAATTTGGAGTCTTCCCCTACTGCCATCAAAAAGGTAAATGTCACATGTCATATATTATAATCAATGACTCAATTTATGTATATTTTTTCTATACAACTTAGAATGGTGAACAAGCTGACAGCCCACCTGATGGAAAGTGGTAACCGTCGCCTATAGACATGAGCAGTACAATGGATATAATAGAGTATACTGTTTCATCCATGATACCCCCCATGCGTTGCCATTCCTGAGGACTCAGGTGTTATTCCTCTGTACCTAGTAAATTCACACCATATCACACCCTTCAAACTGAAACACAGCCATGCAAACACAACTGCTTCACGGTTGAAACATGAATGGGACAGAGGTACTCAAGCAATCAACTTTTGTACAAAGTCTCCCTCTGGTGAAATATATATTTGACTCTAGATATTTGCTGAAATATTTTTTTTATACTTTTTGAGTTGTAATTTTAACAGACCTAAATTTTGCAGGTTTTCATAAGTGAGTTTGTGCCACTGAATTATTTTAGCCACACTAACATCCTTCCGGATTCTCCAGAGAGTTCCCCACCGTCAACATTAGCGTCGATTCCAAATACCCAAGTTCATCAGGTTTGTTTTTTCGTTGAATAACTTATGTAATGTTTTAATAAATAAATGGAAAATTAATTTCTAATTTTATAACTTATACTTTTAATCTTCTATTATCTAACTTAGTTTCTGTGTTTCATGCATATTAAAAAATATTTATGTACTTTTTGTTGATTGTGGGAATGTTTGTTTTTGTTGATACTAATTATTAATATTTGTTTGCAGGAGAATGTTGGAGGCACAACATATTTTTATTCAACTAACTCAGATAGTCTAAATACGACTGGAGGATTGAACTCTTCTGCTTCCATGGGTGTGTTGCATTTTTTAACCTATTACTTTGTTTAAAAATATGAAAAATATTTATATCTTATAAATTCAATATTTTGCTATGTCATTCTATATATATAGGAATTTAGAGAAATGAAGTGGGATTTAGACAAATTATTTTTGTAATTAAACAGCCACTTTATTGAAATTGAGATATAAAACTGAAAAACATATTGAATGATACAAAAATTGTATAACTTTTTAGTATCATATATGTATAAAATATGATCACTTATTCTAAAGATCATGACTTATGAACATGACCTGCCTAATTTAAATCAATGTCGGTTCAATGTCTCAACCTCACACAATCTCTCAGTATTTTAATCTGTGTTCTAAAATGGTAGTAGATTCTCTGTAATCTACATTTTAAAACCCATTTTCGTTCATGTGATATTTAGTATCTAAACAATTACCTTGCCATTCTTTTGTCATAAAATAGTTTAGAGATCTCGTAAATAGCCAAGTTTAACATTCTGTTTATCCTTGGATATCTATTAGACATTATTTGTATATTTTTTCCCTTACATACCCAAAGATTATCTGTATTTATTTAAAATATTTTAATAAATCATGAAATGAAGAATAGCTGCTAATTTTTTATAACTTCTATATGAAAAAGATCTCTGCAATATTCTATTTGAGAAAATGGATAATTCATATATAAACAGATAAATCATAAAAGAAAAAATATAAAGTGGCGTACATCAGTTTCAAATACTCTAGGTTTAGATGTAAGAAAAATAGTCACAGAAATAGAATGTTACTAGTGATGATTGTATATGATTAGCATTTACTTTATTTTTAGGTGGTAATGATGCATGTATGGGTGGCCACGGATCCAACGCGGGCTCGTCTCCCTACGCCTCACAAATATATACTGGGACTCCGACGCATATGGGGCCTATGTCATCCAAGCCAGGTAAGTTAATAACATTCATGATTTTTCTACTATAAATAAAAATATGGTAATAAGTCTTACATGTGATTTAGTATTATGCTAATGTGTATTTCTATTTTATGATGTTAGAATAATTTAATAATAGTATAGCAATATTTTTGAAATTGAGGTGATAAAATAGAATTTATACTAAGTACCTATATTATCGTATTCAACCTATAATTTATATTGCATACACTATATTTTTTTTTTGTTTTTAAGTATATTACTTCCTGGGAAATTAGATTTTTTTTTTAAAGTTATTACGAGATTTATTCATACGGCCTGAATTTATTCCGATCAACTGATATAGTGTAGCAACCGTCTTTATACATAACCAGATGTCGCAAGACAAAGTATAGGTATAATGTGACGCCCTTGGTTACATCTTGTTCATTACCATTTCTGAAGACTAAGTTGTTTTGCTACGTGGCAATTTCAGTAGAAGTCTGAAATGTGAACCTTATATTTGTAACCATTTGTATAACAACTGTATTTAAATGGTTATGATTTGCGATCAAGCATACGCGAATATTTAAAAAAAATTATCATTATTTATTTTTATCAATATCGTTAATTGATATAATTATTAATTTGCTTGGGCGCATTTTCAATATTTAGCGGTAAAATTATTATATTATTAATATTTGTCTGTTATTGGAGTATGTTATATAGCATATATATATATATATATATATATATATATATATATATATATATATATATATATAAAGTATATGTTAAAACAACTGAGCGGATCTGAAAAAAAATAACAAATTTGTGTATGTCTGTGTAACAACATAGTTTTTTACCAAACTGAATTATGATACTGAGTCTGCAGAAAATACGTTTGTTTAAATTCAATAAATATTTTTAACAATTAATAGTTGCTAATCATAATGAATGTGAAGCAGTTACCTCGTCAATAAGTTGCTGAATTACAATTTGCAACTTTTCCAAGGCTTTAAAACTAGTGGTTAATTAGTATAAACATCGTGCTATAATCGCATATTAGGTTGCGTGTAAAATAAACCTCGCTTCAGCGTTGTATTGCATTTTTATTGTTTATATTATTTGAATAACCAATCCGTCGCATTTAATTCACACGGTAAACATGGGGTATTCGCTGACAATGCAATGAAATGCACGTTCTATTATTGCTTTGATTTTTTTAATTACAAGCTAGATTTTTGTTTGGTTTTATCTAATCTGATGGTTTGTGATGATAAGATCTAGGAAGGACTGACTTTATCTAGAAAAAATTAAATTTGCATTCCACAAAAAAAAAGACTTGAATTGCAGTAAAACCAGTTTTTTTTACTTTAAAAATTTGACTACTGAACTAATTTTGACGAAATATCTGCCTACCCTAATGGGTGATAGACGTAAAAGATATGTATGTATGTAATTTTGTGGTATCAATCTGTAAATGTAAAAATATAAAATAGAATTTTTCAAATCGGTTTATAATTAACAGAGTTATAAGATAAACAAAAAAAAAATCCTGTTTAGAAGAGTTTTGGTGGAGATAGTTTAGGTAAACAAAAAAAAAAATACTGTTGAATTGAGAACTTCTTTTTTATGAAAGCGGTTGAAAATAGTATAGAAAGAAGATTGCGCCAATTTACGCCAATTTCTTAGACTATAGTTTCTAATTATATATTCATAAGTAAACGGGAAAGTTGAAAAATATATGTATGTTAACAGTAAACAAAAAAATTGCAGCTGCTTTTTTATTCGTTTAGTAATATTGCTGTATGCGAAACATAGATATTTCTCTAATTGTTAGAACTATGTGATTACCTATTTATTTAAATAGAATGGTAAACAAACTGACTATCCACCTGATGGAAAGTGGTAACACTGTGACGCCTATATCTCATGTTTCTAAGGACCATAGTGTTATGCATCTGAACTATGGAATTTCATTGTCATATCTCACTCTTCAAATCGAGACACGATCATCACAGATCAGGTGATTTTTGTAAAAAAAAACTCTTCCTCTGAATAAAAATGTTGGTTAAACTGCTGTTTCGAATTTCTTTCTATATTAAAATCAACTTAGCGAAGAGCTCAAGTTTGCTTAATATTTATTGTTGGTTTTATAATTTATTTCTAAAAGCGAATACTTGCAGATCAGCTTGTGCGAATGTTTTAAATTCTTTTGGATAAATAGAATCTAATTAATTTTTCATGATAACAAAATATACAGCATTTGAGCTGTCTTTAGAGCCAGTGTGGTGAATGTTAAAATTGATTTGTCTATTGCTATACTATTATATATTTAGCCAATTCAATTATGTTTTTCAAAAATAACGATTGGAATCCGAGCAAACAAGGGATCGACATATCGAGGAAAACCTATTATGAGTTGGGAGAAACAATTAACATTAACTAAACAATTACATTAATTAAGAAAACAATTTAATGCAGAATTAATGTATTTTAATGAAACCTTGTTATAATATAGGTTTAAGTTCACATTAAGCTTCATTTAACTCATATCTAACTGATAACTATTAATAGAAAATTTTATTAATAATGTTTAGTGTGCTATGTAAAAAATATGATCAACTGCGAATTGTATGTACTTATTTTCTGAAATTATTTCAAGCGAAATAATTTAGCATCGCAATTACATTAATTTAAACCTATTATCGCTATCTAAGTAGATCGTAAGCCAGAGTTTTTCATTAGTTAATTACCTGTGGCGGGGTCATATTATCATCAGAAGACAGTGGATGCAGGTGGCTTAGAAGCGTTCCTTATGACAATCAATAGGGGAGGCCTATGTTCAGCATTGGACACATAATAGCTGATATGATATGATAATAGCATCTGTGGCGGGGTGTGTGTGTTTTACTATTCAAAGGACTTATCATTCCAGAGTCAGGGGCACAAAATAACTTCAAACCAAAGTAGAATATAGTTCGTGAAAGATTTAATGGCGTATTCACAGATGCGTTTTAATATAAGTTTTACATGCATTATTTATCAGGGATTTTTAGTAGTTACATACATTAGACGCATAAATACTTCGATGCTCCTCTTTGTTATTTGATACGGGTGACGCGACATCTAGAATATGAGTTTATGTGAACGATGATGTCAGAATTAACACATTTATAAATTAATTAATATTTAATATTCAAAATTTAATTTTTAAAGCATAATTTTTGAGGGATTGGCAACAACGTCCTTTTTAAAACATAATAAACACCTAATTTCCGTCGTTGACCCCTCTGCCAAATGTGGTAACGACTGGCAAAACTCCCCCTTTATGGGGGGAGCATATGTTCAGCAGTGGACAGTTAACGGCTGATATGATAATGATGATTCATGTGTATATATATATAATTAAGTACCTGAACTCATTTAGAATATAAGGCATAATCGTTGTATTATTTATAAAACTGCAGTTTTCTATAGAGAATAGAAAATCATTGGTAAAAAGAAAATCGGTCCACAAACCACGCAGCACATGTATCGATATATATTTAAAATTATCAATTTCTTATCATTGTTTATACAGGTCTGGCTGCGTCATTTTATATGCCCGAAACCATAAGATCGGAGATTTATCAAAGAAACGAGGAAGTGTTTCTCCAAACTGATCTCCGTCAATATCCAGGTAAGTGCTATATTTAAGTTTTTATATTGTTTTACCTAGTTTACTATTATATTGTTCTTATGCACAGTACATTTTCAGTATTTAGTTTTTTTAAATGATTTAAATCCGTCAAAAAATCACCGTCTTTCTAAGGGTTTCTTAATTGATACTTCGAAACGTGCGCGCTCCCGTTGTACTTTATACAATGACGTCAAAAGTTATGCCTTACGCGACCTCATTTGCTCCTTCGCGTTTTTTATTTGTTTATTCCCTCAGGTTATTGAAACGACTGCATAGATTTTGATAAATGATTTAGGATTCTGAGTGACTGACTGACCCATATATCGATGCACAGCCAAAACCGCTAAATCATATATATTGTAATTTTGCAGATAAGTTCTTTATATAGCGTAGATGAAAAATAAGAAAGAAGTGATCTATTTCATTACTTTTTTTACGTGTCGAAACGATCGCTGAGAGTCAGCGTTCTCGGCATATAGAATACTTTTTGTTTCAAGAATCTATATTTCCACAAGAAAAATATATTTAATAATTAATATTTCGAATGTGAATGTTTACATATATTTATTAAAGGGCCGGCGATAGAAATTAGTTATCCTTACTGTGATAAAGTAAAGAGTATTATTTCCGTAGACAATTTCATAAACATTTTTATTAAATTAATTAATTATATGAATTTAAAATCTGTACATATAATAAAACTGTAGAGGTCAAATGTCTGTACATAGAATAAAAAACGCTAAAAACCGAATCAGGGGAATGTTTGACCTAAGGCAAAGAGCGAGACTCCCCCCCCCCCTCCTCGAATGGTAAACACCATAAAGGAACGGCACCCCAGTATGTGGCGTATCCGCTATTCTTGACCAAGGTAGCGGTTATGGTAACAGTGGAGCGGAGGGTAAGACGTTTTGCCTGTGTGCAAAGCTTCAAATTTCTCAGCGAGCTATGGAGAGGCCTGTACTCAAGACACAGTTTTTGCGTGACGTAATCCGTAACGAGGATATTCGTAAAAGAACCAAAGTCACTGATATAGCTCGAAGAATTATATTGTGAGGGGATAAAAAACATCGCTACTAAATCATTTTGAAAATTCCTATCATATATTATAGGAATTAGCAGCGAACTTTAAAAAAAAGGGCGAACACAAAAGATCATAGAAAGGTCGTAATGTCACAGGCTTTTTTGCCTGAAAAATGCCCCTCTTTCAATAATAAAATAGTGACTCAAGAATAAGCAAATTAAAGTGCCGATATTTTCATTATGCCATCACATTTTCTGGCTAGTCACAAAGCTCGAAGAACCAATAACCGATGGTGAAGAAAGGTCCTTGAGTGTCGACTCCGTACGTGCAATCACAGTGTAGGACGACCTCCCAATAGATGCATTGACGACTTCAAATGCATTGCAGGCGGTCGGTGAATGCAGGTGGTTTAGGACCATTCCTTATGGTAGTCTATGGGGAAGGCCAATTTACAGCAGTGGATAGATAATGGCTGAAATGATGACGAGTGTGCAGTACACTCTTATACTTACAAAATCCACGCGTACGAATTCGCTGGCTAAGGCTGGTGCAAATTATTTTAACCACAAAGTCAAGTACTTCATGAAATTCTCCCTTTCATATAAACGTGGTAATCCCATGCTATTAATAAAATTCCCCTTTGCTGGCCTAACCTTGACTGAAGAAATTCTATGCTTTACGCAGCGACTTCTGATCCATTAGAGATTCATTTCTACTTAAAATATTACCAATATTAATTCAAAGTAGAGGATAAGAACTAAACAACCTAATTTGCAATTTTCCATAATTTAAATTTGAAACCCGGGTTGTATATTGTGAAAAAATTAATTCTATTTAATAATTTTTCACGTAAAAACTACTAGATGGGTCTTGATGAAATTTTACAGTGTTATACGGCAGTAATATTAAAATGTGAAAATGAGTGAATTTATTTGTTTGTTACCATGTAGTGCCTTAGTGACTTAATCAGTCACTATGAAATTTGGTATATATGTATTATATGAAATGGAGAAGAATATAGGCTACTTATTATTCCGGTCAATAAGCAAGCTCCAATAATGCGACCGAAGTCACGGTAATAGCTAGTCGGCTGTAATAAACAAAGCTATAGTATTGGCCGCAATACATCTGTAATTGTTAAGTATGTCGACGAGAATCCTGCCGTCTAAGATCTATTTCGTACGCTGCATAAGCAGTTGGTTTCACAAAACGATGTATTGTGAAATCGTTTGTCCTACAAAGTTCTAAAAAGTCCGCGATTGCAAAACATTCAAACTAAATACTGTATTTACAATACATAGTTATGGTATTGGTAATATATGTATTACTTTTTTATGTAACTTAGAATATCATACAAGTTGATGGCCCATATGATGGAAAGTAGTAACAGTCGCCTATAAACATGAACAGTACCATAGATGTAATAGAAAATACCGTGTCGCCCATGATATCTCTCATGTGCTGCCATTCCTGAGCAATAAGGTATTATGTCTATGTACTTTTGCTATATAAAGTAATAGATAATCTTTGATTTTTACGGTAAATAGTTATGACATATGTGAATTTTTTTTTTTTATACAACTTAGAATGGCAAACAAGCTGACGGTCCACCTGATGGAAAGTGGTAACCGTCGCCTATAGGCGTGAGCAGTACCATGGACATAACAGAATATACTGTTTCGCCCAGTTAGTAGAACGCAAATAAGTGACCTAACGTTTATGTTTCTTTTATTGACATCTACTAAGGCAAGCTTTTTGGATTGCATATTGCCTCAAAACGCCTATCTCGGCTAGGGAATCCTTTATATTGGCGCTGTTGTTACGCCACTGAAAGCTATAATGGTATATTGCAGGCTATTTTACAACAATTGTATTGAAATTGAATCGAGAAACAAAAAAACATTGTTCCCTATTATTTTTTTTAATGTGGAAAGTCTAAAATAAAAATATTCATAAAGGTAACAATACCTTTGTTTGCAACTTGGCTTGCCGCCTTTTTTTTTTATATTTCTAGACCTAGATGCTAGTTTTCGCTCGTTATTTCGTACGCGTAGATTTCAGTAGTAGAAAAACCAATAAAATATACCATTGTTAGTACTTCCACGCGTCAAGATGAAACACCAGTTTTTTTTTAGTTAGACCTCCAGGAACACAACTGTGAAAATCGTATCTAATTTGGTGCAATAGTTTTTTGCGTGATGCCAGAACATACAAACAGACAGATAGAATTTCTATAATATAGTGGTTTGACATCTATTGATCTTATATTACCTATTATTTTCTTAAATATTTCCCATGTACAGACATCATCTAGTTACAAGTTATATTAGTAAGATTATTCTTTTTCGTTATTTTTTTTTTCAATTTATATATTAAATATATTTATTAAAGTTTAATGCATCTAGAAAGTGCAAATGGCGGACTTAACACATATGGCATTATATACCAGTCGAATGTAGACAAGAATAACAATGCACAGTATTAAATTAAAATAGTAATTAAAAAATAACACACACATATATATATATATATATATATATATATATATATATATATATATATATATTTTACGTTATACATATGTACTTATTTTACAAAATTAACTTATAATCTATACATATAATAAAACTGTAGAAATCGAATGTCTGTACATAAAAAAACACTAAACATCGATTCAGAGGAATGTTAGAAGTGAAATAGAACTCATCCAGATTTTTTCAAAATTTTTGGTTCACTATCTGTCTCTATCTATCTGTCTGATTATCTGTTTGTTTGCACGGGCTAATTTCCGAATTGCTGTGGGATAGTTAAAAAACTATAGTAACTTATACAGCTTAGTATACAACCTACATAAGTTATTTTGTCTTAAGGCAAAGAGTAAGAACGACACGTCATTATTTTGTTAATTTTGGTCTAATATTCCCAGACATAATAAATAGGTAGGTACATACATCGATACTAACTAAACAGGAATAACAAATACCGCGCGGACAAAGTCACGGGCATCAGCTAATAATAAATAGTATCAAACGAAATACTATTCAGATACAAGGGAAACTCCGGCATCAGACTAAGCAAAGTGTCTACATCATATTACGATTGTATGTATAATTTATAACTAAATATGTAACTTATAAAAGAACGTTCAACAAAATGTAACATTATTATGAATAACTTGAAATTGAAAACTGAAGCGTCAAGTGACGTACTGTTTTATTGTTCTCCAGTCACAGATATATTTAAAAAAATATTAACGGAACAATGAAAGTAGACTTATTTATGCAGTCTTGTTTTTAACTACAATTGTGTGTGATGATCACAAAATTGTTGTGTTATATATAACATTTCTTTGGTTTTGGATAAATAAGTAATAACTATTTTGACTCATTCTATTACTGTTATATAATTATTTATATTGGCTTCACTGTGTATTTGCCATATATAAAAGAAAAATACCACTAACTGTTATGGCAAGTAATAATAAATTTAGGTGTTTTTTTTGTTGTAAAGGAAACAAAAATTTTACAAAAGATAAATAAATACTTATTACGTCTTACTCATAAATATTACAAGAATTTCCATCTAAAGATTTTTTTTATTTTCTACAAACCTTTATTTTTATTGCGTAATAACATTAGATTTTATTACTTACGATCGCATGGCTCAATAGAGTTTTCGGAAAAAATAGGCTATAGCCTATTACTCGCTGATAATATAGCTTTCTATAGATGAATCAATTTTTTAAATCTAAACGAATATTATAAAACAAAAGATTTGATTTTTTGTTTGTTTGGTTGTTAAGATTTAACTCAAAAACTTTCTAGCGTTCTAACGGTGAAAGATTTTAACAATTCTTTTACCTTTAGACCGCTACATCTTCACCAAGTAACATAGGCTATTTTATTATTATTTTAAATTAGAGATCCTTACCTAAACTGGAACAATGTAATCCATGGTATTAAAAAATTACCTATATAAATAATTGTTTTACGTGCGCTTCAAAAACTATTGATATAATATAAAATAGTGTTCTATATATTAATAGTACTTATGATTACTCACAAAAAAGTCCGCGATGTTATATGCCTAACTATTATAGTTAAGCCACAATAACAGTTTTTGTTTAAATTATTAAGTTAAAGTACGGATGGAATCGAATAGTGGTGATACTGGTATCATGATATTAATCCTTATTCATTTAAATGATTTGATAATTAAGGTTGATTATGTACGTGTATTTTAAATTCCACTTTAAAGTGTTCAGAATATACATTCCTTAAATAAGAAAAATGTCATGTTCTGAATAAACTGTCTTACGTTTAGTCTATTAATACAATACTCATATAGGTTATACTCGTTTACATTAAATAATAGATTTAAATATAAAAACTTTAATTATTAAGTATATTTTTTATATTAGAAATGCTTTATTAAGTAAAAATATAAATGCTTTTTACGGAATTATGATGTCCTCGGTTATTTTTTACAAATCGAACAACGATCGACAACTCGATCGAACAACTCTCCATCGACGGAAAGTACATCTCCATACCTTAAAGCCTCGCATATAATACGGTTTCAGAGATGTTTTTTTTTTCCAAGAACGCTCAGATTAAATGAGCGCACTGTCGAGATTATTCTAAGAAACCACAACTTGGGATTCTTCAAAAACGTGGAGTAGTGTTTATTCTAATATGCATAGAGCATTTAATGGATGATAACGGAATGATAATCCCGCCTGCGCTATCGGTATACGCGACAAGGTACCAATGAGGAATGATAGGCGAAAATAAAAGACAGGTCAGTTAGCTCATCGTAATGCATACATCTGAAATTTAGAAAATTTACATATTAGAGATTCGTATATTAAAGTGTATAAAGTAACTCGTAAAGTAAAAGAGCAGTAATTGCAGTAAAAATTACAGTTTTGTCAATTAATACCAGTTAACGAAAAAGTCAAAATGACCATATTAGTAACATTTTTTTTATTTGCATTTACAAGAAACTATCCAGCATACTAAAAAAATACAGAATGGCACGAATAAAAAGCTTTATCAACCATTGTCCAATAATTTGCATGGAAAGCGAACACATCGATATATTATTCCAAATTTAATAAACAATTTACCAAATGATATTAAAAATATATTCTTAAAAATTAAAAACCTGTAATTTTATCTTTAATAATCTATACTTATAATAAATCTGTAAAAAGTCATTTGTATATGAAAAATATTTCCAAAATAACTATCAGGGAGTGATTAGTGATTGATACTGATGCCAAAAATGCAATCAGTAAAATTTTTGTCTGTCTGTCTGTATGTTTGTTATAGAAACAAAAACTACTCGACGGATCTTAACGAAACCTAGTACAATTATTCTTTATACTCCTGGGCAGGTTATAGTATATTTTTTATCACGCTACAATCAATAGGGGCAGAGCAGTGAAGGGAAATGTTGGGAAAACGGGAGAAGTTATCTCAGTTTTAAGCTTCCGTCGCGGGTGCAGCCTTAATGGGCACTTTTTAAAATGTAAAAATGTCCACCCGTGCGACGCCGGGACGGGCCGCTAGTATAATATATAATATATATTTAAACGTCGTGCTACCTTCTTGTAGTTATTATTATTGTACTTGAGCTTAACCTTTAATTATAATCGCGCATTGTGTTCTGTAAATAAATTATGTGAAAGGTGAACCGGTATGTGCAAAAAGCAACCAGCTTTCTAGCATACTGATAACAAAATAACTATATTGTAAATTAATAATAAATAAATAAAAAAAATAATATATATAATTTATAATTAGTATGTTTTATTACGTACACAAGTCTGTAATGCATAGATTTAATTCAGGTTTCAAATGTCCGCCTATAACTACTTCTTCTTTTCATTTAAGAGTTTCCTCATGTCAGTGCAACTATCCTTGATCTCCCTATACGACAGGATATCTAGTTTTTCTTTTATCTGTAACATGTAGTTAGTGGGCAAAAGAGGAAGAGGAAGACCTAGGGTCTTCCTCTTCCTCTTTTGCCCTCTATTTTTCCTTCTACTATGCTCTTAAAAAAATCGTCATGTCGTATAAGGTGGCCCAACATTTTGCCTCTTCTATTCTCTATTATTTTAATTAATGTTCTTTTCTCGTTCACTCTTTTCAGGAGTTCCTCATTCGTTAGTTACTTACTATAACTACTTAGACCGTAGAAATTATTGACTCGTCCAATAATTTGTATAAGTAAAGCAACAGGGTAACGAGTGCTATTTTTTACAATTGTGAATTTAGCTAGGATTAAACGCAATTTTATTTGATCAGTCCATGAACAACCGATCGTCAATAATCATTACTCAAATAGTCTTTAATAACAATAAATCTCTTTATAACTTATACAGCACTGCATACGCATGCACAAATATGAATATTCGTGTAGAAGTATGTATGAAGACATCTGTGATTATATGCAAGTTAACTTTATTGGAAATGATTTTCTGTTTTGACTGACGATGATATACATCTATATCTATACGTATAATAAAACTGTACAGGTCGAATGTCTGTACATAGAAAAAAAAAACGCTAAAAATCAGGAGCATATTAGAAGTGAAATAGAGCACCATCCAGATTTTTTTCTTATTTTATGTTTCTCTATCTGTTTTTCTGTTTGTACGGGCTAATCTCCGAAACTGTTGGACCGATTCAAATGAAATTTTGCATGGTGGTGTTACCTTATATCGACGGTCAACATTTTAGATACTTTTAATCACGGAAAATTGAAGAGTTCCAGTGGGATAGTTAGAAAACTGTAGTAATTTATACAGCTTAGTTCATAACCTACTTAATTAGTCATTTTGACCTAAAGCAAAGAATGAGAACGATACGTCAATAGTTAATTTTGGTCCAGTATTCCCAGACATAATAAATAGGTACATACATCGATACATATTAAACAAGAATAACAAATACCACGCGGATAAAGTCGCAGGAATCAGCTAGTTACTTAAAAATGACAGAATATTCATCGTGCCTCTGCTCAAACTGTTTATAACTATTTCTCTCCATCTACGATTAATAATATAAGGTTACCTGGAAGGGATCAGTTTCAGCGATAAGCCGCCCATTGTTTTATCATGATTCTCATTTCTTGTAATCGTTTTTTTTATGGGTGAAAATGGAATGGTAACCCCGCCTGTGCTAACGGAATACGCTGGCGGAGCACCAGTGAAGGGTGATAGATGATAATGAAAGCAGGTCAGTTAGCCCATCATGATGAATTCATCAGGAATTAATCATGATAGTTTCCAGGGAGAACCGCGAGGAGGTCGACCTGGTTGGATATATTGCTAGCAATGGGATTCTCAGCCTCCATTACTAACAATCCCTTTCCCCCTTCTTGTAATCGTTCGTGTCTATAATAAGTTTACTATTGTTATATTATATGGAAGTAACAATAAAGAGTAAATATCTATTATTTTAGTTTTAGCAGGAATTGGTACTAAACCATAGTCATGAGACGGTTAACATAAAATGTTAATGTTTGTTTTAGTTTGTTAAGAGCTAACTTTATATCACTGTTGGTAGCGAATAAACAAGTATCGTTTGCAATTTAGTATACCTCGTTTAGACTTAATTGAATTTGAAACATTGTTAACATATAGTATGTAATGCAGTGGCTCAAGTTCCGATCCCTGGGCTGTTTCCGTCTCAATCCAAACTTTGTCACTTTAACGTAATAAGCTCTTTTTCATAGATAATCTTTAATCCATTCTAAAAAAAGTTGACCTTGAATTCTGTATTCTAGACTGCCTATCAGCTTACCAGGACAAAGCATATCGAAGGTTTTACTATAGTCAGTGAACTCTACAAGTATATGTTGTCTATTATTGAGATGTTTGTTCATTTTATTAGGGAAATAACATAATAATTATGTGATTTAGTTTCCAGTTTGAAAGCCATGTTGTTTTTTGATATAATATTTTTTTTTATAGACGTAATGTTTTTAAATGATGATAATGGAATGATAACCCCGTCTGCGCTAACGGTATATGTTGGCGGGGTACCAGTTAGGAATGATAGGTGAGAATGAAAAGGCAGGTCAGTTAGCCTCAACGATAAATTCGTCTAGAATGGAACACGATGTTTTCCAGAGAGACCCGTGAGAAGGTCGACCTGACACGGTGTATTGCTAGCATTGAGGGCTATTAATCCCCATTATTAACAACCAAACTATGTAAATTAAATTGTATACGTATTTTTCAAGAACTTGGTAGTACTAGTAGGGTTTGCCCTTATCCTAAAACGGGCACTAGACAATTCGGTAATGGGCGTTGTTTATGACAAGCCTTATAAAGTCAACATAAAATGCAATGTTCTGTATTTCAACCTCCTTTAGATTTGCCTGAGAATGTTGAGATGTATTCGGAGCTGACGCCGCTGGAGTCGGCGGCACCTCATTCCATGGCGACGTCGTTCCGCGCCGCGCACCGGCACAGCGGCGATCAGTACGCGCTGAGGCGTCTCCACTCATACTCGGGGGTTGCCACTAAGCGCCTTGAGATGTGGAAGCAGATCGACCACCCGAACATCGTGAGACTCCACGATTACTTCACCACAAACTCGTTTGGTGATCACTGTGAGTATTCATCATTATCTTTACTGATTAAATTATTATTTTTATTGCTTGTTTATGGATTTGTTACCTCTTAGCACCTTAAAGGCTCTACGAGATGTACATATATTTACCCCAATCAATCATCATATCTTTGTCACACGGATAAAGTCGCTGGTAAAAAATAATCTTCAATATCAACGTCCCTTTTCTCTCTCTCTCTGTCTCTCTCTAGATTTTTGAAATGAAAGTGAAATGATAACCCTACCTACGTTTTTCGGTATACACTGGCGATATACCAGTGAGGGATGATAGGTAAAAATAAAATCAAATCAGTTAACCCATCGTAAAGAATTCACCAAGAGTTAACCACGATGGTTTCTAGAAAAGACCGCCTATAGTTCTTCTTGATAGGCCATATTATTAACAGTGGGGCTGTTAAACTCTATTACCATTCTGTTCCTCCTGGCGAGGAGGATATTAGTTTGCTATGTATTTCTATGCAAGCAGACGGAATGAAAAGGTATCAAACAAACTGATGACCTACCTAATGGAAAGTCAACTATCATCTATAGGCTGTATATAAATAGCATCATGAAGTACAAAGAATAAACTGTGACATCTATAATCATACAGAATTGTGAGTGTACGCTACCAGAATCAATGAAAAGAACCGAATTATTTAGTTAACTTTTTTGCTATTGTTGAATATCAAACGAACTGACAAATGACCCTAATACTATTATGATTGTCCTAAAATATAATGTGCCTTCTTCAACAACCTAAAATGCCCTTAACGCCAGAGATTGCCTTCTTTATTTACCCTTTGTACTGCTCAAAATAACATGTGCTATGGCACACTGACTCTGGGTTCAAATTATTTAAAATTCACGTGAACTAAATCACATACACAACAAACAGAACAATCATATCTTATAGAAATGGGTAAACTCTATTGTAATCTAAAGATAGTCTTACTGATAAGGACGTGTCGAAAAAGATGGCCCCCCACCTTTTTCGACACAATTTTCTATAATTTTATCTAAAAGATCTATGTATGTAAATTTTTCTATTGTAAAATGCAAGAATATTTAATTGTGTTACCTCATCAGCAATACTGGCCTTGGGGTGGAGGAGGGGGTTGAGATGCATTCTGGGCCGCCGAGATCTAAAGGAATGTTATAGGATCAATAGGGTCAGGTGTCTTGCATTAATCAGGTGGCCTATTCTTTAAAAAAATCTGTTATCAATACAATAGGCGATGAAGAATGATAAAAACCTGAAAATTTATGCACACCTGTGTGTTACACAAGCGCTTGACGTGTTCATAAAGGAATAAAAATCGAATGTGGATGAAAAAAATCGTTTGGAATGAATAGGTATCCCAAGTGATCTGGCACCACGTGTCATCGTTAAGATTGACTCTGTTTGTGGGTCATATAAAAACCTTTGTTATTTTGCAGCGATGGTACTTGTGTACGATTATCACCCGGCGTGCGAAACGCTGATGAACAAGTACTTGGCGGGCGGTGGCTCAAATTCAGTTACCGACGCCAACGGAGCCTTCCACGATCCGTTCTCGTCGGACCCGGACGCGCCGCGGCCGTACACTCACCAGGTAAGATTTTTTCATATAACAGGAAATGGGAAACTAACTAAGAGCACATCTGATGGAAAATGGCAACTATTACCTATCAATTATTGACAATGTTGCTGTAGTTTTTGTATATTTTGTGTCTCCTTCACTTATATTATATTTGCGCATACTTTAGTGGCTGCCAAATTACTATTTAAGTATATAATTATGTATTGTTCTAGCTGTTTGTTTGCCTTAAATAAATCAAAAGCATCATCATCATATCAGCCATTATTTGTCCACTGCTGAACATAGGCCATAGAACAAAAGTACCATAGATAGTACAAAATGCATTGACGCCTATAGTTATTCCAGCAGGCAAAGGTGTTATGCTTCTGTACCTTGTAATTTTATTGTCATATGCCATATTGCAATAAACATAGCAACGGCAGTAATACGACTGGTACAGAGTTATCCATTCAGATGACATTTGTACAAAGTGATAATTAAGTCTGATAATTAAGTCATTTATGTCATGATTATATGATAGTGATTCAACAATATACATTCAAATTAAAAATAATATTCAATTCTTTAATTGAAATAAATAATATTCATTCTTTTGTTTTAGAAAAACGCTATGCTACGAGCTGTAGCATGCGGCGCTTTATTACCAGAAGCCGTCCTGTGGAGCTTGTTGGTGCAGCTGACTGCAGCTCTGCGTGCTATACATACAGCAGGACTGGCTTGCAGGTATGAAAGTCATCTTGTTATTAAATCTTAATCTCACCAATATTATTATAAACTATATTTCGTCACCGCGTGAATTGAGATAAAATCCTAAATAAATAGGACTTGAAGTTGTGTTTTTAGTTGCGAATTTTTTCTCTGTGGTTATTAATGTTAAGTGTCATATTTATTATTATTTTTATGTCAGCCGTTAACTGTCCATACCCCATAAAGGGAGTTTGCCAGTAGTTGCCATGCTTGGCTGACGGGTTAGAAACCATAGGCTTTGGTGATGTTTTAAGAGACGATGCTGCCCATTCCTCAACCATTAAATTCTCTTAGTCGTCTCTGACATCCACGTAAAAGAAAGGGGTGGCCCATTCTTTTTAACAACCACGTATATAACCATGTATTCGAGTTGATGAAGAAGAAAGTATTTATTGCAATAAAACTTACAAAGGCGCGTCAGTAGTATTAGGCGGGGGCAATAAAAAAAAGGGACGAGAAAAATATATATATATAAAATAATTTAGTGTAGGAAAAGGAGATAATTGATTAATAAATGAATGCCATGATAACAATGCATAATATTATCACACTTTAAAGATGATGATAAATGTATTTTTGGGACAAATAGGGTCTCATAATAGACTGGCAATAAACAGTCAATTTCTTACAACTTGAATACAATATTTACAAACTACAGATATTGCTTAGAAATTTCTAGATTTAATATTTGATTTATAGTATATTTGATTTATATATATATATATATATATATATATATATATATATATATATATATATATATTATCAATTAAAGTTTCCATTAATTTATTATTATTATTTGTTTGTCATGATAAAAAGTAATCTATAACTTTCTCTGTCCCAAATACTGAGGCAACAAACAAACAAAACTTTCGCGTTTTAAATATTAATAAGGATTAAATTGATTTTATTCTACACTAAATATTTTTTTAAGTGATTTTATGTTTAAAATAAAATCTTTATACATTTCATTCACTTGTTATCTCTTCGAAGTATTTTAATATTTTAGTTTCCTTATTATTTAATCAATATTGAGGAAATAAGATATTAAACTAGAGTGTATATTGACAGAGCCCTGGACCCCACGAAGGTGGTGATGAACGGGTGTCGTGTCAGAGTCGCCTGGTGCGGCGTGGCTGACGCACTCCACACGAACACTAACGATGTCGCTCAGGTTAGTTAATGTTGTTTAGATTATTTATCTATTTATAACAGGAAAACAGACGCTTATTCACATAAAAATAATAACAAGATAACAATACAATCAAGTCAAGGTTAGTCATCAATAGACACTATTTTAATTTACAGTTCATAATTACACTGCACCGTTTAATCCCAGACTTAGCAGAGCATATACTATACAATTGAAACACATATTTAAATAGTTTTTTTGTGAATAAATACATACCTTACATTAAATGTTTGTATTAATGGAAATCGAATTCACGATCATTGGAAGGTGAAGCAGTATCACAATCCGCTACACCACCAAGTTTGTCATATCTAAATCAATTGTGTAAAGAAATTTATTAATTAGCTTAATGAGGAGTTTCTACTTTAGCGACATCAGTATTATTTTGTAATGGATGATAATGGAATGGAACCCCATCTATGCTAACAGAATACGCTGGCGGGGCACCAGTAAGGGATGATAGGTGAAAATAAAAAGGCAAGTAAGTCAGCCCATCATTATGAATACACCTGGATTTCAGCACGATGGTTTCCAGGGAGGGATCACGTAGAGGTCCACCTGATAGTGTATATTGCTAGCAATGTGACTGATGCATATTGCATTACTAACAATCCCTTCCCCTCGCATCATAGTACTGTTGATCAATACTATCACTACATTATTTTGCTGTAACTCATATAATGTATAAATTCTTTGTACCAGGCTCAACAAGAAGACTTGACCGCATTAGGGCGACTAGCGCTAGCGCTAGCTTGCCGAACCATTCACTGCGACAACTTGTCTGCCTGCATGGACCTCGTGGCGCGAACCTACTCGGCGGACCTCAAGAATCTGATACTGTAAGTTGAGATATTTTTATTACTAATTGTATCGGAGAGATTGCCATTGGCAGGGATAAAAAGTAACCCATGTCCTTCCCTACGCCATATGTATGTTATATAAATGCCAAATTTTATTATAATTGATTGAGCTCTTATAGGGCTAAGGGTGACTATTTCAAAGGGAAATGATGCATACAATTATTGTATCTAAAAAGATATTCTTGTATGAAATATCAAGCAATCTCTTAATAATTATTCCTTTTCATCCAAAGATCGTCTGGAAGAGATCGCTTTTAGCAATAAGGTCACCCATCGTTTTCTCAGTGTAATTTTTTTTTGTAATTGTTTATTTTATATCTATAATAAGCTCACTACTGTTGTCCTTTTTTTCATTTGTTTGGATAAACTAACAATGCCAAAATAAAGAATAATATAAAACATTAATAAAGGAAAGTGTTGGGTACAGTTGCCACCAACCTTTATTACAGTTTTCTTCCAAATATTCTATAAATAATCTAAACATTGAAAAAACGGTTTAGGAGGAAACAATAAGAATTCGTTCCGCTATTCAGAGAACAAATAACATACATTTTACTTAACCTCAGCTTTATAATACTAAAAAGGGCGAAACATCAAAATGATTACACTTAACAGATATTTGTTGTCGACGTCTACCGCTCGTCGCTCCGTCACAGATCTCATGCCCATGATCGGAGCGAGATTTTACACTCAGGTATGTCGTATTGTATTAGAATTTATATTGCATTATTGTATAATTATGTCAAAATAATAATATAATTATGCTATTTCACACATATAACAATGATATTTAAATAGTTCCAATGTTAAAAATTCTTAATTTTTAGAATCTGCGTATTTAGCTTAGGTTCAATTCTTAGGTTAATTTAAAAACTTATTTAATAGGAATGACATGTGAAAATTTCAGAAAACTCAGTTTAAAACTCCATCAAGAGCCAAAACTTTTTTATGCATCTTAAAATGGCAAACAAGATGAAGGTATACCTGATGGAAAATTGTAACCGTCGCCTACTGAAATGAACTGTACCACAGACATAATAAAGTATACTGTGTCGTATACATGATACCCTTTAAGCATTGTCATTCCTCAGGACTAAGGTTTTATGTCTTTGTGCTCTGTAATATCATTGCTATATCCCACTCTTCAGACAGAAACACAGCAAACACAACTGCTTCACGGCAGAAATACGACTGGGACAATGCTACCCAAGCAACGACTTTGGTACAAAGTTTCTCTCTGGTAAAACTTACTACTACACTTGCTGGAACTTTCATCATATGAAATGATTGTACATTATAGATACCCTGATAGAGTAATATCGGCCTTCTTTGGGGAGAGAGTCATCACATTCTGCAGTAGGATCATGATGCTAATTCTAATAAATGTTTTAATCTTGCCTTTTATTATATGATGCCTTAATTTATATAATTACTCGTATTAGGTGGAAGCGTTGGAACGTCGAGCTGACGCGTTCGAGGACCAACTGGCGCACGAGATTGACAACGGAAGGCTGCTCCGCATCCTTATCAAGCTGGGAGTCATTAACGAGCGCCCCGAGTGAGTTCAGATTCATCTATTATAGATTTATGTTCACGCCATCTCCCTTGTGATGTTGGTAGAATAAGAACGATAGGACCTATCGTTTGTAACATAATGTACATGCAAAAGTTTTGTTTTTCCACATCGATGGAATGGATTAGTAATTTATAAAGTTAACTGAGTAACCATTTTATTTTAATTTCTTATTGAAGCAAAAACTGTCAGTGTAAAAATAAGTTTTTGTGACATGTGTAATGTTAGTTCTTTTTTTTTTTAGATCTATTAGTATTCAATGTGTTTTCTTTTTACATTTTGTCACTGTGAATATGGTTTTGAAAATAAATGTAATTTTTTTAAATATTATACACAAAGATACTTATTATATGTTTCCTCAAATAATCAAGGTCTTCACCAAATGGCAAAATCAACCAGATTTTTATAATGTCTTTAAGGCATTATAAAAGGGCCAAATCAGTCGGAATTATTTATAGTAGAGTAAAATTTTTTTGTGCATAATAGAAGTATACATTTAAATGTCTAGTAAGTGATAACAATCACCATTATTAACATAATCGTATTTAAATTTTTATGTGCTTTAAAAAAAAATATTCGTGTTGTGATATCTTTATTTTATACTGTTTATATATAATATTATTTAAAATACTTGTATGGTGGGTGTTGTTCTGCTGCCTATATAATAAGCTTTTTATTATTTAAACATACGACCAGTTTCCAATCTTCATTCTCAGCTGTATTTAAATAGGGTTTCAAATAGGTTGTGTTACGAAATCAAGATCATTTATTCATATAGATTACTTTGAGTCATTTGGGATGAGATAAAATTGGGTTCTATGTTAGCTTTTTGGCTATTAAAGCTGCCGTTTCATTTGTTTTAGTATTCTATCATCAAATTAGCCTTTAACTGTCCACTGTTGTACATTAACCTCCCTCTTAGGTGCTACATATCAATTTTTCCATTTGTATGCATATGTAGTTTAGTTACAATAAATATAATACCTTAGAATGAGAAGGACACAAGTGAAATTAGTCTGCTGAATTTGGATTTGTATGTGCTTACAGATTGAACATGGACGCATCCTGGTCAGAGACCGGAGACCGCTACATGTTGAAACTGTTCCGGGACTATCTGTTCCACTCAGTGTCTCCAGACGGTCGGCCATGGCTGGACCAAGCCCATTTAGCGTATTGTCTCAACCAACTCGATGGAGGAACGTCTGCTAGGGTATGTAATGTTATTCATAATTATCTATAAAAATACTGTATTCTCCGAAATGAATTCAGATAAATGTGCAATATGTGTTAATCCACTCTATGGTCCTGTAACCAATTTCATTCATATCTATTCAGTTGTTAAAATGTAATGTAATAACGAACAAATAAACACACAGATGTCTTTACAAATGTTCACATTTATAATGTTAGTACGTTCTTCACACTCATGTAATAGACAGAATTGACAACCTCCATGGTGCAGTGGTAGGCACATTGAATAGAATAGAATAAAATAAATGTTTATTGAGAGCTGTACATTATAATAAATCGTAAGATGTTCATAACGTTTTAAAGGAAATTTACACAGCTCGCTCATATAATACATCGGGCATACAATACAATTACATATCATTAATTATTTTATGGTTAAACAATCAAGTCTGCATTAAAGTTCAGATCAGAATAAAATACAACAATCAACAAGAACAAATTCACACATGCTCATAATTACAATATATTTATGATTATTTTATATATTATTTAAATTGTAAATATATCAAGAAGCAAAAAATTCATTCAAATTGTAAAAAGTATTTTTAAGTAATCATTTTTTATTAATAATCTCATTTCCAAAAAAGGTTCTGGACCGGATTTGTTTCACAATAAGGTCGATGTAGGAAATGCGAATTTTTTAAATTCGCTTGATGTGCTGCGTTGAGCCTCCATATATTCATTGCCTGGGTCTCTATAATACAAGGAAGCTTAAGGGATATATATATATATATATATATATATATATATATATATATATATATATATATATATATATATATATATTCACGTGTTTATATTTCTCTTATTATTATTATTATTTTCATAACTCGTTTCATTTCTCTATATGTTGTAATGTTTGTTGCACCAGGTGGAGTTAATGTCTCGTGACGAGCAGAGCGTCCTCGTAGTATCGTACGCGGAACTGAAGCACTGCCTCGAGCAAGCCTTCGACGAGGTGATGCAGGCAGCCGTCTCGCCGCCGTAAACAGCAACATTCGCCGTTTATAAATCGATAAATACGCGCCTGTTTCTGAATTGACAATTTCTTTAAATTATTTTTTATTTTTGCTGAGTGGTATAGTTCATGTTTTCAGTGATATGTGTGGTTAAGCTAATTGGGCCATATTGGGTTGATTTTTTTTTGGAAAATGACATCCTACTCCACTTTAGAACCTCTATTTTACCTGAATGCAGTGGCCGTAAATAAAACTGTACACTGTTTTTTTAGTCTATACTGGACTATGCATATTATCATTCTGGTAGACTGTGGTATTAAAATATTAAATCTACCCTGATCCTCTTACTTTTTGTATGGAAACAAAAGCAAAGGTAGATTAGAACTAGCTGAATCATAGAACTATACTACCAGTAGAACAGAATTCGTTTAGTTCACTCTAGTTATAATAAAAGAACTAATTGTTCGAAATTTTAATTCTTAAATATATATATACATATATATGTATATGTATAGAAGTGTTACAATGGCATAGTACAGAAAAGATATCGCCTTAGTGTGTCCGCAACGACAGGATCTAACACAAATTAATGTATTTCGTTATTTTTATTTTTACATTTGGTCGCTGCGGACCTTTATACAAACTTGTATTCAAATTTCTTAATTTAAATTAGTTTAAAATGTTCACTGTCTAATCTGTATTCATCATTACAAGTCGTTTGACAAGGCAACAATACTCCGACAAGAGAATACATAATCACATCATAAGACAACACTTCTAGTTTTTTGTATTTTGCATTAAGCGAGTTGACATCATTAGTACATAAAATAGCAATAGAAATTATAAGATTTACTAGTTTAATAGGTATCGGCAAACTATTACGGTGTACTGATATACATATTTATGTTGTCAAAGGTGCAATGTAAACTTATGTTTAAATGCGTGTGTGAAATGCGTTCGCAACTTGTTTTAAATAATTCGATATTCCGGTCGAATTAAAACGATATAGGTTTAATAAGTCAATGCAACAGTATTTTTTATTTATTTTTGAAATACGAATAATGTATGCAAGTATTGTCTGTTCAGAAAACTGGTTTTTATCATACAGCAACAAAGGCATCTCTGCCACTATGTTGCTATTACCCCATGTTACTCACCTTACCATGAACATAATATCTCCCAAAACTTGTTATTGTAAAAAAATCTTTTCATTGTTGGCAAATCAATGGCATTTTTGTCTATCGAATTATAAGATAGATTATTTTCCGTTACATTATTATCAGTCTGTAGACAAAATGGCATTCTATTATTGAATACAGTTGTATTTTTTTCTTTTTCTGTACACAAAATTGGGAATTTCCTTTATACTATGAGAGTAGAGAGGGCAGTGTTCTCGTATTGTCGTTATGCCACAAGTAGTATACAAACATACGCCTAACCTAATAGTAATTAGCTCATATCAATTTTTACGTTAACACGATTTTTAGACATTTAAACATTCCAAATTTTGACATCTACTTGTCTTTAGTTAAATTTATTAGTTGTCCTTTTAGTTCTCATTTTTCGTATTAATCTCGCACTAATTTATGATTATTTTGAAATATCGCAAATTAGTTTCTAATTACGTCTATACGTTTACTTACTTTTTACGTACTATAGAATCATATGGTACTTATATCTTTACCTTTACTTTATCTTTATTTATTTTATGCCCATTTATTAATATTTTAATTTGACAGGAAATCACTAGCCCAAACAAAAGCAGTACGTGCAATTGGGTTGATTCATAAAATTAAGATTTGTTAACCGTGATGTATCTTTATTACGTGTTGAATACTAAAAATATTAAATAGTAGTAAAGGTTTCCTGAAGAAATTGTATACGACAATGTTCCGTTAGAAACACCGAGAATGCTCGTCCGCTCGATCCTCTTAGTATTACAATGCATCTCCATATTGTACAGTAAACGCTCTGAAGCTGTCAAATCTGTTTAAAGCTTCAATCTTGAACCGCTGAGTGTTCACAGCTTTTCCTGGGAATAATAATCTATTTTTATAAGCACAATATGTGCTTTGTAATTCAAAGACGGCAGATTAGGTATATATAAGATAGAATGGCGTAAAAAATAAGCGAGTTTCTCCTGTAAGGCCTTTGGTGTATTGCCACTGTGGATAGAGTTGCAAACTCAAGATTATATATGCAATCAATTTTATTTAGATTCATCCAAGTCTTGTTATTATTTAGAGTGAGTTTACATTTCATAAGACACGTCGAACTGATATGTAACGAGATCTCATTGTCTGGAAAGTCAGCCGTGTCCGTGGAACGCACTGAACGTTCACACCTTTTACAATAGTTCAATATTTTTTATATAGTGGGTTGTTTGAGTCGATGACGAAAATGAACCGGTTTATTGCCCACTTAAAGCTTTAAGTGTCCAATTATAGTTTTGTATAGCGCCTTATCAATGTACTGTAACGAACAGCCGCCTGAACAAATGCCACAAACATTCCAAAATAACAACAAATATAGCGATTAAACGACTTTTATTCAGCAATTGATGTGATGTATTGCGTCGCTACAACTGGAGCCTTGAACGTGGTAGTTGTCGACAGCAATACGCGACATCCCTAGTTGAATGCGCTCGCGACGAGCAAACGCTCAAATTGTCTTAATTTGCCGATACAATCAAATGGAAACGTTCGTTGTGTTGAGTATATACATAAGTCGCTAGCGTCAACAAGGGACCGTTCGTTTTCAAAATTGTGAACCAAATCACGTCACGTAGATCTGAATTTGTATATGAAGAGACACGCCGCGAGATGATCCATGTCATTGACTATGGATAATCCACATTCAATAATAATAAAATATAACGCCAACAAGTTACTCAATATACAAATGCAGTCGAAACGTGCCGGAAACCCTTATTTAAATTCTATGCCCTATATTTTAAAATTTTGTTTCTGTTTTCTTGCCAATGATAATCAGGTGCATCGATACCGCGCTGCGCCTGTTCCAATTGCATCCATATTCGTGCATTACCATAATTTTGTATTTTAATGTTCCGCAGATACAATAGTACGTGTTTATCTTCGGATAACTAAATTTTAAATTAGTTTAACATTTATTGTATACAAATATATTTTAAATACTTTTATTTAGTTTACTCTTATTCATGTAGAACATATATGACATTATTTTTACATGGCTGCTGTTTTTTGCGCCTTAGATATTTGTATTATCGACATTTACATCATTTTTAATTAGTACATTAGTACTTTTTATGCATGTTTATTATTTTATACAATTATCAGCATGCATTTTAAAAGAGCAAATTGATTTTTTTACTTTTACATTTAGTATTATAACCTCTGTGTAATCAGATATCCCATTATAAATGACACAATAAAAGACACTATGAATTTTGCCTCTTTAAATATAAATAGTGTAAAATAGAAGGTTGTGCCCAGTGAGCCAATTAGATGGATCACGTACTATTCATCTACGGAATCGTATTGCCCCAATACATTATTTACCGAGTTACCCTTCACAGGTACTGGATTACTTTATTTAGTTTTAATTTTATTTCTTATATTTATTTTTAAATAGATTTAAGTTTGAGCATGTTGCAAATTCCGATCTATGTCGCTCTGATGTTCTACTGAACATGAAAAGGAAATATTTTGAGATAATTATAAGTGTATATTTTTTTTTAATAAATACATTTTAAATTCATTGTAGTTTAATTTCATATATCCTTATATTTTATTTACTATATTTGTTTTATAAGTACCTACAAATTATAATAGTAAATAGTCTATGATATTAAAAATTCATATCTAAAAATAGAAAGTTATAAATCGTGGTTTCGCAATCGTTTCTTCCCCAAGTTCATCCTATTGCTTGCCAATGGGAAAGCACTCTGTAGTTGTACGATAATCTCGTTTCTGCTGTAAACTGATACTATACACTGGCGAATCAGTGGTGAGAGATGATAGATATAGATGAAGTCAGGCCAGTTTTTTTTTAACGAGTAATAATGGAATAGTAACCCCACCCGCGCTATTGGTATACACCGGCGGGGTACCATTAAAGATTCTTCATTCTTCAGCACGCTGGTTTCCAGGGGGGACCACATGGAGGTGGACCAAATAGGGTATATTGCTAGTAATGGGGCTATTTAACCCCATTATTTTTAACGGGTGAAGATGGAATTGTAACCCCCCCCCCCCCCGGACTATCAGTATACGCTGGCGGGAGATCAGTGAAGGATGATAGGTGAGGATGAAGCAGGTCAGTTAGCCCGTCGTGACGAATTCAACATGAATTGTTCACGATGGTTTCCAGGGGAAACCATGTGAAGGTCGACCTAATAGGGCATATTGCTAGCAATGGAGCTGTTAAACTCCATTGCTAATAATCCCTTCCCCCCCAAGTAAGACCTGTTTTTTTTATTTGATAGGTGAAAATGGTGTGGTAACTCCGCCTCCGCTAACGGGATACGCTGGCGGAGCACCAGTGTAGGGTGATAGACAAGAATGAAAACAGACCAGTTAGCCCATCACGATGAATTGATCAGGAATTAACCATGATAGTTTCCAGGGAGAACCGCGAAGAGGTCGACCTGGTTGGGTATATTGCTAGCAATGGGATTCTCAGTCTCCATTACTAACAATCCCTTTCCCTCCAATTAAGGCCAGTTAGCCCATCGGGACATATGCATTGCAAATCAACTATGATAATAAGGAACCGCTTTTTAATAAATTTACTATTGTAATCTATACAATAAAGAATATCTATCTATCTATCTAACCGCTAGAAGATTGACCCGACAGGGTACATATTAAAATCCCTAACTATCCCTTTCTCTCGGTAAATTTTAGATGACAGTAGGTTGGGAGAAAGGTATTGTTAGTAATAGGGTCTCATTGCCAGGGGGGAATGAATTGTTAGTAATGGGTTCTAATTAATCCATTGCTAGCAATACACCATATCAGGTCGACCTCCACGCGGTTCCCCCTGGCAATCATTAATTCTAGTGGACCTCATTACGACAGGCTAGTTCACCTATCATCCCTCGCTGGTTCCCTTGCCAGCGTATACCTATAGTGCAAGCGGAATTACCATTTCTTTATCACCCATTAAAAGATGTCAATACAGTAGGGTATGTGAGAGTTACGTTTGAAAGTGTTAACCTCCCCCCCCCCCCTTGTGAGAGATCTATGTCCAACAAAGAAAAATAAAAGGCTGTTATGCTGTTTATAATCAATATTTATTATTGTTACATGCAATTATCAATATTATAATCAGATCTTTGTTGAAATAAGTTTTACCGCTTTAATTTTATTAGGCAACAATTTTCTCAATATCATCAGTATCTTCAATGTTAACTGATCTGATCTTTTTGCTAAAATGTGCTTCAATTTCTAAACAAATCTTCATAGCGCGTGGTGAATCGATAAATTAATAGCAATACCTGCTTTACCAAATTTGCCAGAGCGAACTTTTTCCAATCCTGCTCTAAATCGGTCTAAAATTGCTATTCTCTGAGCTGCTGCTAACTCTCCTGACAGGATGGCAACCGAATGACCATCGAACGTCATTTTATTCGCAACATAGTTTGCAGTCTTCCTTGTATGACAGAAAATAATAGCTTGACCAATTGTGAGTACTCTATAAATATGACTTTATATTTTTTCGGCTGGGCTGTGACATTTTACATAATATTGTTTTATCTTATCCATGGATTCTTCTTCACGAAACAGTTGAATAATAATTGGATTGGGCACAATCATTTGTGCAAACTCCAAAACTACATTATTATATGTAGCAGAAATTAACATCATCTGGCATGTTCGTGACAAACACTTGTGAATTCGAATACACTGATCTTGATGTCCTTCTTTATCTATCATAACATCAGCTTCATCCAAAACAAATACTTTAATCTTACTTAAATCAAATAAAGCAAATTCCACTCCCCAATCAAGAATCTTGCCAATTGGAGTGCCAATTATAACATGCTCAGCTATCTTTGCGCCTTTAAGCATTTTTTCGCCTTTGACAGCATATTTGAGTTTGATTTCAGGGCAGAATTTTGTCATCTTAAAAGCTACTCTTCCTATGTCGATTGCAAGTTCAAATGTTGGGCTGAGACATAACGCTTGTGGATAATTGTGTGAAGAATCAATTCTACTCAGCATTGCTAACACTAGTGCTGCCGTCTTTCCAGTCCCTGATTGAGATTGAGTAATCATATTTTGAGGCGGGTCTGTCAAAAGTATTGGTAATATTGTTTCTTGAATTTTTGATGGAGACATGAAACCCATATCGTAAACATCTTTGAGCAAATTTAGCTCGAGATAAAAAGATTCAAAGGTTTTCCTGGAATATAATGGTGAATTTGGGCCCATTCTTTGAAGTTCAATATCAAATCAAGACAAAACTAATTCTCGGTGCATCATTTTCATTAGCATAAATGTTGCGGCCGGCTTCACTGTGTTTGGTTTGTCCTTACTACCAATTGCCTCATCATGAGGTTGGTTTAAACTTAATTCAGCAATCTTGCTAGTCATTTCTAATTCGTCTCCATTATGCTTCCCCTAATTCGCCATTGTGCTGCTGAGAAAAAAAGAAACATTCTCAATTAATTAAACAAGATAAAATATTGTATCTATTTGTCTGTGTACCGAATTGAGAATCCCTTTTTTTAAGTCGATCGAAAACATACCTACATATTTTAAAATAATAAAACGTGATTTTATCATTTTTCCAATGAAAAATGAAGAAACGACTTTGGAATGCGCTACCCATGGACATAAAACATACAAGAGGGAGACTTTGTACAAAAGTCGATTGCTTGGGTACCTCTATCCCATTCGTGTTTCAACCGTGAAGAAAGGAAACGATAGGTGGCCCATTCCACCCAGGTAACAAGCGGGGAATGGTAACGCCGTGTGTGCCCCGGCATAGAATGGGCCACTCCTTCCATTCCCGTGGGTGTCGTAAGAGGCGACTAAGGGAGAGCGAGCGATATATATATATATATATATATATATATATATATATATATATATATATATATATATATATATTATATATATACATATTTTTAAATAAACCTTGAAGTTCGAGGATGGCTCTTACGGATACATAGAAGTCAATTTGAAATTTAATATCATGCTATAAAGTTCAAGTGTTAGTGGAGAGGTTCTGGGCAGGCAAAACAATTAAGTGACGTGGCACGGCGTGTTTTATATTTTTATTTTTTTGATATAATATAATTGTTGACTTATTAACTTTCTTTTTTTATCATACTAGCTGACTCGGCGTGCCGAATAGCAGAATAAGTATTAAAAACTAAAAAAATAAAGAATCGACTGTTAGACAATACGAAGTTCGCGGGTCAGCTAGTATACATATATAGGGGGAAGGGATTGTTAGGAATGGAGAGGTTATTCCCCATTGCTATCAATATACCCTATCAGGTCGACCTCCACGCGGTTTTCCCTGGAAACCATCTTGACTAATTGACGTTGAATTCATCACGATGGGCTAACTGATCTGCCTTTTCGGGGGGAATGGGGTTGTTAGTAATGGAGTTTGACAGCCCTATTGCTAGCAATATGCCCTATTAGGTCGACCTCCACGTGGTTCCACCTGGAAACCATCGTGAATAATTCTTATTGAATTCATCACGATGGGCTAACTGACCTGCTTTATCCTCATCTATCATCCTTCACTGGTCCTCTGCCAGCATATACTGAGAGTGCAGGCGGGGTTACCATTCCTTCTTCACCCGTTAAAAAAAGAGACCCACATCGTTAGGGGGGGGGGGGGGGGGTGTTAATAATGGGGTCAAACAGCCCCATTACTAGCAATATACCCTATCTGGTCCACCTCCATGTGGTCCTCCCTGGAAACCAGCGTGCTGAATTTCAAATGTATTCATCACGATGGGTTAACTGACTTGTCACTGGTGCCTGGCCAGTGTATACCAATAGCGTAGGCGGGGTTACTATTTCATCATCACCTATTAAAAAAAGATCTGCTTTATTCATTTATCATCCTCCACTGGTGCCTCGCTAGAATATACCGTAAGCGTAAGCGGGGTTACCATTCCATTATCATCCATTAACATAATCATCACACCGTACCATTTCCTGATTAAAAATTCGGGGATATATAGTGTAGTGTGTTGTAAAGTCCGTTTTGTAATGTCATTTCTTAAGTTAACTTCAACATTAATATTATCTCGTACCTGAGATATTTATAAATAATAATTGTTTTGTATAAAGTTTCTGTTACAAGGTTTAGGTACATACTTGACTCTTGTAGTCGAATTGTTAACAATTGAGATTGTGTCGTAACATTAAATCTCATATAATATAATCTGTGGTCGTAACCTAGTTGTAGCGTAACGTATCGAAATGAATAACAGTTTTATTCTATCAAACTCGTTCATTCATTCGTCTCGTCATTTGGTTTCCAAATGTCAAACAAACAAAACAGCAACCAGCCGCAGTGCGAGTGATTTTTAAGATTTAACTTCAAATATACTTTATTCATTAGGAATCTATTTGGGTATAACTGCGTCCGATATTTCATTTCATGTAGTCAGTAGTTTTTGAACAGTGTCTGTGAATCGGCCGACTACAACGGAAGTATATAATGACTTCGGTTTGTTATAATGGGGCTAATGACAGACTTATACATGAGGCTGATCAACTGATATCTTACATAGAACGTGGATCTACAGTGCTCAAGTTCTACCCTAGAAAGAGACCAGAACGCAAGTCACTGCTGGTGAGACGAGAAACGCACCAAGTGATATGGTTCCGCACTGGAGCGCCGCAACGGCAAGCCTATGAAGGAGCCCTGGATATCAGGGATGTGAAAGAAGTTCGTGTCGGGAAATCCTCAAAAGACTTCGAACGGTGGCCCGAAGAAACAAAAAGGCTTGAGCAGTCCAAATGTTTCACTATTTATTACGGCACAGAGTTCAAATTGCGATCGGCATCCTTCGCAGGTAATGTGTAAAATTTCAGTTTGATAAACACATCTATATTTACCGACACCAAGAAATTGGAGTATAAATCTTAATGCATCGTTTTGTGAGGCGAGTTTCATTGATATTTTACACCAATTGTTGATATGTTTGCCAATGCTAAGTGGACTTTATCCATGAGTGTGGTTTTGTTCTATTATGACCCCAATAACTATTATAATAAGAATACTGTATAGAACTATAAATATTAAGGTCTATGTATATATATATCTATTGTTGTAGTTTACTTACTGACTCATTTGTCTGCATTTGAAATAACTCGATTCCTACATTACAGCACAAACAGATAAAGAATGTGAAGCATGGGTAAAGGGTGTGAGATTCCTTGTAGAAGAAGCTGTTAGTGCTTCTTATCCACTGCAAATAGAGAGATGGCTGAGGAAAGAGTTTTATGCGATTGAAAACTCCCATGAGAAGTATGTTTGCAAAAATAATATGGCTTTATTATTATAATATATTGAAAATTATTCTTTAACCTTCCAGAGAACTTGCAATGTGATTCTACATTCCGAATAATGAAAAAATCAAATTCATGTATATCTCTTTGTTTATATTTATTTATTTTATCTTTTGGTTACTCATGAAACTTTTATTTTTTATTTTAATTTACCTTTATTTGGTCTCCCAGCAATTGTTACACTGATAAGATTTAATATTAAAATTACAGTCTATTTATACTTAGTGTACAATAATTTTAACAGAAAATTATTAATATGTAATTATTAATTTAAGGATAACATTGAAAGAAGTTAAAGCGTTCTTACCAAAAATTAATTGTAAAATATCAACAAGTAAATTACGTGACATATTTCAAGAGGTTGACACAGGAAAACGTGGCGAAATTGGGTTTGATGATTTTTCCATATTGTATCACAAATTAATATTTGATGAAAATGTAAGTATTGACAAGTGTATGTATTGACATGAAATTATTGAAATATGTATAAATAAATAAATATAAATAATCATTTTTCTATGATAAACTTAAAAGAAGTTTAGTCTAAGTCTAGTTAAGAAGAAAATTTATGTAACCTTTAAAAGATTTAAATGTAATGAATTTATTATTCTAATGTTTATTATTTATGAATTTTATACATTTTGTTTCTTCTAGAATGTTCATGATATATTTGATAAGTATAGCAACTATTGTTCCAATGGCACTACAATAACATTAAGAGAATTCCAAAGGTTCCTTTTAGTAGAACAGCATGACAGGCTAGGGGAAGATGAGTTAAAAGCATCACAGTTTATCAGAGATTACCTAAGAGATCCACAGAGGGATATCTACGAGCCATATTTTACTTTAAACGAAGTGAGTGATATTTTCATATAATTGTCTGTTTAAGAATGAATACTGCAGTACTTATTTGGTATTATAAATTGATCTTTGTGTATTTTAATAATTTTTACTTTAACCTTTTAACTTTTTATATTTGTTTCATAGAGGATTTGTGATTATGTGTTTTTTATTTCTGTTTTTAAACTGTTCACTACATTAATGTGAACAAGATAGAAATAAACTATAGAACAAAAGCTATATTATTATGCAATAAAATAAAGAATTATTTAACAGAAGTCAAATAAGTTCTTAATTTGACTTGAGCAGTTATAGGTTAGCTTATACTGAATAGGTTTGCCTTAAAATTACAATATAGATTTTTTTTTAAATAATTAATCGATGATATTGAAAGTAGTTGAATATTTGAAAATGAGTGTGATATAGTTAAAACCAAGTTGATATATGCTGTTACTTGTATTTATATTGCATACATTATTTGCAGTTTATTGAAATGTTATTCTCAAAACAAAATACATTATGGGACAGTAAACATGACAATGTAACTCAGGATATGACTAGACCTTTATCTCATTATTGGATCTCATCATCTCATAATACGTAAGTACCCCAAAAACTACTATAACAATATGTTCTTCTGTATTAATAACTAGCCATATCCTGCGGCTTCGTCTGCAAAGTATTCTGTGTATTAAGTTAAGATATAACCTATTCATGTACTAAATTTAATTCCGATTCATTTAGTAGTTTTTTATAATGTTAATATTATAAATAGATAATAAAAATGTGTGATTGTTCTTAGGTATTTGACTGGCGACCAGTTTTCCAGTGAATCTTCTTTGGAAGCGTATGTACGATGTTTAAGATCTGGTTGTCGATGTATTGAATTGGACTGTTGGGATGGGCCCGATGGTACTCCCTTTATTTACCATGGCCATACACTCACCACTAAGATTAGATTTATGGACGTACTCCGCACAATAAAAGAACACGCTTTTATAACATCAGATTATCCTCTGATATTATCAATCGAAGATAACTGTTCTTTACCACAGCAAAGACGGATGGCGAGCGCGTTCCAAGATGTATTTGGAGACATGCTGTTAACTCAGCCTAATGAGAAAAATGAGATTGCTCTTCCTTCACCTCATGATTTGCGCAGAAAAATTATTTTAAAGCATAAAAAGCTACCAGAGGGCGTAGAGGAGAATTCATTTGCTGTCCGCCAAGAAGAAGGCAAAGACTTAGATTTGAGGAATTCTATTAAGAATGGCATATTACTTTTAGAGGATCCTGTGGATAAGGAGTGGAATCCTCACGCCTTCGTTTTGACTGAAACTAAACTTTATTATACTGAAAACTACAGCACTCAACGTGAGGCTGATGCAGACAGTGATAGTGAACCAGAGGGAGATGGTAATTCAAGTATACCACAAGATGAACTCCATTTCGGTGAATGCTGGTTTCATGGTAAATTAGCAGGGAACAGACAAGAAGCTGAGGATCTTCTTCGGGCTCATGCTCATCTCGGTGATGGCACTTTTCTGGTCAGAGAAAGTGTGACATTTGTAGGCGACTACTGTCTGTCATTTTGGAGACAGGGCAAAGTGAATCATTGTCGAATAAAATTAAAACAGGAGAGGGGTGTTACCAAATATTATCTCATTGATACTGTATGCTTTGATAGTTTGTATAGTTTAATAACACATTACAGACAGCATCCTCTACGTAGTCAGGTATGTATACTTTTCAATAACAATTTGGGAAAACTAGGTCAGTAGTGAGAACTAAGTACCAAGTCCGCATACATTTCTTGCTACGTACATTATCATAACTTGTTTCATTCATACAAACATCTTGTTCAGAAACACTCGCCTTCCATCTCAAATAGTGTATTTCATTCTTTTCAAGATGGGCAGCAAACTATCTAAACCAGTTTACATTGACATTAATGTGACGGTATATATCATATATCAATCATTTAAAGAAAAATCTAAATTATAGATACCGGGGTCGATTCGGAGGCGCTATTTCTCTAAACTCATATCTAAAATTAAAATGTCAATTTGATATCATATTTTATTATATTTTTATTGACATAAGCAATTGATCTAAATTTCTAATAAAGATAAGTTAAAATAATTATATAATTTAATTTAAAACAGTAATTTCTCGAAATTATTCTATTAAAATATTAAATTAAGAGATGGGTTTAGAAAAATTACGCTACAGAATCATCACCCATCTTTATTGCTCCTTAGAAAACGTAACCTTTTGAAAGTAGTAAATTTAAAAATATACAAAAAGTTACAAGTAAAAAATGGGCAGCATTATTCTTAAAAGCAATCTATTCCAGGCAACCTTTGGATGGAGATTACATACCTAAACAGTTTATTTTTTTTTAATCTTAATCTATTGCTTGCACCTACAATTTTTCAGGAGTTTTTAATCACTCTGAAAGAGCCAGTTCCACAACCCAACAAGCATGAAGGCAAGGAATGGTTCCATCCGCATTGCACGCGTGCACAAGCCGAGGAACTTTTGCGGAAAGCTAACACTGACGGCGCATTTCTAGTCAGGCCTAGTGAGAAAGAGCAAGGCTCATTCGCCATCAGTTTTAGGTATTTATAATTAATTTTATTATTATCTTAATAAATATAGTTGTAAACACTTGGTATTACTTTAATACAATTTTAAATAAACTTTTATTATAACAGTTTGAAAGTGTACATTTGTTTTTTTTTTTTTTTAATAATGTTAATTTGAGAAAATTTTTATAGAGTTGTTGTTATATTCCTTTTAATATTTCACGTCTAGGTCTGTGTGTTTTTATATTAACTTTTAATATTTATTAAATGGCTGTGCGTATTACAAATTTAATTTTGTAAACGTTATATTTATTACTATGTCATATTAATTTTATGAAACACTGTTCTAGAGGTCGTTTATTGTTCATCAAAGTAAAATACTTAGAAATGCGTCGATTAGCCTTAACGGACATGAAGGTTTTTTTAATGTATAATAAAGGAATGGTATCCCTGTTTGCACTAACCGAGCACCAATGAAGGATGATAGGTGAGAATGGAGGGTGTATTCATCACGATGGGCTAACTGACTTCAGTTGAAGACTGAAGTCCAGGCGATGAATATACCTGGAATTCAGCTCGACGGTTTCCATAAGGACCACGTGAAGGTCGACCTGACAGGTTATATTACTATCAATGGGACTGGTAGTCCGCATTACTAACAATCTCTCTCTCGGACACGAGGGTTTGAAGGTACCACGTTCTCTGTACAAAAAAAATGTTTGCGCCAAATATACTTCAAGAGATGCCCCACATCTGTATAATATCTTAAGCTAATGCTAAAAATAGATTACTAGCATAAGCGAACTTCTTTTTAATTTACTAGTATTCGTCCACGTCACAACGGTAGGAGCATTACTTTGTGTAATAGATCCCAATTTTGTTTCTCGGTTGGGCCAGTATAAAAACGAATTCTCTGAAGCTCGGGTATGGTTGTTCTGAGTTCTGCCTCTCATATGCCTCGTTGCCAAAACAAGACATCGTAGCTCGAGGACCAGACGATAGGTGTTACTGTGTGCGGCACTGATTATTATTATTTATGCCATTCACACATTCGCAGTAAAATTTTTGCAAAAATATCATTCGTATTAAAATGTAGTCTTTTTGTCGAATGCTATATTTTTGCATGTCACAAATACATTGATCTATGCGAAATGATTTATTATGTGCATATTTAGGACCCTATTTCCTTGATCTAAATCATTTTTGACTGAATAAACAAGAGAGATATATATCTGTATTATACAATCAGTGAAAAGACGTCTGAATTGGTACAAATAAAACAATTTTACAAGCTGTGCCCGTGACTTTGCGTGGTTATAGAAATTACTTGAAATCAGTAGGGCTTTTTTATAGATGAAAATAATCTCGTTTGCGCTATTGGTTTAAGCCAGTGAGAGGATATATCGTCATAGTCGTAGAATATTGACGGATCTGACGAATATTACATATAAAGATCCGTCAGTATTCTACGACTATGACGATATGTGTGTGTGTGTGTAAGGCGATGATACATCGTAGTTATATCATCAAGAGTTAACTTCTAACGATAATTTCTAGGATGGGGGCACACTATATTATATTGCCAGCAATTGGTACTAGCTTCCCCATTACTGACAGTCCCTTATCCCCCTTATCATAACGATATTTTTTCTGTTTTCGAATTCATAAAATTGATGATGATTCTTTCACCATCATCATTATAATAGGATATATAGTGTGATGACATAATAAATAGCTTAAAAATTACGGGTTTAGATATAATTGCTTATTATTCCAATCCAGTATAGGGAAGCTAATTTTCGTGATGCGAAAAATCTATGCACTTTTCAACCCTTTTGATTTTACTATATTGCTGATGCAGATGATTGTAATTAATGATAATTAATTTTAATTGAAAATATTTTGTCTTATTGTATGTTCATAATGTGATTATATTTCAGAACTGAAAGAGAAATAAAGCATTGTAGAATAAAACTTGAGGGTCGCTTGTATACAATAGGCACGGTGAAGTTCGAAAGCCTCGTAGAGTTGGTATCGTACTATGAGAAACATCCTCTATATAAAAAAGTGAAATTGTGGTTCCCGATCAGCGAGGATATAGTTAGGAGAATTATTTCTGTAAGTATTTATTTATTTAAAGTATTAAACGGATTTTCCAAATACATTTTTGTACATACAATTGTAATTTGCACTAACATTTCTATAATATTATAGTTACTTAAATAAGGACATCAAACTATACAAAATTATGTTTAAAAATATTTGTGTCTTATGTGGGAACGGGGATTATGGGTGAAACAGTATACTCTGTTATGTCCATGGTACTGCTCATGTCTATAGGCGACATTTACTATTTGCCATTTGGGCCGTTAGTTTGTTTGCCATTCTAAGTTGCCTAAAAATTGATATTTTTAAATAAAATTATTTGTATGAAGCCATAATTAAAAATGATTATAAGGTAAGTTCCAAGTACAGTCATTTCTCTGTATATACTGATATTTTGTGAGTTTACTTTTTATTTTATTTTAGATATTGGCTTATCATACTTACTAATATTAAGCGAAAAGCTCTAGAACAGATAGTATTATAATATGTAAATGTCATCATCTTATCTCTTTAATTAATTGTCATTAAGTTCATATCATGTTTATATGATAATATTATTGCAAATGCAAGAGATAGTAACATTATGTAATTATATTAATTAATTTTAGGAACCAGACGACAGTTCCGTTTATGGTACACCTGGTTACATGGATCCTACATCTTTCACATCCAAGGTGAGTGTTTATGGATATATGCATACTATTTATTTTTTTAATCTATTCACATATCGATCAATCCACAATTCGTTGGAGCATCTTGTGTTTCTTTCAGCAGTTTATAGACGAGATTCGATGTGTATATTGATAGGCTATAAATTATAGTCTGCTTCCATAGAACTAAACAAAGAGTTTTTTTTTTTAATTAATACAGTAACATACTCTAAATAATATCAACAACAAATTGAAATGTTCTTTTAATTAATTATTTTTTAATATTTTTCTTTTTATTAGGCATCGATAAAATATTTTACGGCCGGGTAAATTATTTGTTTATTTACCTTTTCATTAGCATTATGGAAACAGATCGTACTAAAATGATCAATGATAATTGTATATTTTTATTGTGAAATATTTGCTGTGATTTTGCTAGTTGTCAGGATGGTTATGGATACATCATTATATTGGTTATTAGGATTATTTTAGTCCCTTTTTTTTTTATTTGTACATATCCTCATTTTGGATTTTATATCGCAGCTAAACTTCTATCTGTTTTTGTAGCTCACTGAGATAACTTTTGATTCAATAAGTTGCATTCACTGTTGCTAACACTATATCGAGTTTTTTTATGTTTTGAATAATGCAATGTCGTACTTATCTTGTAACCACCCAAACGAAAATCCGTTTGGGTCTGTCAGACAGATATCTGTTGTAGAATCTGTGTTCGTATGTTTGTTTTACCATTTATTCAACTACTTATTCCGTATACAATATTCGTTTATAATATAATATATATTAGAAGATATTTGTACATTTAAGATATTAAGTTAAAATGATATGAGAAGTCTAAATAAGAGCAGTAAATGGTCAAACTATAATTTTTATAATGAATCTCTTTGTATGTTTATTCTGGCATCACGCAAAACTACTATACCAAACTTTCGATTACTTATTTCGAAAACCCACGCGTACGTAAGTTGCGGGCAAAACTGGTCTAGAATAAAACCTAATATTTTTTATATGTCGGCGAGTTTTTTGTGTATTTGTTTATATATGTATTATATATATATATATATATATATATATATATATATATATATATATATATATATATATATATATATTATATATATATATATATTATATATTAGGTTTTATTCTAGACCAGTTTTGCCCGCAACTTACGTACGCGTGGGTTTTCGAAATAAGTAATCGAAAGTTTGGTATAGTAGTTTTGTTATCCTACTAGTGATCTATATGTATGTTTCCACCTCGAAAATAACACTTTTCTCACTTTTAACCAAACTAAACTTGAAAAAAGTATAGCACACAAAGAACCTCATTTGTATATTTTTTGAATGAATGAATGAGTATACTTCATTTATATTATACAACACGGAGAAATAAAATACCACAATAGGTACAGAAATATACACTTGTGTGATTACAGTAAGATGGTTGTGTGATAATTATATTATTGTCCATAAACAGATCATGCGGAGATTTGAAAAGTATAAAAATAATGGAACAAGTGAAGATAAATAATGCTATTCTTAATTATTGGTGAGAATTGTAATATTCTTGGGTAGAAACTAGAACTAAAAAGTTTGATTTTTGATTGTAGCGAAGTAGAATATAATAGTATTATTTTATTACTAATTATTATTATAGTATTATTAATAATGCGAATAGAATCGCGTAGGTATTAAAGTAGTTGAAAGGTGACAGTTCATTCAGTGAATGCTCGACTGAGTCTCGAAGATTCTAGCTCGATGCACAGTACAACTTTCAAATTTGTGTTTGGAAAAAAATATTGTCATTTGCTTAGGATTAGGAACACACGTGTAGCTGTAGTCCGATAAGCAACGCAGTGACCTTCGTGTACGACGAAGGTGACCTAGAAACTTTTGACATTAGAGGGCGATACCTTTACACGTGCAGTAGCACTAGTTAAACCTTTTTACAATAATCTAATTGAAAATCTATTCCATTTTAAAACCTATTCAAAATACCGATATGACGATAGGTATTTCAAAATATCATGAACGCACGCACAGAATGTAAATAGTGTATTTTCGTAAAAACATGAATAGATTTGAATATATTTTGAAAATTGTTGATTATCAATTCAACTGTATTTATTTATATGCTTTTGTACATTTACTTATGGTATAGATATTAGGTTATAGAAAAATTGTACACAGGTAGACTTATCCCTTTAAGGGATTTCTTCCAGTCACCTTGAGAATTTTTTGTTTGTTTGTATGCTCCGTGATATTTTTACCAATTCTGAACGGGTTATGATGAGTATTTTTATTCGATAAATTGAATTTCCATATTAATTAATTGATTTTGATATATTCTTATATATTTTCAATTCTTTTATGTGGGTAGGCAGAACATAAGTCAAATAGTAATGGATTTTTCTGTATTGTTAATTAGTTATATCCCGCGGGAAGCCGTGACTTTACTTGCGTGTTATATATATTGTTTTATGATACAACCTGCCCGCACCAAATTTCATTAAAACGTTAAATCCAAAAGTACTTTTTGTGTAAAAGAGTAACAAACAATCATTCATCACTCCATCGTTACGAACTTTTCCATTTATATTATACGAGGATATGCGAACAGTTATAGAACATTAAGAAAGTTTTTTTTGAATGTGTGATAATGGAATAGTAACCCGCCTGCGGTAATGGTATATGTTGAGGGGAAAGGGATTGTTAGCAATGGAGTTTGACAGTCCCATTGCTAGCAATATGCCTTATTAGGTCGACCTCCACGTGGTTCCCCCTGGAAACTATCGTGAACAATTCATGTTGAATTCGTCACGATGGGCTAACTGACCTGCTTTATACTCACCTATCATCCTTCACTGGTGCCCCGCCGGTGTATACCGATAGCGCAGGTGGGGTTACCATTCCATTATCATCCATTAAAAAATTAAAAAAATATTGTATATGCTAGCGGGGCTCCAGTGAGGGATTATAGGTGATGACGAAAGCAGGTCAGTTAGCCCATAGTGATGAATTCCACTAAAATTAACCACGATGGTTTCCAGGGGGAACCGCGTGGAGGTCGACCTGATAGTGTATTGCTAGCAATGGGTCAGTTAGACCTCATTACTAACAATTCCTTTCCCCTTATTAAGACAGTTCGTCTTGTTTTTAGGTGACTGTCAAAGCTTTATATGACTATCGAGCCCGACAAGAGGACGAGTTGTCGTTCTGTAAACACGCCATAATAACTAACGTGGATAAACCGGACGAAGGATGGTGGCGAGGAGACTACGGTGGAAAACGGCACCATTGGTTCCCGGCCAACTATGTACAGGAGATTGAAGTGCCCCATATGCCTGATATTGCTGTTAGTATCTCTTTTTAATGGATGAAAATGTATTGGTCACCCCCTCATACTATTTCTTTAGTTGTTACTTTGTAATTTTGATGTTCGAAAAAGTGGAGTTATACATTTTAAGTCTTTGATCTGTATAAGACTTCGTATCTCTCAAAGCAATGACCGCTTTCAAAGGTTTGTTTTTTGGTAATTCCCATTTGGGTTTTGAGATGGTTCTTTACTTATGTGAAAATTTTATAAAAATGCCAGTTACATTTTTATAAATATTTTATAAAAATGTCAGTATTTAAAGTAACATTGAGGAATATTTTGATTTGTGAAACCCGAATGAAACTATATCATATACATATTCCACAGATCGAGACAATTGTAATACAATTATTAAAAAGTTACATAGTCATTTGTAAATATTTACTTACCGTAATACGCTTTATTATTATTATTATAATTTATTATATGATTGTATTGTAAATTATCTTTCGAAGAATTGAATTACCTTTATTAAGTATTAGCAATGCGTCTTGGCTTTGCACAGGTCGATTAGTATTTTATGTTTTTTTTTAATGGATAATAATGGAATGATAACCCCACCCCGACTACACTATCAGTATACACTGGCAGGGCACCAGTGAGGGCTGATTGGTGATGATGAAAAGGCAGGTCAGTTAGCCCATCGTGACGAATTCAACCGTAAATTAGTCATGATGATTTTTAGGGGAGCCGCGTGGATGTCGACCTGACAGAATATATTGATAGCAATAGCTAACCTCCCAATTGGTAACAATCTCTTTCCTCCCCCAGTATTTTATATAAGCTTTAATAGGCAAATTTTTGATACCTTATTGTAATTTTACTACTACATTATTGTAATTTTTATAGGGATTTCATTTTTTTTATAATTACATAAAGCTTAATTTTTAAAATTGTTTGAGGTTTTTTGTTAATCTGTAGCAAACAAATAATTGAATTTTTCGTCTTTTTTATATTAGTATAGAGTAATTTATTACAATTTGGGAAATCAATTTTTCACTTTATGTAATATGTTGTTGGTAGTGTGCCATTATACGTATATATAATACGGGTGCATAGTAGAAACAAATAAGTACATTTTTTTAATAAAAAAAAATTAATTTATTGAAATTATCTGATACTTTTGTGAATTCAGTTTTAATTTATCATAATTCTGCATTTTAAAGTCACTAGAAATATAATAAAAAGTATGCTCCTTCCTATTTCATAGGGTTGTCTAGAGAATGAGACCGCGGCTCTAGGGTCACTCCAGAAAGGGGTGGTTGATGTGCTAGGTGCTGTAGTGGAATTGGTTGTCGGTGAAGAGAACGGCTCCTCCAGATGGCTGGTGCGTATACAGAGCCCTTCTATGTGTGCACCGTTCGATATGGCAGCGCCCAGCAACGAGATAGCTCTCGAGTGGTTGTCCGCTATCAAGGAAGCCGCACAAAGCGCCAGTGCTCGTTCCCTACAACATCGGAAAATGGAGCGTACGTGGAGAATCGCAAAGGAAATGTCCGACCTCATAGTTTATTGTCGTTCGGTCGCGTTCAATCAGGATAAACTACGTAATAAGGGCTTCATCTTTAATGAAATGTCCTCTTTTCCCGAAACTAAAGCGGAGAGGCTGATGTGCCAACAGGAGAACTCGTTTTTCCTCAAGTACCACACTATACAACTGAGCCGGATATATCCAAAAGGCCAAAGGATAGACTCGTCGAATTACAATCCGGTTCCATTCTGGAATTCCGGTTCGCAGATGGTTGCCTTGAATTACCAGACGGCGGACAAACCAATGCAAATAAATATGGGCAAGTTTAAAGAGAACGGTGGTTGTGGTTTTATCCTGAAACCGGATTTCATGTTTGAGGAGGTTTACAATCCGTACGAGAAGCGCAGTATAGAGAAGAAAGTGAGACCGTTGTCGGTGATGCTGCGTGTGATCGGCGCGAGGCATCTCTGCAAGTCCGGCCGGGGTACCGCGAGCCCATTCGTTGAGGTGGAGCTGATTGGTGCGGAATACGATAGTGGGACAAAACTGGTCACCAAGACTGTCGGTAAGGATACTATTAAATCATTATATTTTCTTCGTCGTGCCACACGCTTTATATCATCATCATATTAATCCTTAACCATCCACTGCGGAACATAAACCTCTTCTTTGGGGGTTTTGTCAGATATTCCCTCGCTTGGTAGGCGGATTGGCAACCGCAGTTAGATTTTAGAGATGTTTTAAGAGGGACGATGTTGCCCTTCTCTCGGTGTTCCTCAGTCGCCTCTTACGGCATCCACGGGAAAGGAAGGGGTGGCCTATTTTATGCAGGGACCACAAACTTTATTAAAAGATTATATTTTCTTCGTCGTGTACACACACTCTTTATATATATAGCTTGAAATAATTATTTAAATTAGATTTAAATATTGTTCATTATCTAAATAATATAAAAGTTGCTTTTCATGTATATATTTTCCCTTTTCGAAATTGAAGATTTTTATTTGCATGCATATAAATAAATGCACTTTTTAAAAATATAATTTAGTTCGATATGTATAGCTGATACGGCGTACAAAAATATGTAGACAGTTTTAATTTACATATAGTCAATTTGACATAATTATAAATCATTATTATAAGATTTTACATACATATAAAAAAAAATTATCAGGCAAGAATAAATCAACCATATCACAATTAGATAATGATAATAAGTATAAATAAATATTCATTTTGTGAAATTTTATCATTCACGAATTCAAATACTTTAGATTTATTAATTAAGAATTTACTCGATATATATTTAAATACTTTAGTTGGTGAATCTTTTATAGATATTGGTATTTTATTATAGATTTTTGGTCACATACATAATACAATGTCATACTTTTACTTCGAAACGCAACGGTTTTTGGTACGGGTTTCATTGTTATTAGAAGAAGTCACCCTAAATCTAATCGTAATTATTTCTCCCATATACTTTGGATTTATTAGAAAAAAAAAGTTATGAGTTGTACATTTTTGTTAAAAAGTGTAATGAATTAATACATTTTACTCATATTTATTTTTCATTTAAATTTTTTTTAATAAAATATTTTTATCCCCAGGCGATAACGGCATCAACCCGATTTGGAATGATATGGTGGAGTTTGAAGTGGCCAACCCGGACTTGGCGCTGATTCGGTTCTTAGTCCAGGACGAGGATATGTTCGGAGATCCCAACTTCATCGGGCAAGCAACGTTTCCATTGAAATGTTTACGTACCGGCTACCGCAGCGTACCTCTCACCAACGGTTTCTCTGAGGAACTAGAGTTATCATCTTTACTTGTTCATATAAGACTACATTATCACTAGGTAAATGTCAAATTTTTTAAATTCCAATTATTGCAGCTGACATAGGGTTTAAAAGCTTATAGTGGATTTAGACCAAGCGAGCGAACACTTATTATATCGCTCTTTATATATATATATATATATATATATATATATATATATATATATATATATATATATATATATATATATATATATATATATTTTTTTTTGTTTATAACTTCAGTGCTGAAAATGCTGGGTGCAATATTTTCTAATTCAGCTGCATTCGCGAATAATTGTCTTATAGTTTAAACCTACCTCATTTTTATTCTACATCATGTTCTGTGCTCTTAGTTCACTTAGTTTAAATCCATCTCTACTTAGTTTTAAATTAGATTCAAAATACGATAAAGCCAAATCTGAAGAGTCATTCTTTCACCTTCATATAAAATTTTCTTATTTTAGAGATATATTTTACTTAATGACACGTCTGAATTAATCCCACTGTAAATGTCATTATTTTAAACTCTTATTTCTAAAATTTAAGAATGAAATTTAAAATGTTATTTTATTTTAAAATTTGAGAATTTTAGAGATATTACAGAATAGTATTTACGAATCTAAAAAAGTGAGGCAGTTATGTAGGTAAGAAAATTAGTTAATCGCTTTATATTTCATAAGACTTTTAATGGACACAAAGAATTTATTCATTTGTATATGGTTTGCTGGTTTTCATAAATAATTGCAATTTTATCTTTAGAATTTTGTAGATTTTAGATAGAGGCTATTCTTCAATTAAATGAAATCGTTATATTTTTCTGCGGCAATTTTTTTTTTTTCAATTGTTATGTTTAATTGTTGATATTTTTCTGATATAATCCGACAACCCACCTTTCAAGGCAAAATCTTTTTGAGATCAAATTGTTTATTCACTATTTATTTGGAAACATGTGTAATTATTTTTATAATGACTAGTATATGGTGCAAAAGGTGGACTTAGATTAAATAAATAGCATCCTTCCAACCTTGATTTTTTTTATACCATTTATAGGAATTTACAGCAAATTTATTGCATGTGTTGATTTTTATAAGCAAACAAAAATAGATTTAATTAGAATAAGTAACTATTAAAAATGAAATATTAGTCAACTATATGGTACATAAAAAGTCAGTGGAATTAGAAAACCAAAACATAAGACAAAATGGCGTCATGTATACGCTTTACTAATTTTTAACAAAGCTGTCTTACTTTTAAGACGAATTGAATGATATCCTTTTTCAATATCACTTGTGCTATTTTTTTATAAAGTGTACTATGTATAAATATAGGTAAAAAAAGAAAAGTGAGTCGTAAATATCAATGGTATTTATATTTTTCAAATGATATATTTTTGACAAGTAGAAACCGGTTATTTATTATTTTTTAATCATTTTCAAAATGGTTCATACTCGTTTTTCATGATTGAAATGGCATCTATGATGAATTAACATAATTAAAAATTATGTATATGAAACATATTTATACCTATTTTGTGCAATTCATATTAAATGTAAGTTAGTTTAAATATTGTAAAAAGTTTCAAACTCTATTCATCAATGAATAACTCAAAAAGAATCATCAGTTTGAACTAAAAATTATTAAATATAAGATAAAGATCTGTGTATGGAATACACAAATTTACATAAACTGATATATTTACTACGTGGTTACGTTCTATATATCACTATATATTTAATATCCAGTCGTTTATTTTGGAATTGAATCTGAATTATTGCAATATGACTGACTGATTTACAAACCTATAGTTAACAATAATATTTTTACCATTTTTACGCAGTTGGCAGCTATTTTTAGAATTAGTGAGTACCTACTTGAATTATATATTTGGACTGTTTAATTTTGGGTTATTTCAATATACAAGAGTTAAGTAATTGCAATTATATAACTAAGATAGTTTTGTAACAGATCTGCTGTTTATTATAAATATTTAGTTTTTTAATCTATGGCATAATAACTGTGTAATAATAGTTTTATATATGATAAACAGTATAGCGATCTGATGGCAATGTGACGTTATAACAAGTGTTGACAATCATAAGTATATGAGTAAGATAGTTTTGTAATAGATCTTTTGTTTATTATAAACTTTTTTTTTCTATTGCATAGTAACTGTACAATATTTATCTATAATAAACATAGTATCACATTTATCACATTTTTCCTAAGGATGCCCTTAAAGATAACAAAAAAAAACTTGTAAGTTTTTTTTGTTATCTTTAAGGGCATCCTCAGGAAAAATGTAATATGAGTAGCATCCATAAGGAAGCCTACTGGCCGGGTGTGGTAATAGTAGGTTAATGTTTTAAAAACATTTTTTATTCAAGTAAACTTAATTTTAAGCTTTTTTCATTATTATTTTTTTATCAATCTATAGCTCAGTTCGGAATACAATTTAAGCTGAGGAGAAAAGGCAACAAACGTTTGCTTTTTTTCCAAACAAATATTGTTATTTACAAGTTAAATAAATTCATTACTATCACAAATAACATTGGCCTTTTTATGGGATGGTACTCGGTGACACTGTGGCGTTAGTGACGGTACACTAATGTTAATGAATTATCGCGGCATCTAACATTATAAATGAATCTAATCACAATTTATATAATAATGTCTTTATTATATGAATGCGACATTAGATAATTTTCTAGTTATACAATTTTAATTTTTAATCTAATAAATACACTATATATAATTTAGGTAGATTTATTAAATCTTATACATCTACATTATATTTTTTATTGTTAAACTATCAATTAGTGCCTTAGAAGTATTGAGAGTAATACAAAACGCACAACGTATTAGACTGTTGCTTTTAGACAATTTGTTACATACTAAATATAATTATTGTTCGAGTTTTTATAATGTATAAGATAAGATAAGGAATAAATGTATTCAATAGTTGTTATTTGTGGCTTAATGAAAAACACGTGCTGGGAACAGAAGGAATTTCAGACATTATCATACATTAATTTATAGATATTAACAATCTATTTTTCTAGTGTGCAATATTTAAAAGAAATGATTTTTTAATGATGTTTGTTAATGGTGCTTGGTATTTGAGATAATTACACCTTTCGTTCACTGTACAGGGTGGCAATGCACGAAATTTCTTCTGTTCATGACGACGCATACTTTAGTTGAATATCATGTAATGTCATTTATGTCTTGTGTATAACAAACTCGAGGCTTGAGCTAAGTGGCAAATAATTTCTAAATACTTTTTAAGCTTAGGTCTCTCGCAAGCGTGAGCACGAACGAGTCAGAATGTATCTCTTTTCATTGCCTTGGTTATAAGGACTTCTTTTTGGTTATCTGTAAACCATCAATGGCTATTTTATTTTATTGAATACGATTGTCATATATCAATAGCAACAGATATCATTATTGGCGTATACTTTAGCTCTGAAAAATTAACAAACAGACTCGCTTACGCATTTATATTATTAGTAATTATTGATCAGAAATTTTTATTATTAACGGTATTAAAATGATATGGGTATTTTTTTAATTTCTATGTTACTATAATTATATAAATTACTTGTCAGTAAAATTTTAAAAAATGTTTTCTTGTTACCTAGTAGTTTTCTATTCCATTTTTGAATACTAAGTTTCAAATGTTAGGAAAATCCAAAAAACTTGAGTTGGTAAAATAATTTCAATTTCTGTTACGTTCATCACAACAGTTGATCTTTAATTATTTTTTATATTACCTTTTTTAATTATTTTCATGTACGAGTCGTACGGAACTTATGGATTATTTGCTGAAATACCTAGTGCTGCTGTAATTAGAATTATGTAAAAATAAAAATATTTCGATTTTACTCACGTTTTCATCTTCTGGTTTGACCAACTAATAGGATTCAATAAGAGCCTATTCATGGCAGTGTAATAGTGCATTTATTATAAAATTTGAATGTATTTCACTACAATCTTTAGACGATGTGGTATAAGTCACACAAATTTAAATAATGCCTAAAGCCTATTTTATCTCGAAAAACACCTATGGGAGTCAAAAAAGACAGCTGACAATAATGGCTATAGACGCATAAAATGATAAATTCAGAGATGAAAGTGCTAGTAAAAATAGTATTAAATCCTATATGTACTATAATTATTCAATAGAATATAATATGTTCTTGTTGTAAGTACCTGGCTACTATATCGTCATAGTCGTAGAATACTGACGGATCTTTATATGTAATCTTTGTCAGATCTGTCAGTATTCTACGACTATGACGATATGTGTAGTCTATTGACTATTTTTGTTAATGAGTCGCTAAGAACATTTTTTCTTTCTTATGTAAGAAATATGAATTATCAGTAATTATTACAATTAATAAGAATGTTGGAACTTTTCCAAGTTTAACTACTGGTATACGATATAATGTGGCCATTATATGAAACGTATGAATATATTTTAATAATATAACTCAAAAAAGTTTTCTCTTTATCTAAAGTTGACAGAGGCAATGTTCTAAGATATATATAAAGTTTCTGTAAATATTTTGTTACTGAGGAAAATATGTTATTGGTAATTAAACAAAATTTCTGCTATTTGAAACGATATATGTATACTTTCATTTTTCTGTTTGGAGGTAAAATTTAAAGATATAATCTTAATACTTTCTACTACCATCACCCATTATTTTAACATTTTTCTTATTAGTTGTAATAAATTAGTAGAAATTTTGTAAAATGCCCATTGGCTGCTATTATAAATAACTATGACAACCTTGTATTACATTTGCTACTAAATTTAGATAACAATATATTTTCTTTGTAAAAATGTATATGACTTAATAGAATGAAAATCGGAAAACAGTGATTATAGGGCGGTGAAGCCTGTAATGTTAACCTTAAAAATAATTAGATCTAATGATATTATACTTACAATTATTCCAATACTTTATTATTAGATGAAAATTTATATTGTGTATACATAGATTAAAATGTCTTTCGGAATTACTATTTGCTTTTTTCAAAATTATGTAATATTTTATTTTATATAAACGATTTTAAAATGAGGGATTTCTCAATTCGTCTGTCTTTTTTATTCGCCTGTAACATGGTACCAATTTTGTACGGATTTTAATAATTATTTTATTAATAAAAAAAAAAAGCAATCAACTCAAAAGTAAACTACTCTCTAGTTGACAGCATATTTAGTCGTTATAAGTAGTTTTTGTCTTACTTAAATTATATTTACAAAGCATCTAATTTATCTTGCGAAAATTGTGATCGGCAGATTGTTTAATTTCATCAATTAAATGCATTTTTTCTTTTGTCTTAATACAAATTATTTTAACATTTATTCCTGCACTGGTTGATATTTTACAGACAGAAATTAAAACATGTAAAATTGTTGCGTTCTTTATTAAAATTACATGAACATGTATGTACTTGGTTTTATTTTCAAATAACCCACTACGTCAGCCCTTTGGTACCTAAAGTCAATACGCAACCGTTTCTTAGTTATCTGTTAACCTAATAAATAAAATTTGATAGTTTCGCGAAATTACTGTTTTATGAGTCATCATGAACTAAATTTATAATATTTTTTACTTAAATATATCTTATTAGATTAAATATTTTATTGTAATATCAACTTGAGATTTTAATTTTAGAAATGAATGACAAAAATTTAATTGAAAATAGAAAAACTGCTGTAAATTTTAATTGCTATATTTTTTTTTTTTTAGTACGTTTGTTCCGTTTGGAACCGGCTAAGGTCGGAGACCATGCTGCCTAGTCTTCAAAAAGATAATTTGTCTGGAATTTAATTGCTATAAAAAATAAAAAAAAAAAATTATAGAAAAAAGTTCACCTCGGAAAGTAGGGTCAAAGGGATATTTTTAGGGCTTAGCTTAGGGTTTAAAAGTAAGCAAAAAAAAATTACATTTTGCAAATAATTCAAAAACTATTATACGAATTTTAAAATTTTTAAAGAAAACATTATAGCTGAAATGATTCTACACATTTTAGCATTGCTTTCCACATCGTAGGTAAAAAATTTATCAATATATGATGATTAACATGAAAAACAAACCATTCATTCATGATTTCAAAATATAGTATTTTTACGCTTTTAATCGCGGACGAAATACCCTTATATGGAATTTCTCTAGTCAAAGTTATTTAAAATGCACCACGACTTTGTCATTTCATAATAAAAAAAAAATCCTACGAAGTTATTTTAGTATTTACTCGAAGTAGTTCTAGTTCGAAATTACTAAACTTATTAAACGAAGTAATTACTAAACTTTATAATGAAGTTATTTCAAAATACTTTAAAAAAAGGATTCTTTTTAATTGGTTCCATTTTTATTCATATAATAAAATCAATACCTAATTTAATTATGGATCGCTTTATAGTTTATAGCTAATATCAATAACACATTTTACAGTAATTGATTAAAATGTTATTAATTAAAAATACAAGCTATTTTTATGAATTATTTTATGAAAGCAAATTATTTTAATGAAATTAAAATAATTTCTATCGCAATTTATTGATTTAAAAATATTCATTTATAAAATACTTGCATTTTTTTATAAAGCACACGAAGTCAAATCAAACAAATTTTATCAAAAAAGTAAAATATATACTATTTATCTATCTATATATATATATATATATATATATATATATATATATATATATATATATATATATATATATATATATATATATATATATATATATATATATATATATATATATATATATATATATATATATATATATATATATATATATATATATATATACTTTTATCTATTTATATAGATTTGTGCTTAATAATTTTATTCAATATTACAGAAATTAGATATATTTAATTTTTATAAATATTAAAAATATTCGGGTCGTAAATTGTAATTATAATTGGTTATATATCTTTCTGTACCTTTATCTGTTGTCACTATGTTTACTTGTTTTTACCATAGACATTGGAGTCGTTCTAAAGTACTATTTTCTTATCATTAAAATTAAATTCTAATTTGATATCATCCAAATACTTTTATTCTAAGGACAAAATTACTATAAATTTAGTTTATAATGGTTCATAAAATAGTAACTTTGCGAAAGTATCAAATTAAAATTATTCGAATTAGAATGACACAGAATGTACTCATTGTCTATGATGTGTATTGGTACAAAACAAATGGTTCACGTTTATAAAACATAAATTATTACTCTGTGGATTTTATGTTGTCTTTATTGGCGAATATTTATCTATTTGCCCGGAGAAAAAAATATTTTTCTAAAAATTATTTTGATATTGTACTATGTGATAAGATTATATGTTTGGTAAAGTCCAAATATGCATTAGTTTTGTAATTAACAGTGTAATTGTTTAGCTTAACAGTAAACTCAAAATGTCATATGTTTATAAAACATTTCAATGGCCGTGTTTCTCGCGTATCGATAAAAAGTGTTTTACTATTCCTATATAAACTATCATGTATCAATATAAGAACGTGATCATGGACACTTTCCACTGGCGAAAATGGTTTCTATTATTACTGTTTGCACTTTATCGGCGATTGGATGCAGTTGATGGTATGTTGTCCTCAATTTTATGCATCGCATGCTTATTTCAGACATCCCACGTAGCTATTACCTAGTGTCTAAATACTGTAAATAGACGTGCAGTTGTTAATAAAAAACTACGTTACAGACGTGAAAACAGGTTATTAATGATTAAATACAGTAGAATAAGTGTAAACTTGTCTCCAAGGTATTTAACTTGACTTACCAAGCTAAATAGGATAATAAAAGCACTTTATATAGGAATCTATTTAAAGTTTCTGACGTTTCTGAAGGCCATATCCTGCGCCTAGAGATTTTTACAGCGTGCGTCGTGTTTGAATACGTATTGTATGTATTTTTTTATGCAACAATAATTTAACATAATCAATCAAGAACAAATAATTCGCCAAAATGAAGATACTTTTAACCAAAGGTAAGGTAGAAATTTTTATCACTAATCTACAGTATGTATAAATAAAATATTAATATTATAATAATATAAATAAATTATTTATCATATACTTTCTATGGTTCATAGGTGCACCATATGCTATTGATTGCATGTTTATAACATATATTAAATAAATGTTTTTGTTTGATCAAACAAAAACATTTAGCAGATGCTTATAAATAATAAGAACTAAAGCATATTTCTTATTATAGTTTTTGATAATAAAACTATGATAATATTGGTGAAAGTTATTTAATTTTGTATGTTTATGATTTGATGTGGCTATATGGACCAAATTTGTATTTTATTTTATTTACTTTGTGCTTATAATAGAAATTTATAAATTTAACATACATTGTTGTATTGTTCAGGTAAACTTTCCACAGCACGTGTACACAGCATGATCCAATAATAAATATGACTGTAACAAAGCCATTCAGTTAATAAACATATGGTTTAACATGCATTTATAGACACTAAGTAAATATTGCAATGCTATAGTTAGTAATTTATTCTTGTTATTGAACACTGTAATACATATTTGAATCTAGAACACAAATATCTATAACTGTATAAAATATTTCTTTAAAGTTGTATTGGAACAATCTCAAGCCATTTTAATTTGTTAATCTTATATTGATAATACATGTTATGGGTGAGTCTATTCATGTATTAAATATTGGCCTAAGAAGAATAGACAGTGTGAAAGATAATATGGTCAGGTCATAATGGGAGTGAATGCAGAAATTACTGCTAATATAGAAGAAAGGGAGAAAAAAAAAACATTATGTTGACCTCTAATAAATAATCGGAATAAGGGCAGGAAGATGATGATTCACCCATTAGTAGTATTGTTACATTATAGACAAATCTGTCTATTTATGAAATTTTCAGTACACAATGTAACATTAGTTATGTGCTGGATTTATTTTCATATACAATGTTGAGTTTATTATTGTATAGCTTCATATGTGTAAAATTATTTTTTGAATATTATACAGGAAGTTGCATGATAAAGTAATTTTATATCTCACACAGAAGATTTTAAATGGTGAAGACAATTTAGTTGTGTATAATTATTCATGGGGTAGTAGCTAGACAAAACACTTCAAAACTGTAGTTGTGCAATATTAACACATTTTAGGCGGGCTGTCTAATAGCCTTGACGATAATGCATAGTGGGCAAAATTTGTGAGGTAAGCGAAAAATTCACGTTTGAAAATTAGCAAAATCTTTAAAAGCAATGATTGCATTTTAATAATATTTTGTAACATGACCTACTATAATATGTTTTTTTTTTTATTAAAACAAAATATATTTACACTGTAGACTAAGTGAAACAATGTAACAATTGTTTTTTTTTAAATATTCACTAAAACTAAGCACTAATATTTTTATGAATTATAGCATTTGAAAAACATTTCCTTTTGTAAAAAGACACAAGAACAAGATAAAAAAAATACAAATTATATAAATTTATTTACACTACAAACTAATGGAATAATTTAAATTATTTTTTGTAAATTTATGAGGCCTGGAACTATATTTCATAAATCAACCAAGGAGTACTAGTACTGTGTTCCGCTTTTAACGTAAGTACTTTCCAAATGGGTACAAATATTCGCCTTGCTTAATAGACTGCAGTCCACAGATTGGGTACTAGTACCCGCTCCACTTATAATGTGGTAATGTTTTACTAGAAATAATGTTAAATTTAAGTGTTATTAAAACATTTCAAAGCAAGCGTAAATAACTAACATCTGGAATATGTAGAAGAGTACATATATTTGGGCCAAATAATCTTTTTTATTGAGTTAACTACTACAGAAATCAAAAGAAGAATATCCAATGGAAGGAAAAGATTTTGGTCACTGAAAGAGATAATGAAAGATACTGACTTCAGTAAACACTTGTATCCTACCATGTCTTACTTATGGTTGCATAACTGGAGGCACTTTCTAAATATAACAGGTATATTGCTGAAATATTGTCAGGGAGGTATGGAGATAAGTATGTTGGGAATTAGGAAACTAGGCAGGAAAAGAAACACATATACAAGGCAGGACAAGTTACACTGATATTCTCACTAAGGTAGACTAAATGAAATAGAGATGATATGCTACGACGCCCTTATAAGGAGGACCAAACACTTGACTGAATGATACCCTGGAAATGCGAAGTGAAATAGAGGTCGACAATGCAAAAGATGGGAGGATGAACTTAAAGAAACTGTAGATTACAACTAGAGAAGAGTTGCAAGAGACAGAAAGCAATGCAAGTCGTTAGAGAAGGCCTTTGCCAAGATGCACACCGAACTTCGAGACATTATAATAAAATAAAAAACAAAAACTCATACATATGTAATATTATTTATTGCATGTATTGTTATAGTATTATATGTAAAGAGCTTCGAGATATAAAGGCTATTCTATTGTATAACTTTCTAAAATATTTACCACGAAATTAATTCATTTAAACATAACTACTTCTTGTACTATAATTTTATGTCTTTATAAATATATACATGGTGCATACATTATATATAAAAAGAGTAATATTGAGTGAAACAAGAGTGAAACAGAATTAACTAAGCTGACAACTTTTATGTAAAATTTTTCTCAAATAATATTTGATGTTTGGGGTAAAAGGATTTTTAGTAAAGGGGGTTTTACTGCTCCATTGTGAGGGGACAGGAATTATTAGTAATGGGGACTAACGGTTCCATTTCTAGCAATATACCCTGTCAGGTCTACTTTCATGCAGTCCCCCTGAAAACTATCATGGCATATTCTTGATGTATTCATTGTGATTTATTAATTGACCTGCTTACATCCTCACCTATATCATTCATTTTCCTCACCTCGTTGGTGCCCCACCAGCATATACCGATAGCGCAAGAAGGGTACTAATCCATTTGTCTATTAAAAAATAACTGCCCTATTGCTAGCAATATACCTATCAAGTCAATCTTCACCTAGGAAATCATCATGGTTAATAATTGTTGAATTCGTCACATTGGGTTTACTGACCTGCTTCATTCTCACTTATCATACCTCTCTGGTGCTCTACACTGTACACTATTAGTACAAGCGGGGTCACAATTTCATTATACACCTATTAAAAAATACATTAGATGTTTCTTCTGTTATAATAATTAATTACTAATAAGATAGTGTCAAAAGTATTTTTGATATGTCATTTTATTGTTTAATTTCAGGACTTAAATGTTATTGCAATAGTCCAACATGTCCAAATGAGACATGTGAGACTGATGGCTACTGCTTCGCGTCTACAAGCATCGAAGCAGGCGTACAGAAGTTCACTTACCAGTGAGTAGAGTTTGCTCATTATTTATCATATTTATTAAATATCAGACAATTTTTATCTAATGCTAAATATGGCAGTCACAAATTAATGTTGTCGCAATATTAGCATTCAAACAATCCATTCAACTAACATGTAAGGTATTTATGGGTGATTTTCCGTTAAGAGGTACTTTTAACTATATGTGAAGTTCATTAATTCTATTTTACCATAATCTATCTAATAATTTGCTAATTTTTTTTTTCTACTAAGTGATTTTAAATATATCTGTATGTGTAAATTTTGCTTTAATATCGAAATTAAATTAGTTTTTTAATTGAAATAAGTTTTGAAGACTATATTATATATGGACTATATTACATATGGACATATACATATAGAAGAATAATCAGTACTGGATTTAAAAATGATAGGATAGTGGATTTGTTTACACTTCATATAAAAGTATTAAATATGCAAACAAGGGGTGAAAATACTTAATTTTTCAAATATTATTTCTCGTTATACTTACTTGTTTTTGATAATTTTGTACCTAAAAACCTACAAAATTTATATATCTGATTTTTCCCCTAAGTATAAAATATCTTTATATTTAAGTAAGAAACATAAAAACTAAATATATTTATCTCATGCCACTCCTAACACTAGTTGACCTCTTTACTGAGTATCACTCATATTTTCAAAATTTTTATAATACTTGATTTTATTAGAGGTACATATTTCGATTCAATTGGTACAATTATTGTTTTTATCTATTATGGACAAGGCACTTTACTGTCCTAATAAATCTATTTATATTTATAACAATTGGCAAACTCATATCTGCTTATGTAAGACTTGCGATTGTCCTACAACGTTAATATATTTTTTGTAAACCACTTCGCCTGTGTAGAGAGGTGGAATTAAGCTGTATGAGCTTGAAAACAGCCTTCCCTCCTGACTATCCAATAAAATGCAAACGTTCAGCAAACTATTGCTGTCAATATGATTTCTGCAATTCTGATGAGATTGCTCGAGAACACTTGTCCAAAGTGCTACAAGCCACTGCTATGGGTAAGAAGACGTTCTACGCACTTGTGGGCGTGTGATACCTACTTGACAATGCAGATTTTGAGTTTGTTTGATGTATTATTAGAATTATAATTGCATTACCATTTCCTATAAGTTTTGTGTTGAGATGCCAATACTCTAACAATATTGCTTCTGAATTAGTGATTTGAATATGTACCTACCTACTAAGAGTCCAGAGAATGCCGTCGGGCACCGTCCGATGGCATTATATTAGTATGTTTTGAATGATGTGCCATACCTTAACAAACACTATTATCCGAGTGTGCGTTGGTTTTGCTTTAACCTACTAAACATAATGTATGGTGGTTCCACTTGCGGCGCAGCTGTATCGACCTCAGATCACTGATACCCATCGAGCACCCCTTCAGTTGCTCCACGACGAGAACTAGAAATGATTCCGTGGTGATCGAATGTTGTAAGTCACATGACATGTGCAATCGAGAGCTGCGCCTGGAGCTGCAACCGAAGCCGCAAGGTAGGAGCGACGCGGAATTAGTCCCTCGATGTGCCGCTAACTATGCACTTAGCTTGCTACCACTCTGCGCCCAGTAATACCGATCTCCAGCCACCCCGCGCGGCAAGCAAAGGCGCTGATAGAGCTTGGTATTTGGTGCGAGACTGCATGGCTAACGATTTTGAGATTTTTTTTTTCTTTTATTCTAATACCACTAAGTTTCTTCCTGTAGACCGGCATTGATCACGTGTAGGTTGAGAAATATTTTCACTAATGTAACGATTTGTGGATGTAGATGTTGGAACCTGAGTCGCTCATTCCCTCCAGACGACAGGCCTATATGGTGTCGCGAGGACGAAAATCCTGACATGAGTTGCTGCTCAGAGGACTTCTGTAACCGTTACATCTTCGCAGGTACGGATGGAGACAGATGTGTCGTCGGGGCGAATTATCTGGGTCGCTTATATTGTGATGTCCACATGAGCGTACTGTACTGTCCCACCATGTTATATCATATCCACCCCACGGTGTTCTAACAAGGATCTATTTTTATGCCATTAGAAAATTCACATTGCGGAACAATTTGCATGTGAATGTTTGATATTCGTCGGGACATCCGTATCGCATTTGCCATGAGTCTACATCATAATTCATATACGGTATTTAATTCATGTAAGTAAAAAAATAATTGCTATACGAACATGAAATGATTGGAATGTAATATATGGCATGTTTGGGGTGGTTTTTAATACAGTAAATGTTGTCGGTGATAATTACCAACGTACAGAATGTTGGAATGTTTGTTTATATAGGATGGAATAAGAAGATCATGAACTACGATTTAGGGAAGTCGAAATTACATTATCCATTGTAACTACAGGAAACAAATAAGTGATCATGAGCCGGTACTTTTTTAATTTTGATTAACTCGCATGACTTTTGATTTAACGCCTATTGCATCTTGATTAATATTTTTTTTACCTGATTTCTAATTAAAAATTAACTCATTAATATTGCTAACATTTCTTATTTGAGGTTGGTTATGGGAATATAATAACATTTTCTGTGCAAAACTAAAAGAATTGCGTAAAAAACGATATTTTGCGATAGCGTATTTCTGATTAAATTGTATGATGTTTTTGTTGTTTCTTATGTGAAAAAATGTTGTACTTTTGTGTATTTTCTCGTGTCGTGTATATTGTTTATATTATTAGCGAATGCTGTGCGTTGTTACATAATTTTTATTGGTAGTTGCATTTATTTATTAGAACATTATCGGACGAGAATAATATTATATGTTTGTTGTTATTACACTATCAAATATCTAAATCAATTTATCAATTGACTAAGCTAGTGCCGTACTTTCGATATCAGTAAATTGTTTTGGTTTTTTTTTTTTTTTATAAATTATGAATAAACAAGTGAGATAATTTCATTTTAAATGTGTTTTTATGTGTTTTCATGTAAGATATGATCTGTATTCGATAGTGTAATAATAAAATAATATTTATGTGGCAGTTTGTGCAATCACTTAGGGTGTTATTATACTTTTTCGTAAAACTTCACGATATTGTATGTTTTTATCGTCACGATACAATGGGAGAGCAAAATATATGCATTTGTATGGAGATGATTTATGCCTTTTCTACAATAATAACGTGGTCGGACTCGATCCCAGCACCACCACCGTAACCTTTCCGTGGCAGACCCAGGCTCTCCTATAAGATCGTCGCGGCAATTCTGCAAGTGTATTATGTGTATGGGCGTTTTTATACTTTTCGGTGGATCTGCACGATATCGTACATTTTTATCGTCACGATATAATGGGAGAGTATAATGTATGGGACGCTTTTAAGCCTTTTCTACGATAATAACGGCCGTGCACAATCACGGCACTACCGTAACCTTTCCGTGGTAGACCTACGCTTTCTTGTAAAATCGTCGCGGCAATTCTGCAAATATATTATGTGTATAGACGCTTCTATACTTTTCCGTGGAATTACACGATATCGTACGTTTTTATCGTCACGATACAATTGGAGAGTAAGTGTATGCATTTGTATTGTGACGCTTTTAAGCATTCCGTACGATAACAATGTGATCGTGCACGGTCACGGCATTGCCGTAACCTTTCCGTAGTTGACCTAAGCCCTAAGTCGCGGCAATTCTGCAAGTGTAGTATGTGTATATGCATGTGTCTGGCTGCTCTGTTATAATTTTGGATGTGCACGTTTTACTGCTGCATCGTAGAACACCTAAGCTCCCTGTAAGATCGTGGCGACAATTGTGCAAGTGTAGCGTATACGTACAAAGTGTGAGGGTGCCGAAGCTCCCGGGTACCTGTCCATGCTGTTTCTTACCCACCTCCTAGGGTGATTTTGATAACTTTATGAGGAATTTAAATGCGCATGTTTTTTGTCAGTCTATTTTAAAAAGGCGTAACTTTTGATTTTGACAAAATTTTATTAATATGTTCTTAAGCAATATTTTCAGCAATTCTGAATTTAGAATTAAAAACGAAATGGATATCAGAGATTAGAATTCAAAAGCAGTTAAATTCGCAACACAAAATTATTCAGAAACGATATTCATACCGAAAATATGAAAATAGATATAGTCAAATTAATAATCTCCTCGTTGTGAAGTCGGTTGAAAATAAATATGGTGCTAAAGAACATCATTATTAAACCATTTAAAGCTATCTTTCATTTCATACATTTATTTGTATATTACAAAACTATGAAAAATGGTCTTTGGTATTTTGTGATGTACTTTGTGATACTTTGTGTAATGGTCCTTTGTGTCCTTTGTGTGTTTGTGTAATGTCTAATGGTACTTTGTGATAGACAAAACTTTTACAAGTTTATAATATTGATCGCTCATCTTGTGTCTGCGGCCATTTTTAAACATGTAATTTATTTTGACAACTGTAGTAACAGGGTTGTACACATATACACTTTAGATTATAAAGTATATAGATTGGCAATGAACGAAAATATATAAGCGAGAGAAAAAATAGGATTATAATATGCGTAGCATATGCTCGAAGCTGTTTTGGCGGGAGTAATTTCTAATTATTTTTAAATATTGAAGTGAAATAAGTTTTAAGTGAATGTAGTTAAAATTAAGTATGCTTTATCTGAATGTAATACAAATAACAGAAAAAAAAAATACAATTTCATATTTTACGTATAATTATGTTCGACACATTTCACTTATTTAAATACAATATTTAGAATTATATATTTTGTATATGAATCGATAGAAGATAATTATCACATTTAAACTAATTAATACTTTGAAGACTCAAGTATTTAAATTAAAATAATAACAAATACGCGAATATATACAAATTATAACTTCAATTGCTTAGAGATTGTCAAGAAATAATCGGTTTACAAATTGACAATGGTAAGAGGCCGTTACATATGCAGCTATAATAATTATATATAAATTTATTATACACACGAAAGCAAAAAATAAAAAATATTTGAATGACAACTGACGTAAAAAAATCGTCGTATTATTTGTGTTTCGGTTTTAAGGGTGACATTGCATTAATTTTTTTTCAAATATGCTGACGCCCCATTTAGTGGAAACTGGTAACGGTCGCCTGTAGATATGAATGAGTACCATGGACATAACAGAGTATACTATGTCGCCCGTGATACCTTTCAGGCGTTGCTATTTCTGAAGACTAAGCTGTTACGCTTGTACCCTGTAAGTTCACCGCTATATCCCACAAATTGTCCCAACAAACAAAAACATAGCCATGCAAATACAACTGCTTCATAGCATAAGTAGAAATTGCCCAAAAGTACCCCAGCAGACGATTTTTGTACAAAGTATCTCTGCCAGAAAAAATACAAATTATGGAAGTATAACACCTCAATCTTTAAGAATGACTATATATTTATACATTGATCGTGGCAAAACCAGTTATTTTGATTTGAAAACCAAATTGCTGAAGTGATTATAATAAAATTTCTATGGAATTATACGAGTATAAGAGAAAAAAATGATATTTCTAAATTGGTATATAAATAATGGAGTTCGAAGGTAACAAACATAAAAAAAATACAACTGAATTGAAACTTCCTCTTATTTTTGAAGTCAGTTAAATATACACCATTATATGTATAATATCATGTATATATTCCACAAAAATATTTGGGTTCAAAAATGTTATTGTTTTACAACACAATTATTTCATGATATGTACATACTACGTACAATTTATTACATATGTACTAAAATTTAAAAAAAAAAAATTATCAACTTTTAAAATTACTTATTGTTAAATGAAATAGAAAGTTTTTAATTTCGATTTACAATCGTATACAGAATCAATAAATAATCTAACGATAGAATGTACATGGTGCCGAACTGTTTCATGACCACATTTACATTTGACACACACAAGTGTATCTAATTACATTTTTGTCTCGTTTTTGTGTTTGCATTGCCAGTGTGTTAGTACATACTACGTTATACTAAGTCTATGATATACACAACATTTCATATTGTAACGGCAGCCATTTTTTTAAATATTACAACATTAAGAATAACATATTGTAAAAAAGTCAACAGAACTTAAATTTAATTTTAAGGCAAAATTGATTAAGATGAGTTGGTTCTAATTGATTAGATTGCAAAATATTAACTAAATAAACAACCTAAATAATATATACATGTATAATGAAATAAGTATGTAATAATAAAAAATGGCGTCGTTATTCTACGATATCGTGGACGTCCACGGTAAAGTATAAAAGTGTTCATTTGCACGATATATCGTGAAACTGCACTATAATAACATGGAAGTTTACGATAAATCGTGCACGGTAAAGAATAAAAGCGCCCATATATAATTGTTAATTGCAACGTGCAAGTATTATTTGTGTCCGTGCATATGCTCAACATGCTTCTTTAGGCACAGCTCTTATTAGATATCATCGCTTTGGTCCGTCGCATTACTATTATTGGCAATATAAGGTGTATATTTATATTATTTCATGACACCCAAGTTTATATAGCAGTGGTGGTGGCTTCCTTTATGATTAACATTATTAATATTTGATTTATTGTTGAAAAGCTATAATTAATTATATATAGTTTATTTACATGTTTAGTTTGTCCTTATGACTATATTTATTTCTTTTCCATTTTATAAGTAGTAAATTATTATACTTTAATTATATTTTTTTATTACTAACAGTACTTTAATAACTAGACGGTGGTATCTAGTTTATCTATAATATCTTAATAAATTGAATGAACAAAAATCACAAATAATAACTTCGGTTTTTTCCATTTTATTATTCTTTTATTTTATTCTTTTTAAAGCCTCTCAATAAAAAGCTTCTTTGATTTTTTTGTTGTATTTTTTTATACTACATTGTCGGTCAAATCACATATTTTTTCTCCCTATGTCTTGTTGTCACAATTATAAAGTAAAAATAGAATATGTGTACTTGTGATACCAAGACAAAAAGGATAGAATATCAATAAAAAGCAAAGTGAATGCAATTTCATTTATATTTTCTTTTTACAATTCTATATCTAAGTTACCGACAAATAACTTGAGCATGATTTTAATACCACGTCAGTTACGCAGTAACAATGTTACGTATACTGCGCAAATTTCTATGGGTTTGTTCAAGTTGTATGTCGTTAATTGTAATGTGATTTTTAACACGTGATTGTTGTGGGTAAAAGAATCGAGTCCTACTCCCACGGTATGGCAAGTGTTGCCATGGGTGATGGGACTGATGGTGTTGGGAGTGTGCGCCGCGATAAGCTTATGGTGGGCGAAGCGGTCCCGCAGTCTGATGAAAGGGGGTCGCGGCTCGAGGCCGCTATTTGCGGCCGAAGATTCACTGGGCGAGCCCAGGCATCCCATCATGGGCACAGCAACTATACGTGACATGATTGAACTTACTACCTCGGGCTCCGGATCAGGCAAGTTTATATTTTTTCTTGTCAATATATAAGAATACTCCCTCAATTGTAAATTTTATACAAAACGACTAACCTCGAGAAATTATACTTAAAGAATCATGAAGGGTGAATCCAAGATCTTGGAAGTAGTCGGTATTAATACAAAAACTATGTACAAAATTCCTTTTTAACGGTTAAAAAATCAAGACATTCGACAATGAATGACTAATTTGAAATATTTTTTAAATCACGACACAAAGTAAACCCATCCTTCTGCACGCAGATTTCTGTCTTACCAGACTTTACCGGAGGAAGATTCAAATTGCACGGGTTCCTCCGTTCCTTCCACGACGGTAATTTCAAATGAGATATTAAGAGACATTTATCGACTATTATTGATGAATAGAACGCAACACACGACATATCCTCATTTAGTCGAGCATATTACAACCCAACACGTCTTGGTGTGGTGCCTATTACTGGCACTTAGTGTTTTTCTTATAGTAGTTGTGAATTTTAAGTTAACATAAAATTTTTGGGAGCCTGCCGAATTCGAGCCATGATAAAATGTGATAAATTAATAATGATTGCTTCCATTTAGGGTTACCACTCCTCGTGCAACGATCAATAGCAAGACAGATTCAACTGATTGACATTATCGGCAAGGGTCGTTTCGGTGAGGTGTGGCGCGGCCGCTGGCGGGGCGAGAACGTGGCGGTCAAGATATTCTCGTCCAGGGAGGAGTGCTCGTGGTTCCGTGAGGCCGAGATCTACCAGACCGTGATGTTACGACATGAAAATATTTTAGGATTCATTGCGGCTGATAATAAAGGTACCTTTTAAAGAAATACAATGGAATGAACTTGACTGTTGATTTCTCTCTTTATATACTGATTCACTCAAGCAATGCCGTGCGAAATTGCTAGTATTAAATTACATAGCTCTCATTTATATTGTAGATAATGGCACATGGACACAACTGTGGCTTATAACTGATTATCATGAGAACGGATCGCTGTTCGACTACCTCACCGCACGGACCATAGACTCCAACACTCTGGTCAAGATGGCACTCTCGATTGCCACCGGGCTCGCGCATTTGCATATGGATATTGTAGGGACCAAAGGTAAATTATAAATATCTTTTTTTATAAAACACGGTTAACTGGGTCGAATTAAAAAAAAATGTGTAGGTACGGGGACATAACATATTAGTTCTTAAGAATGGTAATACGAGGGTTATCATGGATATCACAGAGTATTGTGTGTTCCGTACCATTCTATGTTCTATAAATAATCAAATAGGTAGACTATGTAAAACTATATCGTGATAAATGTTACAGATGCGAAATCGACACAAGGTTTTTGATAATTGTCAATTGTATAGGTATATTTTGCATTTTTTTTTTTGATAATGATATTTTTATATAATATAGTAAAAAAAATTATCCAGGCACTCAAAACTAATTATTAATATTTGGGTAATCTGTGGCATGTCTATATTGGAATATGTAAGAAAGGGGAAAAATAAAACCTTATGCCAAATTGAGGATGTAATCCAATAACAACGGTAGGTTAATATCTTTCTTCTATAAGGATTGAAATATGCTCAGTAGGGGGACGTTAATATGCCTTGGTATTTGATCAATGCTAAAGGAAAGCAGATATATGAATAATTGAAATTAAAATAATAAAAGTATATTTAGTACCAAGCAAGACCTGTATAAAGAATAAATTTTTATCGTACAGGTAAACCAGCCATCGCTCACCGTGATCTCAAGTCAAAGAACATCCTTGTGAAGTCCAACCTTACGTGTGTGATTGGCGACCTCGGTCTTGCCGTGCGGCACAACGTCGCCAGCGACTCTGTCGACGTGCCCTCCACTAACCGCGTAGGCACCAAGCGGTATATGGCACCAGAGGTAATTAGTAAACGTGATGAAAAGGATTCGAGGGTTTTTTTAATGGGTGAAAATGGCATGGTAACCCCGCCTGCGCTATCATCCCTCACTGGTACACTGGCGGGGTACCAGTGAGGGGTGATAGGTGATGATGAAAAGGCAGGTCAATTAGCCCATCGTGAAAAATTTAACAAGAAATTAGTCACGATAGTTTCCAGGGGGAACTACGTGGAGGTCGACCTGATAGGATATATTGACAGCAATGGGGACTAACCTCCCCGTTACTAACAACCACTTCCTCCCGGATACAAAGGGTTAGCATTTAGTACACTTACCTTGTAAGGGACCCTCCCTTACAAGGTGTATAATTATAGACATACATTAGATGCCATGTTTGGTGATGGTGGTAAAGTATATTTTTAAATACTCTTAGTATGGTTACGTTGAACAAAACGAAGTATACCAAGGATGACAACATTAAACAAGTAATTATTATGACGTTGTTGATTTCTCATTAGATTTAAAGAAGGAAAAATTTAAGAACACTCGACATATTCATAAAAACTATTATTACTAATTATTTTATTAGAGACGTTTGATGGTTATATGAATAAGGTGACATTGGTCTTTGTCTTTGAAATGTTACATCTATAATTTTTTTTATTTTAAACTTTAGAGTTTTCATTGCAACACTATTCTTTACTAATACGGTGCAAAGTTAACAATAAATAAACAAGGGAATAACATAAATTATTTGCAATTCCTAGGTACTAGACGAAACGATGGACACCCGACAGTTCGATCCATACAAACGCTCGGATGTGTATTCGTTCGGTCTGGTGCTGTGGGAAATCGCACGGCGATGCGGCGCCATGCCCGACGAGTACCAGCCGCCGTACTATGAGTGCGTGCCACCTGACCCCGCGCTCGAGGACATGCGGCGGGTCGTATGCGTCGAGAAGCGACGACCGAACGTGCCCAATAGGTGGCATTCGGACCCTGTAAGTATCTACATATTTTGTTATACTTCATGCATTGTAGCATCATCAGTACCAGAGGGAGACTTTGTACAAAAGTCGATTACTTGGATACCTCTGTCCCATTCGTGTTTCAACCGTAAAGAAGTTTTGTTTGCATGGCTGTGTTTCGGTTTGAAGGGTGGGATATGGCGTGAATTTACTGGGTACGGAGGAATAACACCTAAGTCCTCAGGAATGGCAACGCATGGGGGGTATCATGGGTGAAACAGTATACTCTGTTATGTCTATGGTACTGCTCTTGTTCATAAATGTAAACTTTTTTTAGGTACTGTCCGCGATATCAAAAGTAATGAAGGAGTGCTGGTATCAGAATCCAGCAGCCAGACTAACTGCACTCCGCATAAAGAAGACCCTCGCGAACATCGGCACCGGAGATCACATCAAACTGTAATCGAGCTAAAACACCCTATCATTTGGCTGTCTTCATACAATGCTTCCTCAGGTACAAATCAGTAGATGTATTCCATGATATAACAAAATTGTTAAAAGGCTCTTCTATATGCAATCGCAACTTTATCAATCCAACATTTGTGATTTATCTGCATTAATATTAATTGGCAATTCATCTATATCCTTTGATAATATTATATGTTATAGTGTGAACATTTTGCCTGCCCCTATTTATTTATTTATTTAATAAACATATACATAACATAGTACATGGTACAAAGGTAGGTATTGAATGATAAGTACATATATCCAAATTTATTAGTAGGAAACAAAAATGGTTGTAGAAATGTAATTTTATTCGCGTATGAGGTTAGCTAAGCTGTTGCACGTCCAGTGGGATTTTTTGTGCTCCTCCCTTCCCCTAACCATCATTTTATAGATCCTATGTGTTACCTTTGTGATATTCCGCTGTTTATAATATCTTTAGTCCCCTGGCTTTGGATAAGCGGTTCCCAGTAGACTCATACACATACTTGCCAACGAATTATAGTTGTACATCAGGTGTTCCATTGATACTGATTTCAAGGATAATATCTTCTTATTTCCCATCCCATCTTGTATAATATATTCCTTACTGGCATATGCCCAGTTAAGGCATCCATTATGAATCTTGTATGTTATCTGCCACCACTGTAGATAAGTTCCCCATGCCTCAGTCTTGTCGTTTAAGAACTTTTTAGAATGTCTGAGATCCTTAAATGTATTTAATGTTACATACACATCAGACTTTATTAAAAAATACTGGCGAAGTTTTTAAATTTGTCATAGTCAATCAAACCAGCCTCCCTAATGAAGTGGCAAACAAGCGGTAGATATATTTTAGTTACCAAATACATGAGAAAAGCCGAAATGGTGAATGTTGCTATCTTATTTTACCTGATGTACATATATGGCAGCGAAATATAATGGGAGAGGGGAGAAGAGGAGAGAAGTTTGATAAAGCAGCCACTGAGGTCAATTCTGAGCTGTCATTCTCTTAACCTATCATCAAAATTAATATTTTAATTTGATAGATTCACGAAAGTACTATTTTGTGGACAATTAGAAATTAAGTTTATAATAATATTAAATTACATGTTAGAAATTTAGTTTATATTAGTCCTTAAAATAAAGATTTCGCTGTAATATCAACTTGAAATTATAATTTTATAGATAAGTTTAGAGAGTGATGCGTCAAAATCGATTAATGTAATCTATCATTAATAAGACATTATGATAGTCATTTTTAAGCATTGACTTAAAATATTATTTTTATATCATTCTGTGACAAGAGAGCGTGAAGTGTTTTATTCCATATAGAAGGGCCTGTTAAAAGTAGAGACTTTATTGTCCTTACACGCGCCTGTAGATGAACAAATCGGTAGGTAGAAACATTCCAAGTGTATTGGAAAATTATTCACGAGAATTTCTTATTTCGTATATACAGGAAAACTCTAACCTCCTTATTCATAAAAATATCGAATTTCAAATAAATCTATTTTAACTATTGGGGGCATTACGTCTCTTTGGAGCAAAATTTTTAAATGACAATGCATAAATAATAGAGTAGGTTTGTTGGAGATTTTAAGTTTTTTTCTGAATAAGGGTGTGTGTAATTATATTTTGTGATAAGGAAAATTTTAAAAGGGTAATAATTATTATAGATGTTCTCGAGATAGTCTGTGCGAGTCCTAAACTAAGTGGTTCCCAGGGTCACTGTACAATTTGTATGTATAGATTTCATGTCAATAGATTCAATAGTTTTGGAGATTAAACCGTTCGGACACACAGACGATTTTTTATAACATTATACAAATATACTAACAGAAAATCAGTATAATAGCATAAGGTGATAGACAAGTGGCGTTTTGTGGTATTTTCTTACTACAAACCAAAAATATGAGATTATAAAAAAAATGTAGAGAATTCGATAATACAGATACACAGAGAGAATTTTATTTTTAGGTATAGATTTCATGTAGTGTTCATTTTCGTTGTAAACACGTTTAGAATTTCTTCATTCGTCCACTTTCAGTTTAATTTGATCTTAATTGTAATTGAATATTACGTACCTTATTAATATATTTTTTATTAATCACAAAACAATGTTTTGATGTTATATTTCTAAGATCTGTGTTTTGTATGTTTATTAGATGTTTAAATATAATGAACTTATTTATATTATATTAATTATATTATAATGATATATTTTAACAAGTATTTTTTACTCTATAAAGTGTTCTGTAGGCAATAAGTGGCTATAGACAGTATATAATGTTGGTTTTCATCCTGGCGCGTGTAATAAGACCGCTCGTTCAAGAGCTGGAAATTTTAATGCGTTATTCGGAAAGAGCTTAAGTGGTATACCTCCTTGTTACTGTCCCTCTAGCTTGAATCCTTTTTTGATTTTCATCGAAAAAGGATTCGAGAATTATAAATTGCATGAATAAAATAAATGTTATTTGCAACCTGCGTTAATATAAAAAAGTTTGTTAAATTAATAAATAAAAAAAATGAAGTAAACTTAATAATAAGCATTTTTGAATAGTCATAGTGTTGATTATTACCCTTTGCTTTTTTATAACAAAACTATTTTAAAAAGTAAATTAAGAATTTGGCATGTAAATACTGGCTCAAGTTTTTACAATGAAAACTATACGAACTGCTTTTTATACTAACCCTATAAATCATTTCTCCTTTTTGATTCTCGAAGTTGACGGGAAGAAATTCCTTTGAGGGATAAGTCCGTTTGTGTACATTTTGGTATAACCTAAAACCTACTGGTGAATGTACAAAAGCAAATAAATATATTAATTTTACTAATAATAGTTAATGTAAACGCATTATTATTTTCAGGTCTTATCATATATATATGTTATTAATTAAATTATGTGATATAATTATGTTGAGACATGTCACTGTATGAAGGCGGCATGATGATGTGGGCTTGTGTGTGAACATGTGTGTATGGAAGGTGGCCTACGAGCTCGCGTTGGCACTGTATGGTGTACAGGCCAACCCGGCGAGCCGTCCGCCGGCCGAGTGTCCTGACCCTACCTCTTAGATTATATTCGTGTAATATCAAAAAGGAGCATTTATTATAATATTATGGACTTACAAATTTAGTGATATTTTTTCGTTACCAACTACGTAGTTTTAACTTTTGTTAAGGATACGGTTTGTTTACGCATAAAGAAATCAGATATATAGAACTTGACCACATTTTTTTTTTATCTTACGTTTGCTGTGATATGTAATATTCGCAGCTCTGTTGTAATTCCGTGTATCGGCGCGAGCCGTGTCGACGACAGATTCCGTTTTATCTATACGAAGCTTGTTATATGAATGTGTTATTATTTTCACAATAGAATGTTATACCAAATCTATAGTATGTTATATATATAAAACTAGTCTCGTTAGGGAAATGTGGGCCTAGGTTGTAAGTGATGGTAAGCGTAATCGCTCGGCCACGACTTGGGCTTAGCGGCGTGACCTCCCTTAGATAAGTAGTAAACGAATTTATCGATAGATACGTTATCGTTATCGCGTGCATGAGATAGAACGAGACAGTGACGTTCAGCGTCTTGTTCTCTCTCGTTTTGAGTGCCCAATGTAAACGGACCTATTGATAGATCCACATGTCTCTTGTCTAGGGGAACGTATAATTTATTTGTATATACATTTAATGTTGATACGGAAATGAATAGGATTCTCATGTATCTCATTTAAATCTCATATATGCGGCAGCAGAAACTTATCTTGATACATTTAAATTCATTTACCACTTGCCTAAAAGGGCAAACTCAAGATAAATAGGAACCTAAATAATATATTTGTAGATACTTTTACGTTATTCTACATAGCTACTTAAGAAGTTCTTTTTGTCTAGAGGCTCGTTAAGATCGATCGCAATCGAAGCGGGTTTTAGAGTGTGGCATTTTTTTATACATTTCCATTCATCATCATCATCATATCAGCTTTTAACTGTTCACTGCTGAACATAAGCCTCTCCTTTAGGGGGTTTTTGCCAGTAGTTGCCACGCTTGGCAGGCGGGTTGGCAACTACAGTTAAGCTTTAGAGATGTTTTAAGAGGGACGCTGCTGCCCATCCCTCGCTCATTTCCATTAATTTGGTTTTAATTACTGTGCCGCTTTCCGCGCGCTAGACCGCAAGTCTTGACCGAGCAATAATGCTGTTTGAGCGAATTTATATCGGCGTTTTATATTGGTTCAGAAATGAACGGCAACTAAGCGGTGGTGAACTAGAAAGATCGAGAGATTCTGTACCTTTAAATTGTTAATTATCTAATAAATTATCTCCATAAGACGCTTCAGTAACATTGTGTTGAAATTTTATAATATTGTACAGAACAGTTTATTTTTAATATGACTTCTAATTTTGATTTGTTCGTAATAGAATATAATGGTGATATATGTTGTAGTAGAACGACATGTGTCGAGGTGTGAAAAGAAAATTATTAATACTTCAGTGAAAATTTTAGCTATTTTCATATTATTCCAATATTTATTGAATATTTGGAATTTGTATATATAAGAATTAAATACATTAACTACGTAAATGTTTACGTAATTGTAAGCGACATCTTTGTAACTTTTTATATGCGTAGTGTTAAAAGTTTATTATTTATTATGTTTATAATTTTAGTAATAGAGTACCAGTGGCGTAGATTATATAATTGGGTGTAGGAACATCGATTACGTACAAAGTAGATTTTTTATTTTTATTTTCTCTAGCCTTAGCTGTAGTTTACATTTGTATGTTTTTGGTTTGCGATTTTAAATATTGAATTTAACAAAATTGGTAGCAGCTCGTAAAGGAAGCAATAAAGTTGGATAGAGAGTAAAACTTTTGCACGAGTATGGCTAGATTGTGGTTACTAGTGATCGCATTTAAGTTGAGTGAATTACTTAAAATACATATAAAAATTAATATGCTGCCGCGTAAATTTAAAAAGCAATTATTGACAAAAAAATACTTTCGGATTTCAAAACCTCATAATTTTAACCTGTGACTTTGTCTGTACGATCAGAATATATTAATATTTTTTTATTAGGGCTAAAAGGTAGCCTGCGTCCTTCTTCATTCCAGATAGTTCGTGTTTACAAAATTTCATGACAATTGGTTGAGGTATTGAAGTATTATCAAATAAACAAATTCACTTTCAAACATGATTCAGAATATCTGTTTCTAAAATTTTTATTATGAATCACGTAATCCATCTGGAAACCATCGTAATTAATACCTGGTGAATTCCTCACGATATTGGCCCGACATCAATCACACATATCATCCCTTGCCGATTTCCCGCCAGTTTAAACCAGGGAGGAACCCTTCCTGCACTACTTAATTCTACTTACTATATAAATTATTTAGCTTTGTAGACAAAGTATATAGATGCAAATTTTTATATATAAATTTATACTTGATATAAATAATTTGACAGTATGACTAGTCGGTTTTATCATCGGCGTTTCAAATGTCAACAAAATCAAGATTATTATCATGTAAATAATATTGACGTCAATCCTCCCAACCTAACTGCGGTCATTAAAGATCAGAGGTGGTAAGACATACAAGGCGGTAAGTCATACATCTAAGATACATATAAGGCATCTAAGCAATGCCTTGAGATTAATCTGTTAATATAGGATTACATTAATTATTGATTCATTGTATAAACAATAATATTATTAAATGATACAATGACAGCTATAGACTGATTTTAATTACACTAAAATATCTCCGCGTCTGCAGTTGTGTAATTATGTTTAGTTTTTAGTTTTATTTCAGAAAAATCTTTGTATTGTCTCTTAGAAACTGAATATTCGGTCAATTCAGTTAGTATATTGGTAATGTATTCTTTATCTATATAGTATGCAACTCCCGATGTCACCACTTCTTCGAAATTAAAAAAGAGGGTAAAAGTGTGAATAGATTTTCTTACAACAAAAATATTTCTTTACATTTTTTCAAAATTATACATAAGTGCCAGAAAATTTGTTTAATGAATTTTATTTTATTTATTATGGTACATTTATCTAAACTCATAAAAGCAGTCATGAACAGTAATTATTGACGTTAAGATATAACTTTAGTTGATTATTTTGTACATAACGCTGATTATGTAGTAGGACATCACAATATTTATTTTTTATCATTATACTTATCTATATATTGGACGGAACCCAATAGATATTCAATTAACTTAAGAAATCGGAATTTTATTGAATGAAATTAAAGCTTAGTAATTTATGGGATGTATTGAAAACGCAATTTTGTATTAAAATCATGATTTTAATTATTATAGTTTTATTTTTAAGTATGTATTATATTTACGCAGCAATCTTTTAAAATTGTATTTGAACTTTGAAAAAATAATTTATTATTTGAATTCAGTATGTAATACTGACAATGTTTTTAGTTAGATATATGGAATATAACAATATAAATTAAATACAGTATAACTGATTGACTGATTATCCAGAATGTATTTGAAAACTCTTATAAAGAGCCTGTATAAAGTACGTTATATTTTTTTTATTGCAACTATTAGGTACTTTTGTACATTATGTTCATTATAGTTTGTTTCTCGATACTTCACTGTAAAACAATATATTATTTCCCTGTTTGTTGAATTATTTTCAGATTTTATTTCATCAGAATATATTTATAAAATATAAAAATGGAAATTGAACATCAAGAAAATATTTAATGTTAGTGTATTAGAGTTAAGGTAAATATAAATCGCTTATTTCCACCTAAATAAGCCGAAGTGTGAACTCCCTGCGTTATCACAAAAAAGTATATAAATACAAATTACAAAGACATGATCAGGAGCAAATACAAACAAACAATAGCAGAAAACCCAGTTGTCACAAAAGTGAAAAAGTCAAAGATATGTATATTATTTAATGTAATTTTACTTGTGCATAACGGGGTGAATATTAGAATTAGATTCAAGTTCAAATTGATGTCATAAATATGTACAAGCATCAAACTATTGGTTTGAAAAGATTTGATGAGCAATACCGCGAAAGTACAATACGTTTACTTAATCTGCAATAAACGTGAGTTATAGCAGCGTCATATCACACTTCGTTCTACTAGTTTGATGATTTTTCCCAATTGAATCATTTTATGTACATATAATATTATTTAATTATCCCATTATATAAGTTTTATTAATTGGTTATGGAGTGGACTAATTAATATTATAATAAAACAAAGTGTTTTTATATGTTGTTGTTTTATTTTTTAATATACTGCTTATTTAAAGAAGACTAATGGAGGTATTGTATTTATTTCAAATCACTTCTATAATTAAGATGTGGATAGATAGGTAGACAGGTATGGCTTTGTGTATAGAAAGACAACAATCAATTTTGTATATAATTATATTTCAGTTACGAAACATATACGTCATTTACGACTAATAACTAGGCTAAATGGACGGCATAAATTCAATCTAGTCTACATAAAAGTTATTTTTTTTATTAACCACTGTAGTTTCTGAAAGTTAACTGTCAAGAAACAACCATAAGAAACTTGATTATATGTCCAATGTACTGTTATAGTTGAGTTTCTTATAGTTGGATACTCAGAGTAATTCTAAATTTGAGATTCTAAATCAGTTCTTTATTTAAAGTCGATACTGGATACATCATAATGTCAAATATTGATGAAGTATAGTGAAATTACATAAGATCATCTAACCTTACAAGTAAAAATAATGTATGTACCTAGAACTATAATAAATTGTGATGAGGATAAAAAATTAATGATCAGCTTTAAAAAATTTCTTTAATCTGTAGGTTGATCCATACTGGAAGCATTAGAATGTTAAGTACTGATCAAGTTTAGATGAATTACATAAGTCTCATCATCTCAACATCTAGTGTTACAAGTAAAAAACCATTTTATTTTGATATCCTTAATATTCTTGTAAATTTACTTTTTAATAGAGCTAAAATATTGCAATTACTATTTAATTTTTTTGTGCTTTAAAATTAATATGCAATACTTCCAAATAGGTGACTTATATGTAAATAAGATCTAGTATAAAAGCTTAAAACTAGGCATAAGACACTTTCTGTTCATAAGCTACTTCCTCATTCCAAAACTCCTGCTCAGCAAAGGCAGTGTGCCGAAGTTTGCATAAATACCCAAATCTGAGTATCAATATAATCACCAATAGTACAAAAAGAGAGAGTACAGCTACGGCGGGGTATAACATAAGGAAGGCCATTTTTAAATGTCACTTTCGCGTTTATGTAGCTCTAAATATTCTTGAGATGTTGTTAAAGGTTGGTGTGATATAGATGGGGGAACTTCAGTCCCGTGATACTCGCTTATGTATGGTTTAATGTACTGTACAGGTCTGTACTGTACATCCAACTCAGTGAGGTCGAGTGGAGGCTGCTTGTGTGGTGTTGTCGACCAGATAGATACTATCCAACGGTTACCTGCAATAGTTTGTTAGCTTTTAAATTTTTACAACATATTTCATAATAAACATACACTTTTAGCTAATTTTATACACATTCTGTTAAAATTTTCTCTCCTTATAAACTTGGACATTTATAAAGTATGAAAAAGATTATGACTAAATTCTAACTGATATGTAACAAACATTTATCATGTTACTATAAAAAAAAATAATTAAAAAAAAATCACAAACCTGTGTGCCTGTCTAGCCAATACTCTGAGTATCTAGAACAACAGCATACGACGTTCAGAATGAGAAGAAATCCCAGTATCACGGAGCAAATAGCAATCGCAATATAAAACTTTGTGAAGTCTCCAATGTGCGACACTATTGGGTTTAAAGCTTTGTATGTTCCGTTCCCTGTAAAGGAAGCGAGAGATTCAGTTCCCGACATTTTCTTATTACAAATGGACCTGCAGAAGAAAAAAATTAGTCAAGAAAGTTTTTGTATAAATAACGAAGTCTTAAAACCGCACCCATTTCCGACGCAACGCTATTTACAAAATTAGGCCGCCGGGCGTGGTAAACAAAATATTTGTATAATATGTACAGTATATAATTTGCCTTGCCTCTTTGTAAATGCAGTATATTTAATAAATTCCAAATCTGTTTTCCAAATTGTAATTAAATAATTAAAATCGAATGTAACGTTTCAACTAATTAGACTGGGATAATTTCTAACATTCCTTGTAGTGGCGAATGAATAGGAATGAGCGTCATCTCAGTCGGTCTTGGCGAACGCTTCACGTCAATTTGACGTTAAATGCGTCAGTCGGTTGTCAAACTTACTTGACATTTCTAGTCAGTACTGCCACCTACGAGTATAGTACTATATTCCGCCTAAGATTAAGAACTAAAGCTGTTTTTAAATAAAGGCCAAATCTAATGTATCTTCATTAATTTTCATGTATGAAAATGAGATGGTGTACCGGCCTATGATGATGATGTAATACCGAGGCACTACTGCGGAATGAAATAATGAACTCAGGTTAGTTGGCCTATCGTGGCGAAGTTTTTTTTAAATGGGAAGATGGAATGATAACCCCGTCTGCGCTATCAATAATAATCGAGATAAAAGGCACATATACCCTATTGAAAACGGTAACCATCTTATAAGATTTAAAAAGCACTAATGACACCACAGAATACATTGCGCTCCCTAGTATATATTTCATACATGTTATGTTTGAGCACTAATAGTAAGTACTGTTACTTATATTCTGGCACTCTTATATTCTGTGTGCTATGCTAAATAATCTAGCCAAGCGGCAGCGTGTCAAGTCAATTCAAGCCAAAAACTGGCGATGCAGCCGTGTGTTATAATTTGCGAAACATTTGGAACCCCTTTTCACCCCTTAATAATTCAAAATTTACCTATGCTGCATTAAAACCCTGAGCTTAACTAGAACCCTAAATTTTATACAAAAAATTTAAATAATAACGCATGAAGTGTATTATGGGCGAAACACTAAACTCTGTTATGTCTATGGTACTGCTCATGTTTATAGGCGACGGATACCACTTTCCATTAAGTGGATCGTCAGCTCGTTTGTCATTCAAGTTGCATAAAAAATAAATAAAAACAAATGGTTATTGAGATATTAATGTCTAAATGGCACCAGTGAGGGTTGATAGGTGGGAATGAAAAAGCAGGTCAGTTAGCCCATCGTGATGTGAGCCTGAGGTTTTGCGTCTCCTCTGGGACAGCTATTGCACTACAGTTGGGTTGTTTACCAACGACCATCCGCATCATTAACCAGTCACAGAGGTCGTTCATCGCGTCATCGTGAGAACGCCGAAGACATTTATGTGATATTTTCAGTTTTAAATTTTAATTTACTTGCCAACAAACTGCATTGTACTCGATTACGTCTCATAGTCGTTTATTTTCGAAAATCCTGCCATTTTTTATTTCGTGGGTGATAATGGTATGGTTACCCCGCCTGCGCTATCGGTATACACGGGCGAATCATCAGTGAGATATGACAGATGAGGTTGCAAGCAGCTCAGTTAGCCTATCCTGACAAATTCAACTAGAATTAATCACGATGATTTCCAGGGGGAACCACGTGGAGGTCGACCTGACAGGGTATATTGCTAGTAATGGGATTATTTTACCATTACTAACAATCCGTTCCCCTCAATCCTGCTAGTTGTCGCATTAAAATATTTGGTACATTTATTCAAGATCACTTTAAATAAATGCAAAGGGGCGACAGGGATTATTAGCAATGGAGTTTCACAGCCCCATTGCTAGCAATATGCCCTATTAGGTCGATCTCCACGTGGTTCCCCCTGGAAACCATCGTGAACACTTCTTGTTGAATTCGTCACGATGGGCTAACTGACCTGCTTCATACTCACCTATCATCCTTCACTGGTGCCCCACCGGTGTATACCGATAGCGTGGGTGGGTTACAAGTCCATTATCATCCATTAAAAAAAAATACAAAACGCATAATAATTAATAACTGGTATTTTTATCTCTTACTCACTAACTGACATATAGATCAAAAACCTAACCATTTCCAGATGACCTAGATAGTTAACATTTGACATCCAACTAGGTAATTGTGAGATACAAAGGGAAAAATAAAAAACGTATGAATTTTAATGATTTATTTTCCAATTTTCGATTTTTATTAATACGTAGCGCCTATAAAAATTATAATAGCAACATTTTTGTGTTTCTTAATGTTTTGTTTAGAATTACGTATAATTAATAGTAATAAATATTATAGTCGCGGACAATGAGATGACTTCGAAATTATGTTGATTAAATTGATCCCGACGACTACCCGCGTCCGCGCCTCACGAGGTGGAGTGCCGGACACAGTGGTGCGGAGCGCGCGAGGGAATGAAGTTATTTTTATGAGTGAAAATGAAATGTTAACCCTACTTGTGGTAAGGGGAGGGCGAAAGGGATTGTTTTTGTTTGGTATATTGCTAATAATGGTGGTGGTCCGCCCTATCAGGTTGATCTTCCCGTGGTACCCCCTGGAAACCATTTTGCTAAATTTAAAGTGTATTCATCACGATGGGCTAACTGACCTGCCTTTTCATTTTCACCTATCATCTCTCATTGGTGCCCCGCCTGGATATACCGATAGTGTAGACGGGATTACCAAAAGCACATTTTGTACAAAAGTCAATTGCTTGGGTGCCTCTGTCCCATTCGTGTTTCTACCGTGAAGCAGTTGTTTGCATGACTGTGTTTCGGTTTGAAGGGTGGGATATGGCGTGAATTTACAGGGTACAGAGGAATAACACCTGAGTCCTCAGGAATGGCAACGCTAGGGGGGTATCATGAACGAAACAGTATATTCTGTTATGTCCATGGTACTGCTCATGTCTGTAGGCGACGGTTACCATTTTCCATCAGGTGGGCCGTCAGCTTGTTTGCCAATCTAAGTTGTATAAAAAAAATATCGATCCATTATTATCCATTTAAAAAATCCCCTGTTTGGTGTTATTTGCTGGCAGGGCATTAAGATCTCAATTCTTTTGCTAGCGAAGTCGCCATTCACGCATATTATTAATATATAATAGGCTTTCTTTTTCACATTTATGTTTTTGATAGCATTGCCTCTTAGCACCATAACATTTCTATCAATGTTCATAAAATTTTGTATTGTTATGGCAAGAAAATTGTTTACTTTTAACCTAATGACACGATCGATGTTATGGGCACAACTTATATACGAATATAGTCTATTTACACTTGGTACCAACTCTTTAAAAATGATTCTATTATCCCCTTATTTGTTTCTATTCACACATTTAATATTTTAATTATTCTCTTTGACGTTTCTATTAATCCCTTTTAAATATTAACATTAGTTCAGATAATTCTCTTCGAATCGGTTTTTTTCAGAAAAAATACCTTGACGTTGTTATCTCGCGATTTTTGTTTTGGTAGATGATATTGTTTCTCAGAATCTCGCTAGATGGCTAAATACTCGTACTGTTGTCAAAGCGATGTGCGAAAATGAAGCGAAGAAAAATACGCAGTCAGAGTTAATATTTTAAAGTTGAATTTAGGATATCTATGATGGCAAAATAATATAATACAGTTGTACAAAACAAAAAAACGCAATTGTTTTCCTCCTATTTTTGAAGTCGGTTAAAAATATTTATAATTAAACTTACTTCAGTTTGATTCGGTATTTAAAATTCCAATATTTTATTATACTGAGATTAGTATCTTGTACGTGTGATTGATGAAACTGATTTTTTTTGCGGAGCAAAAGTATTTACTTGTTTGATGTCTGTTAAAGTTAAAAAAAAGTAAAAAGTGGGGTCAAACATGTTCCTCTACGTCTCATACATTGTTGTATTATATACAATCTAAGTACTTGAGTACCAAAGTGGAGTAGCTTGGCTCTTCCAACTAGCTTCCGCGGAACGGAAACGGACCCCGGTAGAGTACGTTCATTTCATGTATAATATATCAATTTAAATGGCTCAAAAATTTCGATAGCGCGTTTCAAGTTCATTTGACAACTTCCTTCTTTGACAATCCTTTTGTTAGAGTTATTGTTACTACCTTACTTATATAATAAAATTGTAAGTAAACGATGTTTGTATACCTACAGTTTATAGCCACTGTCTTGGCTTCTAAGAAGACGAGCTTCTAGAAGCCAAAACAGTGATTTTTAGAAGTGTCGTCTGTTTGTCTGTCTGTCCATATATTTGTTGGGCCTCACGGTAAAACTATTGTATCAAATTGGATGCAGTTATTACAACTCTAACTTAACACCTAAAGGATAAAATGTGATGTATGTTTAGTTATCTAGAATTGTATTTAGTGGATGATAATGCTTAACGGTATTTGCTGGCGGGGCACCAGTGAGAGAGAATGAGCTCATCGTGACGACTACACCTGGAAATCAGTACGGTGGTTTCCACCACGTGGAGGTCGATCGGATAGGGTATATTGCTAGCAAAGGGACAAGTTGTCCCATTACTAATAAGTAATGCGGACAAAAAGTGACAGATTGTCCAACCCCCCCCCCCCCCCCCCAAGCAGCGGTTAGGCGCCTTCTTCCACAATTCATACGTACGAAATTATAATAAGTTAGTATTACTGTGATGTGAGCATTATAATAAATAGATGTGTGAAAAAAGGAAAAAAACACCGATTTTAGTCGCGACATAATCAATTACTTAGTCGATTTTGATAAAATTTTTATGTGATCAATTTGAAAGTATAACCTTTTAGATAAAAAAAAAAGTTTCAAATTTATAGAGCTGATGGAGTTATGAAGTAACACGCATCAAAAATATAACTGTATTAAAAATATCCTTTTTCTTTAAAATCGGTTGACGATCAAGCCATTTCTACTAAAACATTACAAGTACGGGTTTTTACAACATCAAAAAAGACAATGTATTTGATTTCATCGAGAACATTCTCAGTACAATCAAATTTCACGAAATCAGCAAAAGGTGACCGATTAGCAGAGGGAACGGCGCGGTAAAAATAGCTTGGGTGCCCGTGTGCACGGGCTCGACGGTGCCATCGAGCTCACGACCACAACAGGTGGTCAATTAGCCTAGCGTTCAGCGTGTTCATCAGCTCTGGTTCGCGTGCATAGTTGAGCTTGCGCCCGTGTTGTTGACCGCGGTCCGTACGCTGCATTTCCCGCATCTTTTCCCCTGCCCTGCCTGGGACGTCTGGGACGGGCAGTCGTCGAGTTGCACATAAAAGGCGGCGATCTTTTAAGGGAATCGTCCGTCCCTTGAAACCCCACCCATCCACCAGTTCTTCCTACTGTTCATCGTTCCCCCCCCTCTCGGACCTTCACTTATCTCACTCCCCCTCACCACCAGAGGAAGACTTTGTACAAAAGTCATTTGCTTGGGCAACGTAAAGCAATTATGTTTATATGGCTGTGTTTCGGTTGTGATATGGCAGTGAATTTACAGGGTACAGAGGGATAACACCTGAGTCCTCAGGAATGGGAACGCATGGGAGGTATCATGGGCGAAACTGTATACTCATTTATGCCCATAGTGCTGCTCATGCCTAAAGACGGCTTATTTTTTTCCGACACTTCCCACAAATATTGTTATATTTTAGCCAATGTATACAAAAACTTAATAAATTATATACTGAAATCTTCCTCGAGAATTATTTTTCCCATTGGTGAAATTAGCATGAAATTCGGGGCTATAGTTTATAAGTTTATCGCGAACAGAAACATAGACGCGGCGGTAGACTTTGTTTCATAACATGTAGTGATAGTGATGTTTTCATACAATTTATCGACTCGCGTGCATTCATAACGTAAATCCTTGTACAACTCACATTGGCGCTCCGATTGTCATATTACTCAATTATCTCAGAAAATTCGATTATTTTAAACTGGAACTAGAAAACATAACTTGCTTATAATGATATACCTACGCAAAGAACAGAAGTCATTTAGCCAAATATAACTTGCATGTGATAATTATTTATAGGAATAGCCAGCAATAGAATTTAGTTCATTTAGATCACATTTCTTTTGCCGGCGAAGAATTTTGATTATTAAATTGGCTCTCTTTTTTTACATTTTTTTTCTTCTAATAAAATATATTAGCTAAAATTCTTAAAGCGGTCGTCGTAAATTAATTTATGATATAGTTTTCAATTATATAAAAATAAATTTTAACCATCATAAGTAGGTGAAATCTATAGTAGGATATATTTAATTATTGCATTTGGTAAATAAAAAGCAAGGTAATTTAAATTTCCATTTATTAATTAATCAGGTATTACAATTATTTTAAAGAATTAATATTAATTAGGAATTTTTTAATTTGACACAGAAACAAGTTTCAGTTTAGAGCACATGAGAATTGACTTGTGAAATTAATGTACCTAGTTTAAAATTTTAATAAAACGACCAAAACGTTAAAGGAACAAACATTAAATTAATTTTTGTTTTATAATATTCAGAGTATTTGCATTTGAGTTGTATAACTGCATACCTAACTATAAGAATAATAAGTATTCCATATTTATTCTTATGCTTTAATAGTTGTTTTATTTCCAATCATTATTTACTCAATAATTAGAGTAAAATACTCATGGAGTATATAATAAAAAGGAATATCTAACATATCCTGTAACATCCACATTCCATTGTCTATGGTAGATTTCGATTAGTTATAAATAAAAAAAAAATGAGACATGCCAGCTAAAATAAATTGAAAACATTAAAAAAAAAAGTACGTTAATAAAATGAGAAATACGCACCTACCATAAAGGACAGCCATTTAAGATACATTTTATTTTAATATTATCATCAATAAATTGAAATACGAGATACGATATGAAAACGCAACGAAAGAACTAGTAAATTAGAAGTTATTTACAATAGTTATTTACATAAATACACAAACAAATTAGGAAACACATTAATAATACAGTATAAATGTCACATTTCAAGTCTTTAATTTTCCTTACATAATGTAGGTACTTATACGTAACGTAAAGTATTATATCGTTATAGTCGTAGAATACTGACGGATCTGACAAAGATTACATATAAAGATCCGTCAGTATTCTACGACTATGACGATATTACCTGTGACCTAACTAATAGTGATTACTTTCTAAAACTTCTATTTACGAGTGATGTAGTTACCAGTAGACTTTAATGGGCTTTCTTTAAACAATTTGAAGAAAATCGTGACTTCTACTATTGATATTATTAACCAATGATTTGTCGTTTTGTTAAGTCTGAAACGAGGAATCGTATGGACAGATTGTATCGAGTTTGTATTTTAAAACACCAAATGTAGAATTTTGGGTTTACAAAACATAGCTCTATTATAAGCTATAATATTTAATATAATATTATACTGTACCTAGATACACGGCACTGTATTTGATCAGGATTTTTTTTTTATATTTATGAGATAAATGAACAAACAAAGAGGCACATTTTAGGTACGTAGGAGCTTATGTATTCATTCATTTATGATTGGTAGGTATCGTATATTAAAAATATGTTTGCAAAAAAGTTATTAAATATTCTGTATTATTTTTTGTATAGTAAATTTATTGAATATTTTGTCTAATAGACAGGTAATTGTAAATTAGTAATTACATAACGAATTTCTTTTGAGAAAAATATATTAATTCTAAATATTAAAAAAGCATGGTAGGTATTTTTCACAGTTATAGTTTCCTTTTTAGTTAAGGATTTTTTCCAGACACTTCCATCTCACTTCATATACTCACTCTGGTTATGGTTAAATTTAAACATAAAAAGCTTTGGAAATAAAAAAAAAATACAAATGCTTAATCTTGACAAATGCTTAATATATTTATTAAATTGGCCAAATTTCCTTATTAATGTAACGAATCAATACAGGTATACACGATCTCTGAAATAGCCTATTTTTATATTTTTAGTTAGAAATTAATGAAGAAAATTGATTATTGTTATAAATATGTAGGATTGAAAAAGATAGTGTTGGATATAGTTAGGTCTGTTTTAACAAATGCAAGTATACCTATAAAGAGTATTAACAACTTCAAATCAAATTTATTCCAATTATTCTATCTATACCCATAGGTATATGTATGTATGTATGTATATGTAGTTTATCTATTTTTTCTTGTACGTGTACTTGACACTCATAGGTTACTGGATCATGGAAAATTTCTTAATTGTGCAAAATCTCTTGGCAAAATTTTTGTGATAAGTATGTTCAGATTAATAAGATCATGAGAATAAGTGGCTTTGAGAAAAACTTATGTATAATTGAGATTCAGCATTACACAAATATTTGACTATCTACTCGTAATTGCCTATCTTTGTTGAATGTCGGCTGTTGATCTGAAAAAGTAAGAAAACAATTAGAAAACATTCATTATCCTCAATTATTTATTATACATATTATTTTAAACTGGTCTATTTTTATTATACTGTTTTATGTAATAATTATCTCTACGCTAGGCTGTTTGAAAGACTGAAGAAGTAAAAATTGAGTTGCAGGAAGCTCTATTCTTTTCGTTTAGGAAGATTTATCCTTTATATTTTGTGGTCTGTATGACCAGAGAGTTTCTATACAATGTGTTAAAGTCTGAATTACAGTTTTAAAAGTATCTCATTAAATAGCAATGAGTATGCAACTAATTCGGTACTGGGTTAAACTATGTAATCATGTAACATTCGTTACATAGTTAAGTTGGTATGTACATAGCTGGTTGTTTGTATTATATAGTTCTCTTTTACCAACCAAGTAACTTCATATTTAGAATATTTTCAAGTTTTGCATTATAATAAATAAATATTTGCCTACATGTAAAAAAAAAAAAAAACATTATGGGATATTAACTTACCCAGAGTTACATTCTTGTCCGGGCCAAGATTGATGCCCATCGAGCGTTCTGTTAACTGAAAACCAAAACGAATTAATTATATCTCTCACGTGTGTGTCTATTATTAAATAAAATATATTTTTGAAACAAATCAGGTAGCAAATAAGTAGACGGCCCGCCTGATGGAAAATAGTTTTATTTTTTAAGATTACAAAGAATAAAAGAAATTACGATTTTCTGTAGTAATTAGCGTATATTTAAAAATATTTCTTTCGCAAAGCAATTTATGTTCATAATTGATGGATTTCAATATTTCTAAAATAGTATTAATGAGATTTATTTGTATATTGAAATGCGGGTAAATAGGTTTACCCGCATTTCAATACACATATAATAGAAAATTTTGATCTCAAGATATAAAAAAAATAAAAATGGCCATATCGAGTAAATAAAGCTGAAATATTTACTATAAATATCTTATAATTTGCAGTACACATTTTGTTTTTTGTTTTGACATTTATTTACTATCATGAAGTAGAAAGAGTGCATTTATTTAACTGTACGACATGATTATTTTAATTATTTATTTATTTTGTTCTGGTTTTTGTTAGGAGAAAAGAAAATTTACTCAATATGACTTTTTTTCTAAACCACAAAGTACATCTGTATTTTAAATTTTTTAAATGTCGTTGTGAACTATAGACGGAACTTACATAATTTTTTATCAGACAGTCGATTTCGTCGGCGCTGTCGAGTGATAGGTTTTCGTTTCGTAGTAGCGGAACGCACCAAGCTCTCGATGATCTCGTCATCTGCTGATAGGTCGCCACTGGATAAAAACATGATAAGTTTAAATAAATTATTCAATTTCGATAAATACATGTAAAAAGTGAAAGTGAAGGTTTAGACACATTACGACAAAGAAAAAATTATAGACAACTGAAGTTGTCGTTTTTCTTTGACGAGCATAATATTGTATGTTGCAGAACAAAATTTGTAGAAACACTAAGGTTTTGAATTATTTAAAATTTAATAAATACGTTTTTCTTTTATTTTTAATTTATTTTAAAATAGGAATACTAAGATTATTAGACAATATTACGGTACGGACAATATTAGGGTACGGACACACCTTAGTCAGTGAAAATAGATAATGCACTATATGACTTCTGTACAGTTGTGTAACAATAGGATAGCATAGCGGGCAAATCGCGACGGATTTGCGGTCTGCGGGGGACTTTACAGTGACAGTCATTAGTTTTCATCCAAATCAATTTAAACTGTATAAAAATATGTTTAGGTTGAAATTACTATTTCTTTGTAGAACAAGTTTTACTTGTTTGCATTATTAGTAAAACCTAGGAAAGAAACCAATTTAAAAAATACTTACTTGACCATCATTCGTTTATTGTTTGATGCTTTCCGCCTGCTTTCCGTAAGGCTATCTGTATCAGGATCAGTCTTCAGTAATTCCTTCAATGCACTGTCTGCCGTGTGATCGCCATTCTTGTTGGAGTAGTTACCAACCTAAAGAATCATTATAATTAGTAAAATATTTTTGTGCTTTAATAATGTTGTCCTAATATATTAATGTAATACCTAAAGTACCTATAAAAAAGTTCCTTTAGCAACAAGAAATGATATTTAAGAGATTTATTATTAGGTATTAATTGGTCAAAAATAGTTTTAATTAAAAATTTTAAAAATAGTTTTTATGATAATTAAGAAAGAGTTGTCAACGTTGACAATATTATTTTATAAATTGTTATTGAAAGTTAAAGTTCAGACTAAATAAAATTTCAGTTTCATTCTAGGTCTTATATTTGGACTAAACTAAATTGTTATCCAAATCTCATTTGTACAAACTAAAATCTTTACGAACTATGTAAGAGTGTACGGTGTACAAACTTACATCAATTATCATCTTGCCCCTAGTCTTATTTCTCTCTCGATGATTGGCCCTCTTTTCTAATTGTTGTAGTACTCTTTCTCTTGTCGTGCGGTACTCAAGTGCAAACTCAGCTATTACTTTAAGAAATTCCGAGGGTTTTGTCTTCGGAATATCGCCCGGTGGTACTCCTAAATATAGAAGGAACTTCCCGTACCTGTAACAAAGATATCAAGAAGTTGTTTCTCTGGGGATTGTAGAAGGTAAACATTTCGCAAATACGCATTACAACTAATGGTCATATAAATTCGCTTTGCATTTGTGTAAGAATAGACTTTTAAATGATCGCTTATTATTCGCTGTGCCAATAAACTACAATCGATATCGATCGATACAGTCTTCTTCTGCATCAAGTTACATGAAATAATTAAAAAAATGAATTATTGTATCGTATCAATGCTGCTAATAAAACCTTAACGGAACCTGATGCACAGCCTTAAAAGCTAATATTACCTGTTCATGACTCTTTTTTTAATAAGACTTAGTAAAATGATTCTCTCTGCTGCATCTGTGAGGAATTCATTAATCTTTGTTTTGAATATTTGCGAGCCGTCGTGTTTTGCGATACGTTTCATGTGATCCCATGAAGCTTTGCAGTCTGCCTCTAATTTTTGGAGGTTTGTGTGTAGAATGTCGAAGTCCACCTTCGAAGCCCGTATTACGGCTCCAACCTAAAGAATAAATTACAAATTCATATTATATAATAACTAACGAACTATTTTGTTTTTAATACAGAGTAAATTTTTAGTTGATTTTGGTATTAATAGAACTTTTTTAATATTTTTAAAATTAGGCTGCAATCACAGGAATATGTTCAATCTTCTTTCGGTTTTTTATTTAAAAGTTCGCAGCTTTTTCCTTCAAAGTAAGTAAACTAGTGAAGATCAGGTTATATCAGGAATATGAGGCCTATTCGTTTAAATTACTAATTTCGAAGGAGTACGTTTTTAAATTTTTTTGTAAATGAAAATAGTAACTTCGTATACCGCTTTACGTGTTCTGTTTTTCTTTTCTTCCTATTAAAATCAAAGCTCTTACCTCACTGAAAAAGTCTGTTGTTTCTTGAAACTTTTCTATGATCATTTCACAGATGTGGTACAACAGTGGATGTTTGTGTACCGTGTCCTTTACTTCCATTACTTTTGACAGATATTCCAAACGGAACCCCTTCACTTGGCTGCCATTTAAGAAGGATCCGACAGACCTCAATGTCGACAATATCACTTTGAAAGTCCTATTTGCCTTTAATAATTCTATTCCTTGTTTCAAATCCATTAATGGTTCAGCTATTTCTTTCTGAAAAGCATTCATATTATAATTTTAATTCAGCTGCTTTTAGCTTATTGGCCCATATGCCATAAAACTTACAACAACATCTTATAATGTAAATTTAATATAGAAAATAGAATAAACATTAATAAAATACATAAAAAGTAAATAAAAAATATGTTTGATTGCTCTTTACATGTTATTAAAATATATAAAGCGGAATTAAAACTGTAAGAATATATAAACTGTAAGAATGTAGTTAAAATAGAAAAAGACAAATATGTTCATACCTCTAAATTATCAAAATCCAATTTGAAAACCCATAATTTTAGTCTAGACGACAATTCATTGATAGAAGCTAGCGTTAGAAGGAATTGCTCAGCGCTACCCAAGGGTAAATCTGGATTGGCATACTGAAAAAATATTTAAATTGTTTTGTAGACATAATATTAAAGTTAAGGCTGAAATAATTATTATATCATTGTATGAAATTATGTAACATTATTAATATCGTGCATCACTGATGCAATTTCAATAAGTACTTCGTAAAATTTTACAACTGAAGATTAAAAGCTATTTTGTAAAGACATATAACGGTAAAATTAGTTTATCTATTAGTTACTACCTGTGCTTCTTGTATTTTTATTTTCTCTTCTTCGGTGGGTAGCATTGTCAATAGCTTCTCAATGCCTTCTCTACCAATGACTGTCGCATCCATTTTCATTATGGCGGCTTTAATAGTTTGCGGCGTGGGAAGCTTCTTCATGGCAATATTTATGGCATTTGATCTTTTTGCATCCAATATAAGATTTCTCTTTGGCTCCATGAGTTTCTAAAATACGTAATATATTAAATCATTTATTAATGTACGCATATATTACTTCGATTCGTTATTAGTTTATATGGTATAAATGAATTGTTTGTTATTTATTTTTAGTTTATAGTTATTAAACGCTTACCTCCTAAAAACACCAATTGAAATAACCGGAACCCGCATATGTAAGAAAAAAGAATTTAATTATATTAAATAGAATTTTTATTTTTTATATGGAAATTTTTAATTAATACTTAAAAAAACATTTATTGTAATAAAACTACCAACCTTAAGAATAAGATCATTTGTTCTAGATTCAAACAGATGTTCCAATATTGCAGTGTCTAAACTGATTTCAGGAAGATCGTCCCAAATGAAGCCACCTATCTTAGATCTAAGAGGTGCAGGTGCTGGGTTCTCTTGGATTTCTCGCCAAAAAAGTTTCACGGTTTTCTTATTTTTTTTAATTGTAGAACTGTCAGAATCATTTGATAATTCACTAGAAAGAGTAGGTTTAGGAGGTGGAGCTGGGATGTTTTTGCTCAGCATAGAAAAGGGTAACGGCGGGGGAACACCGACCGGTGGAAGGAACATATTTGGGGGAGGTGGTGGTGGACCATTTGATGTGTTCACAGCTGGAGATCCCATATCATCGTCAGAGTCATGTCGTAAATCTGAAAAGTCTAGATCACACAGGTGGAACGCTCGGTTCATGCAACCTTTTCTGAGTTCTTCCCAATGTAAATCATTCTCAGATACCTTGATTTCATGAACTTTGGGTGACTTTTCTATGCTGGGACTTTTAATCACTTCTGTAAATAAAATTTATTTACAAATAAAAACAGAAATTTTATTACAATTTAGATGAAATTATTTTTTCATAAAACCTACCATTATGTTATAATAATAATAAAAAAAAAATAATAATTCCTCTAAGGAAAAAACCAAGAACCAAGTTAAGCTTACCTTTAGATTGTGACTTAGCTAATTCTTCTTTGGCTTTGGATACAATTCCTGTCATTTCAGCTACCCTTAAAGGTTTGTCTTCAGATGTAGGACTAACAGGACTTGTCAACCTCTGTGCTAGATCTTTAATACTGTGTTCCCTATTCAAGAGGATTCCTCGGTCATCTTTGGCTTCAGGGGAATTATCTAATTGTTTCTGTCGCATTACGGCTAACGCATCTATAGCGTTCACACTATGACCTAGAGTTCCATTTTGAATCCTTTGCTTGAGACCTGCTGTGTATCTTTGGCTTCCTGCAAATTTTAAAATATTTTTAAGTTATGGAGATAAATAATAATAATTTCAGCGTCTAGCGTACATTTTGGATTATAAAGCAAAAGAGACAAAGCTGATGTTTAGTGGGTTAGTGAATAAACAAACCATTTTTTAATACATCTGCTAAATTTAAGTTTTTCACTGTTCTACTGACATAAGCATCTTCTTCTTCTTGATGACCGTTGACGCCATTCACACCGTTGTTCTGGTTATAGTGACTGGATACGTTCACATTACCGTTCAAGTTCTTGTAATTATTGCTAGCAGTTGTATAATTTCCATTTGTATAATTACCGTTAGTATTATAATTTCCGTTACCATTTGTAAAGCCGTTGGTGTTACCAAAAAGTCCATTATATAGTCCATTAGAATTATTCAATAGTTCTTGTTGTTGTGCTTGTCTTGCATATCTATCTCTTCTTCTTCTAAGAGCTGTACTAAGCTCTTTATTGTCTTTGTTGTCTATTATAGAGGGTAAGTATTGTGGTCTATGATTATTTGAATTTTTATTTTCTGGTTCTGCGTGTTTGATGACCGGCGAATTTGCTGTTGTTAGTAAAAACGCCACAAATGTTAAACGATCAATTCAGCCAATGCAATGACAAACTTAAGGTTTTGACTTTATGGGGGTGGATTATTGTAAAAGAATGTTATAATATTAATATGCTTGATGAAGGAATTTAAAGCGCTTTAGTCATTAAAAAGAATAATTTGCTAATATATAAAGGACATTCTTTTTTTATTATGAAAGTCTAACTTGGGAGGATTTTAGTAATTAACATTACCTTTATTACCTTTTATTCTGTATTAACTTTTTTGGATGTAGTAATAAAATATTGGAAGTCAATGAACAAGTTTATCTCGAGTATAAGAGAGTTTTTAGACTATCATACTATTTGTCTTAATAGCTATAGCGTATATAGATACGAGTAAAGTGCTTTAATTAACAACTATGTTTTAAAATGACATCAACCGTGCAAATTATGTATGCAGAATCAAAAAGAGATTAGAATATCAATCAATCAATGAAATTATGGATTCTATATCACCTTTTTCTTTCATTTGTTGTTTTTTGGATTTCCTTCTTTCCGATGTATTAAGGTTAATACTCCTTCGTCGTACAGACGACACTACTGACTCGTCTAATTGCCTGAAACAATTTGAACACATTGAACATGAAAACCAATGTGACAAATTGATAAAATAACTATCTTGTAGTCGGAGACAAATTAACTAGTCTCCAATTATGCCGTTAAGTTGTTTTTCGTTTTACATTAAAAGGGTGGCGAGTTTTACAGAAAATGGCAGTTTGCAAAATTTGAGACGTTATTTATTCATGCCTAAGACATCAAGAATTTGAAATTTGACATATTTTAAACCATAATGTAAATATACAGAATGCAAGAAATTTGTTGAACAGAAATAGTCATGTTTGGCCAGTGAGAGACTTTCGTAGAAAACTTCTTAAATGCTATAAAATAATGTATAAATTATACTTACTTAAGAGCTGTTCCACTTTCATCACCATCCTCATATAGTAGTACGGCTTCGAATATCTGCAGTTGTCTCAACAGATCCAAATCTGTTCCTTGTTTGGACATGTATAATTGAATGATATCGTCGATTCCCTGGTCTTGCAGTGCGTCTACCTGGTCGTAGTAAATGTCCCTGTCGGGTACATTGTTTAAACAAATGTTAATCAGTGTCGTGGCATAAATAAGCAGCTCTGTGTCTGAAGCGTCGAAGTCTTGAAGGATTTTCATCAGGTTGTACCAGGGCGGTCTTCCGTTTGCGCTGTCCACGGAAATGATTGCGTCTATGAGGAGCAGACTGTTGTTCTCAGTGTACTCGACAAATACGACTAGAAGTTTCAGTGCAGTTTTGACGACGTGGCGAAATTTACTGGATATCAGGGAGTAAAGCCATTGTACACAGTGTTTGTGTGCCATAACGCCGTGCATTCCGTCGACGTATAGAAGAATCTGGAAAAGAATGTACACTTAGCTGTATCACTTAGGGCTAAGATACGCTATTCTATTACTGTCTGCTGCTATTTAAAGTGATCCAGCTTCAAAATAGCATTTTTTTAAATAAAATACAGTTTATGCTACTCGCTGATAATGTAATTTTCTATATGTTACGTAATTTTTAAAGTCAGTTATTTCACCCTTTACAAATAATTTTGTTTTATTTGTATTTTATTTTATTTTATACAAAAATCCACAGCTCTTAAAAAATAACTTACATGCTAAGTCTCTTATGAATACAGCCAATAACGGATTTTATTTATACAAATAAAAATTTTGATTCCATAGCGAGGTAGGCAAGTTAGAGTGGATGTATGCAAGTAATATAAGCACATGTATGAAAGAAACCATATATAATAGTGAGTGTCCATAAAGTTAAGTTAATTGATATATAAAATAATGAAAATTCATGTTGTTAAAGTTCAGATATTGACAGCAATGATTAAATAATACAAATTCATGGTCACCAATTGTAAAGAGGGTTAAATGTATGCGTGGGTGTATGTGTAGTGTGATATAAATAAATGTATAATAGTATAATATAAATAAATGTAAATATGTAGTGTATATACGTGCATGTACATATATGCAATATAGGTAATTATGATATTATTTCATCCATTATCACAGCCCTGAATTTATATCTACTGAGGTGGAATAAATCCACTGTTGAAAAAAGTTTGTTATATGAATTCATTAGACGACAAACTAATGAGTTCTGAGAGTAAAAAAAATCATTTTTTCCTCTTTATAATATTAATTTGGATTACTGCAACAGTAGGACACATAAATAGATTAAGATCACATTACAATAATTTGTATGCTTTTAGATCACCAGGCAAAAGATATTATACTTAACTATAATAATAATATTTTAGTTCTTAAGTACATAGATAATCGCCTTATTATAAGATCTGTAAAATCACAATGTTCAAGCAAATAAATGTATCTAAAAAGTCATGAGTTTGAATCGGGACTTTATAATTTGTGTTTGTTTTAATATCCGACTATGTCTCTAAAGAAAGTCTGTATAGAATACACTATTAATAAATACAATTAATCCAAAAGGCAATTAAAATTAATTTTCACAGCGGTGGGTTTATCTCCTGCCGTATTTGAATTTTAAAACTCTTGGAAAATGTTTATGGTGCATGTGATGGTGTTTTAAACATATATACATCATACAATACACGTTATTTACCTGACCAAGGGCTCGTAGTATGTAGTCAATGTAATTTTGGTCCTCCATATTGCCGATTTGCATGAGACAGTCCAATCCTTTGTTGGCCACGAAGTCATGTACGAGGTCCTTATCCGATTGCAAAATTTGTTTGAGTGAGAACAGCGCCCTTCTGAGTTCACGACCTTGCGTGCGGAGTAGTCTCTCTATAATACAAAATAAATAATCTTTTAAATATATAAAACTTTAAATAAAAAAAGGGATGGTAATAATAATAACAATTTATTTCCACAAATATGGTTGAAATAGATCTTAATTAGTGTCATAGAATCACATATGTATTTAACCACATTATTTTAATGGCGTGCAAAATGTAAAGTCAAAATTGTATCAATTTATATAATTTCAAACCTTACCGTAACAATATTCATTCTAATTACAATAAAAATAACACATAGAAAATAGCATGCCAATTATATAAAACGTCCCATCAGATACATTTGTTCGAAATAATTCAAATAATAATATCAATCGAATATTTTTTCGAATCGTTGTCTGTGTATATTTGTTCCGGAAGGTCGAATTTATAATCTGGTGTATGTTTTATATTTTTTTTTGATGAGTGAAAATGGTATGGCGACCCCGCCTGTACAACGGTATACGCTTGCGGAGCACCAGTGAAGGGTGATAGACGAGAATGAAAACAGACCAGTTAGCCCATCACGATGAATTGATCAGGAATTAACCATGATAGTTTCCAGGGAGAACCGCGAGGAGGTCGACCTGGTTGGGTATACTGCTAGCAATGGGATTCTCAGTCTTTATTACTAACAATCTCTTTTCCCCCTATGTTTTATACCGAAACGCCATCAAGAAGCGACCTATTTCATTGGTTTTTCTACTTTTGCAATTAACGCGTACAAAGCTGTACTGTCCATTGCTGAACACAAAACTGCCTCCCCTTAGGGAGGTTTTGCCAGTAGTTGTCACGTTTGGCAGGCGGATTTTTTTTTAATGGGTGATAATGGAATGGTAACCCCACCCGCGCTATTGGTATACACCGGCGGAGCACCAGTGAAGAATGATAGATGAGGATGAAGCAGGTCAGTTAGCCTATCGTGACGAATTCAACAAGAATTGTTCACGATGGTTTCCAGGGGGAACCACGTGGAGGTCGATCTAATAGGGCATATTGCTAGCAATGGGGCTGTCAAACTCCATTGCTAACAATCCCTTTCCCCCTTGGCAGGCGGATTGGTAACCGCAGTTAGGCTTTGGAGATGTTTTAAGAGGGACGGAAAGCCCCCTATTATGGGGGATGTCTATGTTTAGCAGTGGACAGATAACGACTCATATGATGATTTAATCGCCTTAACGGCTTAACCAATCGTAGTGAGTTTTAGTACACATGTACTATTTTGTTTAAATTAATGATAAGGGTGTGGTAACCCCGCTTGCGCTAACGGTATACGCTGGCGGGGCAACATTGAGTCATGATAGACGAAGATGAAAAGGCAAGTCAGGTAGCCCATCGTGATGAATTCACTTGGAACTGGGCACGATGGTTTCCAGGGGGAACCGCGGGGAGGTCGATCTGACAAATAGCTAGTAAAGGGGCTACTGATTCCCATTACTAACAATCCTTCTCCCCCTTACATGTACTATTTGAAGAACGTAGGCTACTTTTATTACGATCAATGAATACAATATACGTGATCATGCGGGCGACGAGATCGCGGGTATGAATTAGTAATTAATACTTTTAATTTGTAATTCATACTTTTTTTTTTGTAAATAAATACTGATATTATACATAGAATATATTCAGATCAGTACAAAGTAACATACTCGTTAATATAAATATTTGTATTGTGCAGGTATTAAACCCACAATTACGAAGGGTGAGGTAGGGTAGCCATAGAAAAAATATGAAATTAGTAAGTTAAGTGCAGTCTGTTTTAATAGGACTTAACGAAAATGTGTTGAACCAAACAAATGAATAATTGATGGATTAACTAATTTAAAATAAATTAGATGTCTGTTATATACGAGTATATATCCAATCCTTACTAATTATATAAATTTGAAAGTAAGTTTGTTTGTTACTTTATTGGGATTTTACAGTTAAATCAATCAATACTAAATTTGCTATACACGTACCATGTAGGGATGAAGGATATAGGATACTTTACGGTTTCCCGGATTCACGGATAAAGTCACCGCAAAAGCTATTCATAGTCTAAACCAGAAATAGATTAATTATTTGGATGTTTTAATTTGTTACTAATTTTAACAAAGCAAAAAAAAAGCAAATATTTGTTACTTTTTCATTAAGTTTATTTGAAACGGTTGATAGCAAGGAAGTCGTAATGTTGATAATTCTATACCAAAAATATTTCATATTAATAAATTTTTAAAAATCTTGATACAGTTTTTTTTTTATAATGTCAGCGCATCATTCTTCAATGCGCGAAATAATAATTTTCATGAAATTTAATAAGATGAGATGAATGGGAGAAAAAAGGTAAAAAAAAAAACAAAACTTACCAATAATAGCATGCACTCGAACTGGTAGCTGGGTTCGCAGAACGAGTGCATTTTTGCGGCTGGAAATTAAAATGAAATGCATAAGTAAAAAATAAAAAAAAAATACACTTTAGGCACGGCGGAGGGTGAATGTTGTAAATAAATAGGTTTTAATAGAAAAATAATGTGGTTGCCGCATAGCATAGGCCACCTCTTCCTTTTCCGTGGGTGTCTTAAGAAGAAACATCTCCAAGCTTTAGGCTGCGGTTGCCAACCCGCCTGCCAAGCGTGGCAACTACTGGCAAAACCCACCAATAGAGTGAGACCTATGTTTAGCAGTGAACAATTAACGACTGATATGGTATGGTAAAAAAATAATCACATAAACATAATTGTAAGTATGGAAAAAGATAAGTAACAAGTAACTCTTATAGACTTAAAATCCCAACTTCGCTCTTAAAGTAACCACATCTAAAAAAAAAATAGTAGAACTAAGGAAATGTAATTTAAATATAACTATATAATTAACATAAGCCAAGTGGGTGTCGTAAAAGGCGCCTAAGGGTACTTAATGGTCGAGAGAATGGCAGCAGCGTTCCTCTTAAAACATCACCAAAAGCCTTGCGGTTGCCAACCCGAGGCGGGTTGCCAAGCGTGGTAACTACTGGAATAAAATTCCTTATGAGGGAGGCTTATGTTTAACAGCAATCAGTTTACGGCTGATATGATGATAATGATAAAATAAACATAATAAATTCCCATCAAGAAGTTGAACAAAATCAAAAACTAAGAAAATTAAAAGTCAATAAGTCGAACAACGAATGCTCGAATGTTATTAAATAATATTTTGTTATGTCAATTAGAATGAAAAAAAAAACGTAATTTAAGTATAATAAGTTAACAATTTAACTATAAAATATATATATTATTATTTGTTTATTTTAATTTTAAATTATTTGTATTCGAGGAAAGGATGCCCATTTTCAAATGAAGAACTCCGATATGCAGAAGAAATATAAAATATTTAATGATTATTATATTATAAAATTATTTCGTAAAATAGAAAATTAAAATTAAACTACGTAATTTAATGGAGATAATAAAATAATAATTCTATTTAATTGAATTTGCTTATATTAAAACTCACTCGTCTAATTCGTCTTCGGACATGTAACCTTTCTGACCAAGCAAGGAGTGATCATCTTCGGCGATGCCCGAGTCTATGGAAGCTGTTGATGTCTCCTTGAGGAGTTTACGTTGTCTGTTATCCTCAAGAGAGCTCGAGCGTTTGAAAAGCCGGCGCTCCATCTTACTTGAATGCATTTTCCCAGGGTTGACTACAAAAGTGTACAGCATGTTGTTGTACAGTTTTACTTATAATATGAAACCATACTCGTTGTTTTATTTTTAAATTTAAAACAAATCTCATTTAATTTTTGTAAATTTGTTTGCTTCTACATTTAATTTCCTAGTAACAAGTGGTAGGTATAAAGCAAAGATATTTAAGACTCATTCGGGGGTAAAGTACGATTTCCAAATCATGTTTGAAATTCTCACATTCGGTTCGGACATTGAATTATAACACTTATTATTGGAAATCTAATTTATTTACGATTTAGGAATAAAATTGAATTATAAGGATTTTATAGATACATTATTTTAGTACATGTATTACAAAACTTTACGAATTGAAAAACAAAGTTTTATACGCAAACGTTGAAGCAAAAATGTTAATGATATTTGATTAAATATTATGAAAACAACACATACCCATTAAATACGTAGAAAAAAATTGCAATATTTATTGCAAAAGTAAGGCGCCCGCGCCTACCGTACTCGTCCGATAACAAGCGGGCTTTGGATCAAAATGTCCCACCAACCCGTATTCAGCAACGCGCTCCCGAATGCCAGCGATACAATGTTCGAGCGTTGAACATCGATATAATCGATTAAGTATAATCATTAAGCGTACAGTGCATTCTGTTTCCTACTTTGTAATTACAACTCAATTTCTGAAATGTAAGTTTAGCATAGACAAAACATAGATTAAATTACCGGACGGAGAAATTTCACAAATATTATTGTTCTGAATTCATTCACTGCATTGCAATTCCTTGTACGTATAAATGCTGTAGCTTAATAAGTAAGGATTTTTTTTATTACGCCGTAGTTACTTTCATAAAATATTTATATAATTAATTACTTTTTTGCCCTTCACATATGTGGATTTCAGAAGTGGGAAAACAAATTAAATGTACTGCTGCTAGATGACGCATCAAGACAAACAAATACCCGTTTTTAAGTTACACCTTCATAAATATAATTATTGACAATCGAATCCGATTTATTGCAGTAGTTTTTGCGTGACACCGAAACAGACTGACGGACAAAATTTCTAAAGAATATTGTTTTGGGTCTATTGTTCTGAGTTTGCTTAGCAATATTTGTACTACACTATACTTATTGAAAATTGTTCAACAAATCAATAAATAAATAAGACTCCTCATATAAATTTTTCACAAATATCTCCCATGTACATTGGTTAGTTACAATATTTATTATATTAGTAAGATTCAATCCCATTAAAACAAATGAAAATGAAAAAAAATATTTCTAATCATTTTAATAAATACCTCTGCCTGTTTGAATATTCGAATCGATGAAGTGATATGAATGAAATTTCATAGAAGTTAGTTTGGTTGCCAATTTGACAATGACAATAGTAGAAGTGTGTGTTAAAAAAGTGAGGCCTATCATCTTATGTATTGGAACAAGTTTACAACACAACAAATGTATTAAAGTTAGGAGCTGCCTGTAGATAATTAAGCAGCGTATAGTTCATTGTGTAGCGATGTGCTGTTTTTGCCGCGCATATTTCATCGCGTATGTGATTCGATTTAAAAAAAAAAAAACTTACGACCCGAGACGCTCACGATTTCGCTAGTAAAGTTTTCTGCTTTCTATAGCGTATCAAATGGTTTTCAACCGACTTCAAAAAGGTGCTCAATTTGGATGTATTTTTTTATAGTTAATTTTAAAGTTTCGCGTTGTTTACACATATTTTAAATGAACAAATCGGGATTTAACGCGATGTAAAAGCCTAGGTAAATAGTACCTACATACCTGCTTCTTTATTGCCGACGTTTTTTATGTTTGTTACTTTATAACTCCGTCAGTTGTAAACCGATTTGGAAAAATCTTTTTTTATCTGAAAGAATATATTCGTACTTACAGATTGGTCACATAGAAATTTTATTAAAATCAGTTTAGTAGTTTAGTTTTTAAATCAAAATAATTGGTTTTGTCACAATCGAATTCGGTGTTTTTATGTGAAATACAGTGTTAAATTATGTTCCGTTTCTTTATAATAGTATATAATACATTTATTCTATTAAATAATTATTTATTTACTCACTTATACACAAAATAATTAAAATATATATATTTATTCACCTAGGGCTATATTATACACTAAAATAAAATAAAAATTTCGTCAGCTTGTTACATTATACCTAAATCTTTTACAATTAAATACGATTTCTCACAATTCAGTTGAAGTAATAAAATGGATTTAGTTTACGGGGTTACGCGTTACAGTGACCCAAATGAACGGACATATACATACACGAAACTGTCGAATTTTGTGCTGATCTATTTACAGTGTTTAGGAAGTCGAGATTTTAGGTATCCAAGTTTACCGTAAATTTTATTTGGTTTCTATGGAAATTTTTTTTTTATTCTTTAGAATATAGAATTAAGCAAGTATTAAGAGCGTATGAGAAATAATTTATATTTTCCTGGAACAGGCTTGCGTACGAGAAGAAGCCCGTTCTCTTGAGTCTACCTCTGTGTTGTGTGTACCACGTTTTCTGTTCGTAAGAACCTGGTACTGACGCGGGCGTGTTTCAGCTTGGCAGTGAAATTACGTAGTACTAAGGCGTAACGTCTTAATTAAATAATTAATTATGTCATTAAAAAAAGTAATTCATTCATTAGAAGTAACATTGGCATTCTGTATTGCCCATAGAGTTGTTCATGTCTGTAAGTGACGGTTACCACTTTGAAACAGGAAGGCTGTCGGTTTGCTATCTAAATAAAAATTTATATCGAAGTTCTTGAATTTATTAAGCAATGCTCTATAAAACAATTGAAAGCAAAATTATATGAATGATTAAAAAGTAATAGGTTTTACTATATATATATATATATATATATATATATATATATATATATATATATATATATATATTGTAAATAATGTTTATATTTAAAATATTATTTTATGTACTGATTTGACAATAGGAATCCTGTATTTAGAAAAATGTTTGTACTTTATAATTGATATATAATAATTTTATGGTGACATTAAATTGCAAAAAGTAAAGTCTTTTACAAAATAAAATATATAAAATGATATGATTTACTTACCATTCGTGTTCTATAAAATATTTTGTAGAATAATGAAAGAAAATGAAGCGGTAAAGGACATCAATATTTGTGTATATAATACGTTAGAATACAGATAAAAATGAGAATCTTATATATCTTTTAGAACTGTAGCTGCCAAAGTTAGAATACACAACATAATCGCAGTAGTGATGCCCCGATGAGAGCAGCTTCCGTGAATTATTTCATCTACGTACGGGGACGGTAGGGGACAACTTCCTCATAACAGAAATGGGGAGGGACACGCGGATACATTGTGATAACATAAATCAGTATTTTTAATATATAGCCCGTTTTAAAAGAACTTCGTAACAAGACGGTAACCTATGTTGCTATGTTTATTACATAACGAAATTTTGTTTTAATAATCACTTTTTAAATTAATTTAAAAAATAAATAAAAAAATTTTGTTTAATAATTGACTTGTAATTTATACTACTATTTATTTATTTACATTTTTATTAAGTTTTATTTTAACAGACTATAGTTAATATACACTTATAAAATTTGAAAATACAGAAAATCGCTTTAGAATTTCTAAACTTTAATATTAAATTAAAGTATAGAAATTCTGCAGCAATTTAGTGCTCAATTTCTTTTCTATTATTTGTTACTCGTTTATTATAATGATACTGATGGGGTTTTACTTTTGTTTTTAGTTACTTATCTATGAAATTTTAACAATAATAATGCGAATGGAATACGATATTTTATGATAACATCTTTGAGTATTTATAAATTAGCCGTTAACTGTTCACTGTTGATTACAGACTTCTCCTTATAGGGGGGTTTTGCTAATAGTTGCTATACTTGGCAGGCGGGTTGGCAACCGCAGTTAAGCTTTGGTAATGTTTTAAGAAGGAAGCTGTTGCCCACCCTTCGATCATTAATTTCTCTCAGTTGTGTTTTACGATACTCACAGGAAATAAAAGGGTAGCCCATTCTATGCCGTGACCATACGGTGAATTTGTCATGTCAAATACATACAAGTCATAGGAAGTACTTTCTAATAACGTGTTGTTCACGTCTATAAATAAATAAAACTTCATAAAACTGCAACGAATACTTTACGAACATAGATAGGTACGAATACTTAATGTTATTGTAACTGCATTTAATTTTACTTAGTCCAAGACCGCTAAAGGAAATAGCAACATACGAGTACATAGGTGTATTTTAAGAGGGGCCGGGTATGTCGTGCCCACTCCAAAATTGTTTGGTGTCCACTCCAGGATACGAATGAAATACGCAAAAACATTTATAATTTTTTTTTTCTATTATGTGTCTTTTATAACGAGCCGTCTGCCACGTATAATACTTTTAAATAAGCCAATGGCAATATATCGAAATAGTGTAAGTAATTACAAAAATTAATTAAAGGCTATAAGAATAAATTAATATTATGAATAATACTTGAAAACTTTGGAAACAAACGAATTCTACTTTTTTCTGATTCTACCTTCTTTCAATACTCATATTCATATTAGGTAAGAGGTATTTTAAATATACTATCGGGACTTAACGCGTAGAGATTTTGTTTGCAGGTAAATAGTAACTACATACCTACCTGCTTCTTTATTGCCGACGTTTAGTAGGTAAAAGTTACAGCAATATACTCTTTGAGATGAACCATCTGTTTCTTAGTACACATACAATTAAATATATATAATATTTCGGCTTGAGTTGCTATTATGGCCGTAGCTAGGGGGGAGGCATTGAGGGGCAATGCCCTAGCTTAAAATGAAATGCCCCAAGAAAATTAGACAGACTCGCTTTTTTCGAAGTCACTGAATTATGGCTTCTGCCCTACCAAAAAGTTCTTTTGCCCTACCTTCAACATGGGTCTAGCTACGGCCCTGTGTGCTATTATTAGCTATCTACTTAGATTTTCATGTTGGATCTTTGCCTATTTGCTACTATTGTTTTATCATCTTCCTACCCTTATCCCAATCATTTGGGGTTGGCGTAATATGATTTTATCCATATTACAAAAGGATTTGGTTTTTAGTTTTACGACCGGCCACCTGCCTGACGTCAACCATCTTTGGGAATGCATTTGTTGGTGGTTTCCGCCACCTACGGTATGGAGAAAAGGATTGAGGAAAAAAGGAAGGGAACGTTGGAAAAGCTACTATTGTTTATTGTATTAAAATACTCACTTGTCCTGTAAACCTTCCAGCTCTTCGTCCTGCTCACCCAGGGTGGAGTCGAGGTCCAGATATGGCCCGTAGTCACCATCTTTGAATACTTGTAGTGTCGCATCGTCCAACTGAATAAAAAAGATATATATTTTAGTGTTGTGCTATTTTTTTTGCAAGGTTACTGTTTATGTCTATAGGTGACGTTTATCATTTTTATCCACTAATATCTTTATCCTGATCTATTTTATATTCTTAAATGGCGTCTTTATATATTTTTTAAGATTCTTAGTATGGCAAATAACCAGATAGTGAAGGATTGAGCAATATACCCTGGCAGGTTGATCTCCATGAACTCAGGAACTCCCCCTGAAAACTATCGTGTTGAATCTGTCATAATGAGTTAACTGAAATGGTTTCGTCCTTACCTATCACCACTCACTGGGTACCCTGCAATTGTATAGCGATAGGACAGGCGGGGTTACCTTTGCATTATCATCCACTGAGATGAAATTGTTAACCGTCGTCTAGTAACAAACAGCATTACGGATATATCGCAGAACAATTGAAAAACTAATTCTATTTCCAATCTTATATTTGTATGATAGACGTCGGAAGCTATTATATTATAATTATAAATATATATTGATTCAATAGATTTGATTTAATTTAATTTATATTTGTAAATCACTGTGTCTAGGTAATCTCTTATGAACTCCCGCGATACAGGTTCACATAGTGCGGGGTTCAATGGACTCGTTGTTGTAAATTTCTTGTATTTAATAAATAAATAAATAGAAATTACAATTAAATCAATTTATTTTCCATATCGATTTATACAGTGTAGCGCCATCTATAACTATTATGCAATAAATACAGGATAATTCGCATATTTGATGTTTAAAGCGTGCAGTGAACTTATATTATCGTTCATGATATAGAGATGGCGCTTTACAAACTTATCCATACTTTTGTAATTTAGTTGTCATTTCTCCATTTCTTTAGTTTTCTTTTTGTATATGGTCATTATATAAAAATATGAAAACATATTTTTTTAGTATACAAGGCCAATAATATTTAGTTTTATATATTTAGGAGATTCAATTTGTATCTTATGTACGGAAAGCCTGTGTTATTGCAAGCGTTCGACAAGTAGAAACTATGGTAGCTGTTTATTATCAAGTCAGCCGTATGTTTGGTTGGCACCTCAGTGGTATAAAAAATTGTTCAGAACCAAAATCAATTTAAAAAAGTCTATTTCCTAAGTTGGCCCGTTCGGGATCGAACCCGGAACCTGATTTACGCAAAGCAGTGTGCATACCACTGCGCCATAGAGATAGTCGGTAATAAAGTGTCTTGTCATTCTTGTTGGGTTTCAGTATGAACCAAAATTATATACATATTAAATCAGTATTAGTGCCACCACGTGAGGTTTTAAATGGAAGTTTACAAATTTTTATGTTTTTTTCAGCTGCCAATATTTTTTATTAATTTTTCTGTTTTATATTTATTCGTCATGTATATACCTATGTTTTTAGTTTTATATCTATTAAAACGCAGGTTCAGAACTTTGTTTATTTATAATACATTTCCGAGATACACTGTTGTTGTCAATTTGGGTAGGCCTAAGTTTACTAATTGGCCAATTGCCAAACAACTCGTGGAAAACTGGAGCGAAACTTAAAATAGCGTAGTCTCAACTCATTCCATCATTGAAAATAATTTAAAAAATCAATATTAATGAGTATATACACAGTAGTAAAGTGGTAAGTTCTTTGAATTCACATAGTTTCGGTTTAATTTGTTGCACGGTGATACCTCAGATAAATTACATACTATCATACGATATCTCTGGGTGATACATTACCATCGTCTTGATAGAATAACAAAGACAAAAACAAATGCGCTTCGAAGTAAAGAAAACAATACGATTAAATCCGATTCACGTTGATCGATAGCTGTAAATATAACCATAGACAATTTGTACGTATGTATTTAGATAAATTGATGACGAGATATTGGTCAGTTCCATTTGTCTCTACTGAGCGCTTTTTGTTTACAAGTACACAGATAAATTAGGTACATTGCAAATATTTGAATTTAGAATTGGGATTTGCGTATTTTGCAACATCTCTGTGGAGGCGGTCGCTATAGAAACATGTCCCAAAGAACAAAGCACATATTTTTTTTTTATTACAACCTAGTGTAAACAATATTTTGGCGGGCATTGTCTATGTAAGAAATTGTTATTATAATGAAGAGTTGAAAATTTAGAGATTAACGTAAACCAACATTGTGACCACATATTTATATACTTGTATTAAGATATTACTATAGAAAATTTAATTAAGTGTCTCCCACAAAAATAAACAGTTTAATAATAATTGGACAATGCAGTTTAAGTGGAGAGACAGTTAGGCGCCTGCGGTTTCCATACAAGTATTAAGTGCATGTTATGGTTTTGCTCGCATTAATAATATAGGCGTATTTAGAGGGGTATTTAGGGGGGAGATTGAAACGTGCCCATCGCAGAATCGACTGATGTCCAACTTAAGATACGATCGAACCTTCGCAAAGACATGGCTGAGAGTAGATGTGCACCTTCTGTAAGGGACCAGGCCTCTTGGAAATAATATTAAATATAGCATTGAAAAATAGGATAAAAATATCGTGTGTGTGATAATGAAGGGCACGCTTTATTTCTGTACCGGCTATCAATCAACAAATATCTAAACATATTTAATTCAACAAATATAAAAATAACTAAAAAAATGTGCGCCCTTTTAAAATTATTCACACTCCTAACGTAAATGTGTACTTATACAAGTACTAACATATTATAAATGTAAAAACTAATACTTCAACTGCTGTTCAGTCTATCTATCTTCTTTTTACGGATAGGTGTTTTAAAAATAAATTAAATAAATTGTTTTTGTTAACAGATAAGTAAGTTTTTTTTTATACAATTTAGAATGGCAAACAAGCTGACGGCCCACCTGATGGAAAATGGTAACCGTCGCCTATAGACATGAGCGGTGCCATGGACATAACAGATTATACTGTTTCGCCCACGATACCTCCCATGCGTTGCCATTCCTGAGCACTCAGATGCTATTCCTCTGTACCCTGTAAATTCATGTCATATCCCACTATCACCCCACCACACAGTCATGCAAACACAACTGCTTCACGGTAGAAACACGAATGGGACAGAGGTACTCAAGCAATCGACTTTTGTACAAAGTCTCTCTCTGGTGAAGAGGAAGTGAAGTTTATAGAATTTTAAGATGACAAACCAAGTAGAAGATTTTTACTGTACAAACGCATTTATTTATTATTTCTGATTGGCGCTAAAACAAACATACAGATAGACAGACATACAGAAAAATTCTAAAAGTTATAGTTTTAACTACTATTTTTCTCATTAAGATTCCACATATTAATTTTTATTAAATATCTGCTATATACAGAAATCGTCGAATTATAATTCTTACAAGTCTTTACTAGTATTATAACTGTGAAAGTGAGTTTATTTGTATGTTTGTTATCTTTCAGAGTCTTAGCTTCTTAAAGTATGCATGTACTGTATGGGCTATGGGATGAAGAAGGACATAGGCTACTTTTTATTCCAGTTAGTGAACATGTCCCAGTCACGCAGACGAAGTCGCGGGTGAAAGCTAGTTATATTATATTAGTAATATATATGTTACATAGACGTATATCAACTGACAAAAAATGGCGAACGTGGCTCACGTGAGTGCCAGTATTAGCTAGTTTCTAAGAATTATGAGTACATATGTCTATATTTTTGTTGGTGAATAATTTTGTTGATGTACGCATAAAGTAGTACATGCGGCCCATTCATACGTCTATTATTCATTTTTATCAAGTTGATAGTGTGATTTTTTATATTTTTAAGGGCATATGCCAATTATATCTGCCTACCTTGCAAGGGACTTAGCGTAATAACAATTACCCTTAATTAAAATCTACATACAAATAATTTATTCATATACAACAACATTATTTATTTAATTATTTTATAAATATACAACAAAACATAATTATTAAAAACTTAATTATTAAAATTTTTAGGGGCTTTAAGATAAATAATTGAATTCGAAAACGGCGCAACAATTTATCGTTTTTTTTTTCTGAGTTTATAAGGCACTCTTGTAATATGCATGCACATTATCTAAGATGTTGCAAACTTGCCAGTTGGGTGCACTCGATTTTGTAAGTGAAGTGGATATTTCGCGATATACCAATAATTCCCGCGGTTTTATCAGTGTGAATCTTTGGTTTCGATGAACACTATGACATACCCTTTCATTTATTCATTAAGTTTTAATAAACCTAATCAGTGGTAATTACGAACTTAAGACCATATAGCGTTAAATACTAGTCCGTAGTACCGTAAACAGGAATAACAGAAAATTTAATTATTTATATACTTTTTATTGCACAATAAAACTTTGTACAAGTGGCGAACTTAATGCCATATGGCATTCTCTACCAGCTAACCATTAGGTAAAAACAGAACGCGATTATATTATTTATATAAAATATAATATAATAATAATATCGGACAAAAAAATTACTCAAATACAAGAAAGACACCAATACCAGACAAAGTAAAATGATTACGATTTCATGGATTTTAAATAAAAAGAATGTAGTTTATGCTTCAATGCCAATTTGGTTGGGGCGGATCTAAAGTTAAAGGGTAAAGCACTGCAGTGTTTGATAGCCTAAACGGCGAAAGTATTAGAGAAAAAGCCAATGTAGTGGATCTTTCACATAGTAAAAGGAAGTTTAAAATTTGAATTTTTCAACTTTGGCTGTTACATTGTTTACTAATACGCCAGTGAGTCAAAACGAGTTTGTTTAATATATGTACTAGGGGGGAAAGGGATTGTTAGTAATGGAGACTGAGAATTCCATAGCTAGCAATATACCCAACCAGGTCGACCTCCTCGCGGTTCTTCCTGGAAACTATCATGGTTAATTCCTGATGAATTCATTATTATGATGGGCTAACTGACCTGTTTTCGTTCTCATCTATCATCCTTCACTGGTGCACCGCCATCGTATCCCGTTAGCGCAGGCGGGGTTACCATACCATTTTTAC